CGGAGCCGCAGCCGTGGCAAAGGAGCGTCGCGGGCGCAGCGGTGTCGCTGCAGCAGCTCTGAGGGCTTGGCTTCAGGACGGGCCCCAGCGGGAGGCTGCTGCTGAAGGGCCGGCACCAAAGGGGGCGCCCCTCTGGTGGGGGGCACAAGGGGGAAGCCCTCCCCGGGTGAGGGGAGGGAGAGGCCCGCGCGCTTGCCGAAGGGCGCCTGCAGAGCGGCCCGGGCCACGCTTCACGGCAGCACCGCCAAGCTCTCCCTCAGAGGAGGGGGCCGCTTGGGGGTCGGGACGGCCATCGCGGTTGCACGGGACAGAAGGCGAACGGAGGGGGTCACGCCTGCACTGCATGGGGGAGGCTGTGATAACGGGGTGCGGGATGTCTGCACTTCGCCCCGTTTCTGATCACCCGGACGGCCCTGCAGGAGCCCTCCAGGCTGAAACCCAGGTCAGGGAGCAGCCAAGCCGGAGCTGCCCGGGGCTCGGCCACGGGGCGCACACCGACCTGGCCCGCCTCCCAGAGCTGTGGGGGGATGAAGCCGTGGAGGGGGGCTCAGCCTCTCCCAGCAGCGCCTTCCGTCCAGCGGCCGACAAGACCTGGGGGCCAGGGTGGGGGGCTTGCTGCAGGCAGCCGGGGTTGCACGGCCCTGTGGAGGTGCCCCGTCCCACAGGCTGCTGGCTGAGTGCGTCGGGAGATGGGTTCCCAGGACAGGGGAGGGATGCCTTTGTGAGCTGGCCAGGGCAGAGTCAGGTTGGGCCTGGTTGTGCTGGGGGGGCTTCAGCCTGCTGGGAGCTCTGGGTCCACCGGGACAAGCTGGGCCTGCCCATGGAACCTGGCCCACCCATGCAGACACAGATGGCCCTAGCCAGGTGGAGGGCGAGCCAAGGGATGGGGCGCAGCCTGTGCTGGATGGGGTGACCCCCCTCCCCCGAGGTGCAGGCGCGTGCGGTGGGTGTCCTGCTGGCTTCCGCCCTGAGCCCGGACGCCAGGGCGCTTGGCTGAACCGCCGGCACCCGGCTGCCCGCCCTCGGGGATGCCTGACTGGCCACGGCGACCCTTGCCGTTCTTGCGCCCACCTGGATTTCTGTAAATGCTCCACCTGGGGCTGCCCCGAAGGCAGGTGCAAAGCACAGATCCGGCGCTGCCTCTCTGGCGCCCACCGGCCTCCCTCCCCGTGCTTGGCCCCCGCCAGGCAGCGAGCCGAGCCGGGGCAAAGGCAGCTCAGCGTAAGCGAGTGTGAGCGACGTGTGCTGGGCAAGCGACCCCAGGGATGCAGCCGTGGGCTTCGGACTGGCAGTGGCCGAGCGCGGAGGGCAGGCAGCTCGGGGGAGAGGCCTCTGTACAGCAAGAGGGGCTGCTCCGGTTGGGAAAAGGGCCGGTCGGGGAGGCAGGACCGAGGTGCATAAAGTAATGCATGGGGGGACAGTTTTGGGGGGGGAGAAATTTTCCTCCTCCGTCATGACACTCAAACCGGGCTCATCCGTGAAGCTGCCTGGAGGGCGGCTTGGGACCGATGCAGGGGGCTTCTCTGTGCCACTCGCGGCCGGGGGGAGTAGAGATGGCCGCGGAGCTAGACGACAGGCCGCCCTGGCTCTCTGGCCCCCAGGGTCCTCCAGAGAGGCGCTTGGCTGGCCCGAGAGCCCCTGCACACTCAGCGGGTGCCCTGCCTGAGCTGGGCTCCTTCCCCAGCCGCAGGGCAGAGGCGGCTCGACGGGTGGGGGGGGAGGGAGAGGGTCTTCCCGGCAAGGAGACCCTTGCTGGCTGCAGCAGATTGGAAGCCCCTGCCTGAATTGCATCCATGGGCTGCTGTGGATGCCCAACCCCCATCTGTCCAGAGGCCCCACAGAAGCTTCACGGGGCATTTCTGTCCGGCATCGGCTAACGGGGGGGGGGGGGGAGCCCGCCCCCAACCCCTTTGCAGGGAGCAAAGGCAGCAAACCCGCCAGGTAGGGGGCGGGGGGGCAGGGAGCCCAGGCCTGGCGGCACCCACGGCCTCTCACACCCCACACCCCCATGGTGAAAATGCGCCCGCGCCGAGCCGTGGCGTGCCTTGTGGCCCACAATTAATGCCGCTAGAAACCCTGCAGAATCTATCCGGAGTTTTATTTTTAACTCAGACACACCACGTCCAAGGAGCGAGCTACCGGGGGTTACGAGAGTTCAGTCCGCCTGTGGTGTGGCAGCCGGCCAGCGCCTAATCCCCACCGCCCTCCGGCTGGCCAGGCCGAGCCGACACCAGCGCAAAGCACAAAGGTATGTTGTTAAGGCCTCCCCCAAGGGCAGCCCGCACACTTCATAATTCCACCCTTCAATTATACATGACACAGAGTTAAAGACCAAGGAAATAATATAAAAACAAGCATCACAAACCTTTTTAAGCAGTGGAACATTCTGTAATTAACTTTTATGTGCACAGAAGAACACTGCAGGCCTGGCGCTGATGTGCCCGCGCTCGCTTGCCTTCCCACGCACGCACACCCCTCACGGAGTCCAGCCACATGTGAAATTGGGGGATTTCGAGCAAATTCTCCTTAGCCAGATTGTTGGCCTATCTACCCCTTATTCGGGGTGGGGAGGGGGGTGCTGTGCTGTGCAGTTGATCCCAGACTCACCTCCTCCTCCGACATAAACAGCGCAAGGGCAGTCTTGGCAGAAGAAGGTACATCTCATACCAGCACAAACACGAGGCGCCGGAGCCAGGCTCTAGGTAAGAGAGCAAGCAGCTAGGACTCGGCCGTCAGAAGCGGGAAAGCCGGTCTCCCGGCTCCTGGCCGTCGGCCCCTTCGTGCTGCAGAGCTGCTGGGGACCCCCGGGGCAGGACGGCCGAGCCAAGACCGCTCAACATGACTGATGGGACCCGGGGCAGTGCATCAACACACCTCTTCCGGAGGCAGGGGGTCCACCCCAGGCCCCTCCACCTCGAAGGCCAGGTGATGCGCAGGGGGTTCAAAGCATGGCTGTCGAGGAACTCCTGCTGGGCACAACCCACCAGTGGGTGGAACCTCAGAGCTGGGAGCCGGACCTGGCCAGCCGAGTTCCCAGACTGGCCCTCCTGCATCCCCAAGATGGCCACGCGCCCTTCCCACGCCTCCCCTCTCCCCCAGCCGCCAAGCATCAGGTCCCCGCTTCGGCATGTTTTCCCTCTAGCCCATCCTAAAGGCTTGCCAGCCCCTTCTTATCCCTCAGTGACCGCTTGCAGAAAGTATGCCGGTATTTTGACCCATCCCTTTTGCCCCACCCCAAGATCGTGTCCAGAAAGGAATCCGGGCCACGGCCGGAAAGGACTCGACACCCGAAACAGACCGTGCGGGGCTGCACAGACGGATGTCCGGCTGAAGCTCCACCTCGTTCCTGCACTCCCGGCGGGGTCTCTGTCCCGCCTGAGGTGCCAAAGCACAGCAATTCCACGCCACCAATGAGAATCCCAGGGGCCCCTCCTGCTGCCCGCTGCCTGCCCGGTTCCGCTGGGGGTCTCCCTGTTGAACATGCCCAGGAATGAGACCAAAGCTGGGCGGCGGTGGGAGGGTCCCAGCAGCTGACGCAGGGGGCCACCGTCTGGAACTGCCCGCCATGGTGGAGGTGGTGGGGCTGGTCCACGCCACCTCTAGAGGCCCCTCCAGCCCCGCCCCTGAGCGCAGGCCCAGCCGGCGTCTCTTCCAGTCCTGTAACTGCTGCCTCTTGGGAGCCCCTCATGCACATTCCGGGGTGCATTCCAACGCGAACTGGGGTGGCTCGGGCAGGCCCGGCCGGGGTGGGCCACTGGGGGCAACCTTTGCCATTACTGGCCTGCCGCACCCCACCCGAGCATAAATAAATAAAGCACGAGAAACGACCGCATCCGGTTCCCCTGAACGACTCGCCCTGGCAGGGGGTGTCCACCGGCGAAGGGGGGTGGGCAGGGGCGCTTCTCCCGTGGCCCCACGTAGGGGAGGCAGTGATGCAGCTGCGCCCGAGAGGGTGCCCAATCCGGGCGATTGCTTCCTCTCTTCCAGCAGCATCCAAGCAGAACTCCCGTTCCGTTCACAAAGCGATGCACGGCACGGGGAAAGCAGAGCACCTTTCCCGGCCACGCCGGACCCCGACGCGTGGGGCAACCGGTGACGTCGGCAGCGAGGTCTGGGGAGCACCAAGCACAGCCTTCCGGCTCACGGCGCCCCGCTCAGCGGAGGCATCACTGCCCCGGTCGCGGTGGCCACGGGGAGCCCTCGGCGGCTATCAGGCGGGGCAGCAAAATGCAACTTCCTCTCGCCTCAAAACCCCAAATCACAGTGGGGGGAGGGAGTAGGGGGCCTTCGGCAAGTTCACAGGCATCCGTCCAGCCTACCATGAATGGCATTCCCTCCTTAACAAGTGGCCACGAATCTGCCGCAGTGGCGCTCGTCAGACCGGCTCAGCAGAGCTGCCGTTATAATAAACGCAAGATGGTGCGTGACTAGCACCATTACACCTCCAGGAATTATTCTGAAACAGGAGCTATGGGGTGGGGGTGTCCCCGGGGGCTTCTGCTGGCCCCTGCATCACGCGAGCACTGCCCAGGAGCGCCAGGTGCCCAGAGTGAAGGGCGCAGAGGGTGCCACGGCCGTGCTGCTCCCGGGAACGCCCGGGGCTTCAGGGGCCACCGTTCGAGGAGCACAGGCCTGGACAGACGCCCTGCCCGGCCCAGAGGCCAGGCCCTGCCGACGTGCAGGCCGGCCCTCTGCCACCCTGGCCAGGCACGGCCCCCCCGCCTGCCCTGCTGGAGAGCCAGGGACCCTCGTGGGCTCAGCACGGCGCTCCATGGCCCAGCGCCTCGTCCTGTCCCGCCCGGGCCCCCCCTCTTCACACCGTGTAGGACACAGCAGCAACCTGGCGACCTGGAGGAAACGCCTCCTCTTGCTGCCCGTGCAAGTGGAATCAGATGCGTTTGGCCTCCACATGGTGTGGGGGAGGCAGGACGCGGGAGCGTGAAAGCCCCCCCCCCCCCCCCCCAGACCCGGGCTCTGGAAAATAAAACACCAGCCGCATGCAGGTTTAATAGCATTTCATTGGGAGCCGTAGCGCGATGGCTATATTGCTTCGAAGGCAGGTACAGGTGACGCCAAAGCCTCCCAGCCACCCTCCTCCCAGAGTGCGTGCTCCAGGGCGGCTCTCCAGCCGTTTTATGCCCGGCTTCTGGTTTGTCTCAGCCACAGCCGCGATCGGGGCTGCGGACGCCCTCCGTGGCGTGTGGGGCTTGGCTTCCTCGGGGCGGAGCCGCCCGATGCCGCCAGGCAGCCCGGAGCGCCCTGGCTGGGAAAGCGGGGGTGGCGGCCAAGGGCCAAGGGCTGGCGGGCTGCTCAGGGCTCTCGCGGGCCACCGGCTTGGCCACTGGCAGCACAGGGGGCCCTGCTCCGCTCCGCGCGATCCCCGTTAGCGGCTGCGCTCGACCGGGTGCTGCTCCGTAAGGGCACGACCCGTGGCACGTGCAGCAGACAGACAGCCCGCGAGGCCCTCCAGCCACGGCCACCTTTCACGCCGGCTGGGCCCTGCAGGGCTCCTCCCGCCTGAACACACGCCGGACTGCGCCCGTCACCAGCGCACTGTGATTGTGCCGGGAAATCTCAGTTGAGCGGGTGTGGAACTGCATCTGCGTCAAGAAGCAGACCAGCCCGAGGCTCCTCGGCTCTGGGCCCGCGAGGGGCTGCTGCCCGATCCGGCAGGCACCACCCGAAGGGCTTGCTCTCTTGCCCTGCCGGAGGAGGCAGTCGCTGCCGTTGGCCCTCCCGTCATCTCCAGCTTGAGGCAGCCCATGAGAGGCAGAGGCTGTGGCAAAGGCTTGCGAGAATTTGTTTTGAAAGCAGCGGCTTCCTTGACCAAAAGCCCTTCAGCCCATTCATGCTCATTCTTTCTGCCAGCTCTTCCGCCCGGCGCATGAATTGGGCATGCCACATCCCGCACTCACGCTTCTTGGGCAGCGACTTTACCTTTTCTTTCCCCTTTTTCTTTTTCGAACAGGGAAAAAGTGGTTTTATTTGCGGCACGAAAGAAAATGTTTTCATTCGTGCGCATTTGCACAGCGCCGGGGCAGCACAGCGCCAGTGAGAGGCTACATAACAGAGAAGCAGGACAGGAGCTCCTCCGCGTGGTGCCTGGGTCTCAATCCCGTGAGGGACGGGCGGGAAGACACGGGGAGTTCACCAGGAAAGCTCCTCGCGACGGATTGCAGCTCGTGAGCCAGGGGAACAGTGGAGTCCCGGGTTTGGTTTGGAAACCATACAAAAGCAGATCGGCAGCAAGCCACGAGGCCGGAAATGGGGGTCTGGACAGCAGGGGGGACCAGGGAGACGTGGGGGGACCGTCTGCGGGCTTCCGCTGCCATCCGCAGAATTTCACGAGGAGCCCAGGAGCTGCCCTCTCCCACCCCTTGGCCACCCTGTGCTTTCCCACCGCTTCCTCCAGCATTTCCTTCCACAAAATGCATATGGAGGCAGAACGGTCGGAACAGCTGCAAGGAGCCAGTCGGTTCGCCTCTTCGGAGCCCTTCAGTCAGGAAGCGCCCCCGCTAACGCCCCCACGTGCCCCTGTCCAGCCCCTTCGGCTGCACCGGGGCAAAGGCAAGACAAAGGCTCTCATGCTGCTGAAACGCGGGGCCCAGGCAAGGCTAACCTTCGCCCCATGCCTTGCAGTGGGTCTGCTCTAAGGAGGGCTTCTGTTTGCTTGGCCCATGGAACTGGGGGCACCCTCTGGCAATGCGGCAGCGGGCGTCGCAGTGTGCCTGGGCCAGCTCCGGACTGCCCCGCGGGCTCCCCCTTCCCCTCGACGAGGCTTTGCGGGAGCCCTCCGGCGGTCCCCACCAATGGACGGGCCGAGGCCCTCCGCGCCCTTCCAGAAAGGGAGAGGCATCCGCCCGAGGGGCTCAGGGCCCTGCCCCCCAGCACGCAGCAGAGAATGGCCATCCAGAGCAGGCGTGCTGGGAGGGGCCGGCTCCTGAAGTGATAAGCTGCCCCCCAGCCAGCAGGTGACGCTGGAGGGCCCTGGAGGGCCAGGACTGCGGGCGGCTTGCACTACTGGAAGGCTTTGCAGCGCCCGGATGAGGAGAGCCGCCCCGGAGGCCGGGCAAGCTGGAGCACACACACCGGGAAAGGCCGGGTCTGGAGATGCCCCCCCACCCCCGGGGAAGGCGCAAACCCCCGTGGCGCTGAGGCACGAAATGCGCGGAGGAGACCGGGATGTGGCGGTCCCGCTGGGCCGGCCTCCCTCGGCAGGCACTTGGGTGGGACCCGCAGCAGAGCCCCACGGTCCGGAGGGGGCAGACTGTCCTCTTTGGTGGCCGAAGCAGAGAAGGCGGCGTCGGAGAGAAGTCGGCGTTGCAGCGTTGCCGAGCAGCATCTGCAGGGCGGGGAGGGGGCGGCTTCCCTTCCGCGCAGCGGTCTCATGGAGCCGCGAGGGGCCGGGCAGGGCCTGCTCTCGCCCCTCGCTCACCCCGTGGTGGCCCGGATTCAGCTGAAGGGCTTCACCAGCTTCATGGCAGCGTAGTTCTGCGGGGAGAGAAGGACAGGCGCGTGTGCCAAGGTGCCCGGCGGCCTTGCTTCTCGCTCAAGCCCCAGGCCGCCACTGGGCCAGTGCTGCGCCCACCAAGTGCCCGACGGAAGACCCCGCCATGACTCGGGCAGCCCTTCCCTCCCCCTCCGCAACCTCCCGACGGCCCCGGCTGCCCCTCCCGTTTTCAGCTTCAAAACTTCCTTTTCCAAGCTCGGAAACACAGGGGAAGGCGCGGGATCCCCATTGCAGGGGAAAAAACTCTCTGGGGGAGATGGGTGTGGGGCAGGAAAACTGCCAGGGGGAGCCCTGCAGCTTCCCTCCAGCCACCCTCTGAAGGCGAAGGAAAGCGTTTCAACCCGCGCTTTCTGTGAGCGAGTTCTTTGTAAGGCCAGTGCTCCGTGCCCGGTCCCGGGAGAGCCCAGCTCGGCCAAGCGGATGTCGCAGAGACGTGTCAAGTAAGAGGAACAAGGATGGAATGAGAGCCCCTCTCGGGCCGCAAACGAGACGCACATCCTCACCACGAGCCCACTGAAGCGAGGGCGCTCCTCACACGAGACGCAGCTGTGACAGCCGGCGGAGCGGCCGGCCTGGGTTTCCCCGGCACCAGAGCCTTTGCATCTCAAATGGTCCTGCTCCCAAGAAGACGCGTGTGAATCGGGTCAAGCGAAAAAGGCTCCGGCGCGAGACGCTGCCCCACCTGCGCCAGCTGCGTTCAGCAGGCCGCCCGCCCCTTGCGCGGAGGGGACCGCGTCGGAGCCGCTGGCCAGAGAAGGAGGGCGGCCGTCTGACTTGGGGCCACGGAAAGGGCTGGGCACCCGTGCTTGCGGACGAATGCCGCGAGGAGTCCGTGGTCTTGAGCTAATGTGGAAAAGGACATCGCTGGCGGCGCAGAGCCAGCTTGCGGCACGTGTGTCCGGCAAGCAGCTGCCTCCGCCTCCTCCATACACTAGGGCATGTACACCTAAACTGGCCCGGAAATATACTCTGCTTGCCAACACAGGGACCAGACCCAGCTGTCACTAATAATGGCCACGATCCACAAGCCCTCCTGCGGGAGGGGAGGGGAGCAAGATGCCGCTATATTCCTCAGGGTCTCCAGTCCTCCGGGACCTAGGACCTGCCACGCTCGACAAGCTTCCCATGCTCGCTGTGAGGTGTCCATGGGACAGGCTATGCGCGCCGTGTGCCCACGGCCCTCATGAGACACCCAGCGCTGCCTCTGGCAGGCGACACTCGCTGCCGAAGCCAGTTGCCTGCAGGCCGCGAAGGGCACTGGCGCCAGGCGTGGGGGCCCTGAGGCAAGGCGCCCCCCGGCTGCCTCCGCCTCATCAGGCCCCCGCCGCCCCCTTCCTCCCAGCTCCACACTCCGGGGGCTCTGGGGATGCACGGGTGCAAGCAGACGCCCTCCTCATGGAGGAGACGTGTGCCCACCCCTCCCCTCGTGCCGCCCGGGCTGCTGGGGGGGGGCGTGGCAGGCCAGGCCCCCACTGCTGCAGGCCCTCCACCCGGGCAGCTCAACACAGTTCTGGGGTGCAGGGCGAACTCCAGAATGCCTTTCCCCCACTTCCTTGCACCCACGTGGCAGCGCCAGAGAAACGCGAGGGCGGTCAAGGCCTCAGACGGGAACATGCTCCAGGCGAGGCGGAGGGCCAGCTGGGCTGCCGGAAACCCCCGGGAGCCAGGAGCATAACCGGAGCCCGACCAGCCCCTCCGCCCCCTCCCGCCCCCGGGAGCCGGTGGCAGGCTCTGCAGGGAGTGCTCTTGCGCCCGGCGGGGCTTGCGTGCGCTTCTGCTTTCCCAGGAAGAGCCGTGCCGAAAACGGACTCGGTTCAGCTGATGCACCCTGCCCGGGCAGGGAGTTCCCATCCCCGGTTTAACTGGGGCAGGCCCATACCTACAGCTTGGCCTGTCCCGCGACAGAAAGGAGAGAGAGTGGAGCAGTGCCAACTGGAAAGCAGCAAAGTGTGGCCCCCACTGCCCCCCTCCGCCCCGCCCAGACGGCAGCATAAATTGTGGCTCGCTCCGGCACACAGGTCTCTCCTCCAATCCGGGGAGTGGGGAGGAACGCGCGTCGCCCCATAAACCACGCGGTCCAAACTGAAGCACATCATCACGCACCATTAGCAGGTCCCGCAGCGGAACATTAGACCCTCCTAATTAATTTCCCACCATTTGTCTTCTGGAAGCCTCCTCCGGCGCAGTGTGGCTGCCATTCCCAGGGTTTGCTCGGAGGGCAGGGAGGGGAAGGAAGGGGGCCGCTCCCCACCGGGCTGGAGAGCACGCTCGCTCAAAGCCCCAGGAGCGCGGAAGCCCCAGGAGCCCGGGAAGCCGTGGCCGGAGCATGTGCCTGGGGCCCTGCACACACAGGCCGCCTCCGAGCAGGGGCGGCACTGGCCCGCCGAGGGCTGGGCAGAGGGGCTGCCTTGTGTGCCCGCCCCAGGCAGACCCGGGCTGGCAGGCTCTGCCCCGTGCGCTGCCCGTTGTTGCACAAGGATTCTCAGCCGGAGGCCGCTGCAAAAGCCCTGCCCTCACAACAGGAATTCTGCGCCCGGGAATTTGGGTGAAGTCCCCGGACGCAGCAGAGCGCATGCCGAAGCGCAAGGAAACAGAACCGCCTGGTTCCTTCACGAACCTTGGGCCGGTCCCTTTGTCGCTGCTGCACAGCGGCCCATCTCGTGGAAGGCGCCCAGAGACTGGGCCGTTGCCCCCGCCCCAAGCTCTGCTGCCCCCTTTCTGCACACCATCAAGCCCCTCTGGGTTTGCAGCTGCCTCTGGCAACTGCAGCGGCGGGGAGAAGAGCCGCCGAGCCACGACACCCGCACGTCGCAAGCCAGGCCCCGGCCCAGGGTGGCGCTCCCCCAGGTCCGGCACACGCCCGGTGTTGGGCCGGGTTGCCTGCAGCCCCCCCGCCCCGCCAGGCTGGAAAGCGGGTGGAGAGGAGCCCCCCTGCAGAACAGAGGAGGGGCGGCTCTGCCTTGCCCAGCGAGAAGGTGCTTTGCCTGAGCACGCTCGGTCCCTGGAGCTGGGGCCGCTTCGCCCAAGCCTGCTGAAGGGCGTGCTGTGGCACATCAGTGCTGAGCCTAAGGCACTCTGCGTGTGGTCAGAGACACAACCGACTGTATACTGACAGGGCATAGCCATGGACTGCCTTGGCTTGGCAACTGCTCAGGGCCAAGCATCAGCTGGAGGTGGGTCCCAGAACCGCTCACCTGCCGTGGGGGCACCGGCACGACCCTGCCCACTCACCCCGGTTCCCTCCTTCAAGCTCCCTCCGCTCAGCCCCACGTTCCAGTGGGCCAGAGACCCTCCGTCCTGACAGGAAGGGCGACCTGTGGGGGGTGGCGGCTGCTGCACGGAGATCAGAAGCGGCCCCTTCGAGCCAGGGAGGGTCCCCGCATTCGGAACTGCAGGGCCCAGTGGCAGCCCCACCGGAACTGCTGGGGGCCAGGGGGAGCCTGTGGCCGACGGCCTCCCATCCCGCCCAGTGCTGCCCGCCCTTGGGAACCCTCACGCAGCTCCACGCAGAGGTCCTGGAGGGGGGCTGAGCCGCCGGTGGCCCCCGCAGGCCCAGGCGCTTGCCTCTGGCGTGGGATGGTGCGCTGGGCCGGCCGGCCGTGTGGGAACGAGTGGGCTGGGGGCACGGGGTTGAGCCCACCCCACCTGTCCAGGCAGCAGCCTGCTCGGTGGAGTCGGTCAAACGGGCAGCACTGCCCGATTCTCCATCTGCGCGCGCCCGGAGACGAGACGGGAGCGCTGCCGGGGGTCTCGCGCTCGGGGCATCCCTGGCCCCCTGTGCGCCGGCCGCGTTCGCCCCGGCCCTGCTTTCCCGGCCAGCCCCACAACTGCTTTCCCGGCCAGCGCAACTGCTAACAGCCCAGGCGGGCTGCCCACCCGGCGGGAGACGCCCAAGGCAGCAGATTCGGAAACGGTGGGGAGGGAAAGCCCCCCGATAAGTGGCCGCAGCGGCAGCCACCGTGCAGGCAGCGGAGCTGGGCTGCTCTAGCGTTTCAGACGAGGAGCGCAGTCTCTGTCCCGCTCCATCCCCCGGGCTCAGCGCCCATTTCCCCCGGACAAAGCTTTCCCCGGTGCAAGCCCGGGCCCCGATCCTGTGCGCAGCAGCACGGAAGTCAGCTGGAGGACCCCCTGGGGTTCAGGCTGCATTTCCCCAAACCCCGGGGGGCAGGGGGGCAGGCAAGGGCTGGCCTGAGGCCCCACAGCGCTCGCACAGCTCTTGCGAAGGGGCACCGTGCCAGTCCGAGCCACGTCCTCATTTCCCCATTTTTCCTCATTCTGCCCCCGAAGGGGAGGCTGCCGCTGGGACTGGGGGTCCTCCCCACGGGGACTGGATCCCTCCCGAAGCACGCCTGACTCGGCCTAGAGTGGAGGCCGACCGCCTGGGAATGGACTGGACCGCTTCACTGGGGTTCAGAGGTGGAGACGCTCAGGCCTGGAGCCCAGCCCCAGCCCCATGGGGGTCTCCAGAAGGCCCCTTTCTGGCCTCCCCCTCATCCCAGCCAGCGACCGCTGATGCTTTCCCTGCACCCGGAAGGGCTGTGCCTGCGTGCCCGGCAACGGGAGCCTGCAACTCCAGTGGGGAGGAGGCGCTGTACTTTAGTCCTGCCCCTTCCGCCTCCCCACCCCTTGAACGTGGCCCTCGGGCTGCGGGAGGCCGGGAGCCCAGGAAAGGCGGAGGCGCTTGCCCAGGGAGGGCTGTTGGCTCTCTGGGACCAAAGGAATGGGGCTGGGCTGGGCTGGGCTGAGCCCTCGGGGGCTGCAAGGGCGAGTTTCTCCGGATCCTGCCCTGCCATTAAAAAAGGTACCAAAAAGCATGTTTAAATGTATCGCCTGAGAGGAAGGGACAGTGTAGAAGTGCAGAAAATACGGCCAGGGATCCGTAAATGCACAGCTCAGCTTCTTAAACTGCAGCCTTCACACAGATGGGCTGGAATGAATCTGTGAAAGCCGCACAGGTACCCGCCGCTCTTCCGGGTGATGGAGCATCATTCCCGTCTCCTGGAAGTGGTGCTGATAGCCACCCCTCGCAATATCATTCCTCATTTTATCTGCATATTTGACGGGAAAAGGCAGACGCCCTCACCCCACCTGGCCAAAAGAGGAAGGGATTTCCCGGCACCCTGGAGATCCGCACCCCACCCTGGCGGAGGAGCAGAGGCGAGGCGCATGTTCGTGTGCACGCGTGTGCGCAGGGGTGGGCGCCTCTACCCAGGGGATGCGCGGGGAATCCGGCCTGAGCGGGGAAGCCGCCCGACGCGCTAGGCTCAGCCCCCGGACTCCGGCCTGCCCTCAGCCCACCTCGCGCCACCATCGCGCCAGCGCAGTTCTGCCCCAGCATGCGCGACCCGCGGGCAGAGCGTCCTTCGCGCAACGGAGCGGCCGCGATCCCGGCGCAGGAAAGAGGTCCAGGGAGCACGAGGGGGCCGCCTGCCGCCTGAGCCCCGCAGCCCCGTCGCCCTCAACCATTCCCACCACAAAGGAGGCGAGCAGACCGGGAAAAGGCCGCCTGGCCTCTTCCCGGCATGCTACCTTTCTCTGTGCGGAGATTTCATATTTATTATTTTGGTCTGAGGAAACATTCCACGGCATGAGTAAGGAGGCCGCGACGTTGCTAAATCCGTTCCTCCTGTGGCTTGTCTGGTGCCTTTCATTCCCTCATCCCTCATTGACAGAATCGTATTTTGCACAAATCTGAATGTCCAAAAATGTGCAATTCCCCCTCCCATAGAGAACTCCCCCTAAAATGTGTGTTTCCCTGCGTTAGCCTCTGGGGACAAATGTTCCCCAAAGCATGCATTTTTGGTTGCTGCTTATTTTCTGATTTTTTGTATGACGGAATGTATGTACAATTACAGAAAGTCCTAAAAAACTGGTGTGCAAGTCCAAGAAATCCACAGGACGCAGGAGAAGCAGCCCTGGGGGCGCCTCTGAAGCGCAGAGAGCACCAGAGCACCTGGAGAGAGGCAGCGGCTCGAGCCGGGGCCCACCTGCAGGCCGGAAGGTCCCGCGGGGGGGGGGGGGGGCAGGAACGGCACCAGGCCGGCTTGGTGCATCACGCGCCATCCAGACTTGGCACGCCCCCCTGCAGCGAGGAGCGGTGACCTGCCGAGCAGCCCCCGCCCGGGGGAGGCGACGCGGGGGTGTTCTGCCCGTGGCTCCCCCAGCCCGATAGGTGCCGGGGCTGGGCACTTTCGGGCACACTGAGGCAGGTGGGGCCAGGTCAGTGGGGCGACGCATCCACCTGGGTTTCGGTGTGGGCTTCCAAGAGGCTCTCCGTGGGGCTGAGGACTGCCCCTGCACCGGGGCAGAACTATGAAGGGCTCCCGGGAAGTTCAGGTGGCTCCCCAGAGCGGACACGCTGCCCCAGTGACTGACCCCGGGGGGAGAATAGCCCAACGATGCATGCGAGCAGCACAGAACTGGAGGCGTGTGGGGCGCCGCCCCATGTCAGCCTCCGAGCCTTGCGGAACGTGGCCTCCTCAAGATGCCACCCCCCCGCCTGGCCCTATTCCGTGGGGCCGGGGAAGACACGCCCCGGGAGGGCTGCCCCAGGCCAGCAGCCGGTGTGCTGGAACGGAGCGTGGAAAGGTGGCAGGCACCCTGCCCTGCGCTCTGGGGCACTGCACACCATGCCCCCCAGCTCCGGAAGAGGGCTAGGCACGGGGCCCAAGGCACTCAGAGGGGCGCCAGCAACCCCAGAGGGAGACGCCCCGGGTCCTTTCTCCAGCGCGGCTCCCAACCCCGATGCTGACGCGAGAGCCACTGCAGCAGACGCACGGCGCACCCTCGTCTCCGTCTGCGTCAGGCTCAACACCCCAAGCAAGCAAGGACAGAAGACGCCCGCCGTGCTGGCGCAGGGCGAGAGCCACAGTCCCGTGCGCGAGCAGTGGCCCACAGGAAGCCCCCCGGAGGTCAGGAGTCCCACGAGGGGCACCGCACCGCACCGCACCGCACTGAAGGTCGCAGACCCCAGAGAGCACAACCCCGGGGACTCCTCATGCTGAGCAGCCACGGGGGCGCACCAGGGCCGGTCCCACAACCGCTTGTGGCGAGGTCCAAAATCGGACAAGGCCACATGCTGCAGGGGAGGCCCCGGAGCAGCTCGGCTTCTGGGCGGGGGGCCGTGGCCGCCCAGTCCGAGGAGCCCTCCCCCTGCCCCACAAAGGCATGCGCTGCATGGCGGGTCCGGTCTCTGCGGCCCCCGGCCCCTCCCGAGCACCCACGCTGGCGGCACGAAGGGGCCGGTCCCCTCGGAGGCGGAGGGGGCCCTCCCCACAGGCTCTTCCAGGCCCAGCGGAGTCTGGGCAGCCGGCCTCAAGCAGCCCGCGGCCACGAGAGCAGCCGCCCGAGGAGTGGGAGCGAGGGCGCAAATCAGCCACCCGCCGGGCCATCGTGGCGACGCCGTCCCAGCGGCAAGGGCTCCGGGCCGAGGCCGCGGAGGGCAAGAGGCCTCCGCACGGCCGGCATCCCAGGGCAGGGTCTCGGGGCTCAGGCGCCCAGCGCCCCTGGAACCGGCCTGCCGCCGGAGCCTCCCCCGCGGAAGAGGGTCAAGACAGTTAAAAGCCCGGCCAGGCACGACGCTGCGGCTGCACAGGCAGACCGAGTGGGTGCTGGAAGCAGCCGAGGGTCTCCCCGTCCGTCCACCGGCCTGCCAAGCCACTGGGCTGCTCGAAGGGGCCACGGGGCCACTGCCCTGGGGGACAGCAAATGGCTGCTCTTCCCTTCCTAGTATGCGACCCCCCCCAGTCCCCCCCCCCGTACAGCAAGTCGGGTTTTAAAAACGGCCATTAGTGCCAATAAAGCTTTTTTAAAAGCAGAAGTGCTGCGGGGCGGGTGTGGGGGAGCACAGGGCTCTGAGAAAGCGGAGAAGGCATGGGTCAGAGCGAGCAAGAGAGCCGTGGGGGGAGCGAGGCAGGCGGGGGGTGCGGGGGGCCAGAGGAGGGGATTCTGCGCAGCTCCTGGGACCCCTCCATGTGGGCTGCAGCCCCCTCCCCCATGGGGCACGTGCCCGTCGAGGAATGCAGCCCCTGGCCGCCCCCCCACCCCCCCGCCCTGCACACCTCCTGGGAAGCAGGGCTGATGAGGTGGGACACGGACCACCGTCCAGCGGGAGCGGCACTCTTCCCGGGCCAGGAGTGCTCCCACCACCCCTGGCGGGCGGCTGCGCACGGGGCTTACCGGGAAGGCGTAGATGAAGATGCCCAGGAAGAGCAGCAGCACGAAGAGGAGGAGGAAGACGAGGAAGAGCCACTTGAACCTTCGCCACAGGATGTACTTCAGGGTCTTGTAGGGGGAGGTGAACCACAGGAAGGAGGTCTCGGGGCGCCTGCAGCCAGCGAAGGCCAGGGAGAGGCTCGGAGCCGGGCCCGGGTGGGTCCTGCAGCCCCCAGGAGGGCAAGGCCTTGGGGTGCAGGAGAGCTGCTCCTTCCCCCGCCCTCGCTAAGCAAGAGCCCCCCGCAAAGCCCCCCTCCCCAGAGAGGGGTGCTGCGAAATGCTCCACTGTTACCCTCCCTCCAAACCCTCCCGCGCCCCGTTCTCGTAGGGCCGGCTTCCCAGCCCTGGCCCTCCAGGTGCGTCCAGCTGCAGCTCAGCCCCCTGCCAGCAGGGCAGCCGGAGTGACCAGGGCCGCTGGGGAGCCTTGCGTGGCCAGTGGGCAAGAGAGCCCCACGCCCCCCTCCTGCCCGCCCCCTGCGGCCAAGCACGCGCATCCGTGGGCTAGCAGAACGCCCGCCCGGGCAAGAGGGGCGGCCACGCCACACCCCACTGCCCCAGGACCGCCTCCCGCCACCCCCCGGGCACAAGCTGGGGGGGGCAGCTCAGCGGCCCTCTGCGCGCCTCACTTGGGGTCCTCCAGCCGGGGGTTCATGTTTGGTTCGTCCCGGCCCAGCCCCGCCGGCCGCTCCTCGTGCTCCTGTTCATTCACGATCTCCAGGCTCATCTCCAACTTCCCCTGCGCAAGAGAAGGAAGGGGGAGATGTGGGGAGGGGAGATGCAACGGGGAAGTGCCCCTCGGAGGCCCCCGCCTCTCCCGCCACAGAGCAGGTCGCGGATGCTGCCGCCCGGCCAAGCCGAGACCCCTGCGCAGCCCGGCAAACTGCTTCACTGGCCGGAGTCGGCTTCGCCCGGCTCTCCGGGGGATCCTGTGCTCTGTCGGCTCAGGCGCAGCCCACCCGAGGCCTGGCTCATGGCCCACCTCTTTTGGGGTTGACGGACATGGTGAATTTTGCAAGGATGTAACATAGAAACACAGAAACAGAGCGAGCCAGAAGGGGGTTCCCGGGCCATCTAGTCTGACCCCCGGCTCCAGCTGGCTCTGCTCACGACAAGCCCACCATGTGCACGTCCAGCCTGTCCTTGAACACCCCCACCGATGGTAGTGGGCACTTGCACAAAATGGCTGTCATGGTGGGCAGAAATGGTGCAAAGCACTCATTTTTGGGGTGAGGCTCAAAGAAAGCTCATTTGCCCAAGAACCGAAATGCAAGACAGGTAGTTCTGAGCCTCTGAAGCCAAAATCAAGGGGGTGCTAGAGCAGGGCACACCAGCCTTCCATTAAAAAAATAAATGGCATTAAAGAATCTTTAGAAATAAAGTAAAATTCAAAGGGACAGGAAACTTGGAAGCACCGAAAGAGGTGATTGGAACCACTGTGTGGGAGATCCCAGCTGTCGGTACCCCGAAACCCCCAAACTCCCCTTTATCCTTCCCTCTCCTTATGTGGTAATGTAACTGGTCTATGCAACTCTTCTTTATCTGGAGGTGAGCCAAATCCTCCAGAGGAAAAGCAGTGAGCTCATCAGAAACGGAAACAGAGCGAGCCAGAAGGGGCCTCCTGGGTCATCTAGTCTGACCCCCCCCCCGCCTCCAGCCGGCTCCGCTCATGACATGCCCACCATGCGCATGCCCAGCCTCCAGCTCTGTTTTCCATCTCACTTCAGGCAAAATCAGAGCGCAGCAGCTCGGCTGTCCGCTACCCTGAGAAGAAAGCAACGTTCGGAAGATTTTCAGTGGACCCCCCGCGTCCCCCGGCGACTGTGCGTCAAAGGGGCAGCGCGAGCAAACAAGGAACCCGGAAGTGGTGTCACTGCTGGAAGACGGATGAGTGCGCGGGGAGGGGGCCCGGGAGAACCCAGCTCGTCTCAGGCGCACGTAAAGAAAACAGCCGCGGGACGAGAGCCGAGAAGCGAATGCAATGGACCGTGCGCCCGTCACACCTCGTTGCTTGCGCTGGCGGGGAGCGCCGGCCCTCCATGGGGTCCGAGGCGTGCGGCGATGCCCCCCCGCGGGCGAAGGGCCCCCGTGGCTCAGCGGCCTCGGCCCCACAAGCCCCCCGGAGCCGCCACGCCCCCCGCTGACCCTGCCCTCCCTTAATGGCCTCTCGCCCCTTGCAGGGCCAAGCCCAAGGCCGGGCACCCTCCTGAGGGCAGCCTCTCCGCCCGCGTGCGTGCCGCCTGCAACGCGGCCCCAGCCCCCGCTGCGCTGGCCTTGCAGGGGGGCCCCCTCGCTCTGCTCCGGCCCCCACCTTCGGTGCGCTTCCTCCGTGGCTGCCCTGCCACGACCACCGGCGCCGTTTTGCCTCTCGCGGCACTGCGGGAGCCACTCGCAGATCCACCTTCCCCGACCCGGAGGCCCCCAGATGCACGTGGCCGCAACTTGCGTTGCCCCCGGCTGTCTGGGGCTGGTGGAGCTGTAGTGCAGAGCCCTCGCAAGCCCGCCCGGTGCCGCCGTGCTCCGCCTCCAGTAAGCGGGCACCTATCCTGCCTTCCAGCACCGCGATGCAGGGGGCTGGGGACACCGGGACTGCAGCCGGCCACGGGGGGGCTGCCCCAACGATGCGGGGCGGAGGGGTTGAGGGCCCCCCACACCGGCACTTCGGCCCTGGAGCGTCCACTGGAGCTAAAGGGGCACCGGGGAAATCCGGTGCAGTGGTGCCCCGGCCTCCTGGCCTGACGGACAGGGGGCACCCGCCCTGAGCCCCCCCGAGTGCCAGGAGGACAGTCAGCCTTGGCCTGGTCCGGCCGAGGCAGCCATGTCGGGGTTCCCTGGAGCAGGCAGTCCCACCCTCCCTCACCACCAGCTCTACGGGCGGGCGAGGGCTGTAGGGTCCCCGCTCGCGTCACAGGCTCAGGGAGAGCCGCAGGCCCTCGAAGCGGCCCCCCTCGGCCGGCGCTTGACGAGCTCCCCCAGGTGCAGCGCCCTTTGCCCCCGGGGTGCGGGCAGGAGTGTGACGGGGGCTCCTCTCACCAGCCCCCTGCTGCGTTAGATGGGCAAGGGGGACGGTCCCGCCGGGTTCAGGCGTGGCTTTGGACATGCACGGACTCTGAACGACGGAGGAACAACGGCCCGACAGACGTGGCTGGAGATCGCTGGGAGCTGAAGGGCTTCGGGAAAAGGTGGGGAGCACAGGAGAGGCAGGACGAGCCAAGAAAATTCCTTCGAAAGCCAGGGCACGGCAGGTTTTGGTGGCCCCCCTGCCAGCCCGCCAGTCCGCCCTGCGAGCCGAGCCGTGCAAGGCCACTCGCGGTCTCCCGCAGCGCTGGGCGGCTTGGCGGGGCGGGCCGCCCGGTTCCAGGGCTGCTAAGCTTTGGCACAGCCGAGCCCTTCCAGACGTGCCGAGCGAGCAGCCTCGCCCAGGGACCTGGAGCCTCTCCCGGCTTCCCAAAGCGGCCCCTGCAGCACGGAAAGGGCGGCCGGCGCACCTGCTCCGTGTGGCCACGAAGCCCTGGCAAGGCTGCAGGGCTGGCAGGACTCCAGCAGGAGCCCGTCCTGCCAGCCCGCCCGGCCGACATGGGGAAGCCGCCAGCGTGGCGTGAGTGGGAGCCGGGGCCTACCGCAATGATCCTGGCGCCGCCGTCCTCCGCTGAGCAGGGCCACCAGCCCCGCACGGTCTTCTGCTCGAAGAGGGAGCCCACGCTCTCCGTGTGCTCCAGCCGGTCCAGCGTGCACTTCTCCGCCGTCTTGGCTGGCTTCGGCATGCTGCTGAGGTCCAGCTGGATGGAGCCTGTCGGGGGAAGAAGCCAGCGAGGGGCACGTGTGGCGAGCGACCGCTGCGGGCAACCGAGGCTTGTGGGCTGCGCTCGGGGGGGGGGGGGTCCCATGAAGACCAGGGTGGGTCCACGAATGTGCAGACAGCTGTCCTGGCCTACAAGCCAAGTTTTAACTGGCAGCTTGTCTCCGAATCAACCCCTGTGCTGGTTTTGCCGCCTCCACCCTCCTCTCCATCGGCGTGATTGCTGATAGCCTGGTTGTCGAAGGAACGCAAGATTCCCATAAAGGTGTCACTGCCTGGCCCCCTGGAGGCACCTGCAGGCCCCCCAGCGGAGCAGGGGAGCAGCTCTTTGCAAGCGGAGGTCTGGCGGAGGCCCACGGGGTGCCCCGGAAGGCTTCGCTGGGGACAGAGCGCGAGCCTGGTCCCTCCCGGGAGGAAGCGTCTCTGCTGCCTTGCGAGGAGCGGGCCCGCTGGGTGAGAGGGTCCCCTCCGCGCCTGCTGCCTCAGCCAGGCCACTGAGGGCTCCACGCCGGGGCCAGCAGGCCGTGGCGAGCCGTGCCGTGCAGCAGCTTGCCCGAGACAGGCGCCTGGGGCTTTGCCGTGCTGGCTGCGCGTGCCGCACGCCTGCCACGGGTCCCGGCTCGCCCCTTCACGTTCGCACAACCACCCTGCACGCGCTGATGAACGGTGGCCCAGAGCACATTCCGAGCGGCCAGCCCAAGCGTCCCCTCGGAGCGGCGACTGAATCAATGCGCCTCTGTGCTGCTGTGCACCGGTAGCTCGTAAAAACATGAAGAGGAAAATTGAAAACTGCACCATGTGCCAAATCCCAACACGAACTGCAGAAATGCTCCAAATTAAACAGGAAGGCAGACGGGGAAGAACGTGGGGCAGACAGAGAGCTCAGGGCCGAGATGGACGCCAGTCCGCTGCCCCCTCCCCACGCCGGTCACTCACCCAGGTAGTCGTCGAAAGAGAACTTGTCGTTGTCCCAGATCTGAAGGATCAGCTGCGGCGGGACTTTGTTCTCGGTCTTGTCCAAGCTCCAGAAATGCTCCTTCACGTGCACACAAACAGGCCCCGTGAGAACCAAGCGGCACGTGGCTCGTCCCAGCTGCCCCTTCCCTCCTTGCAGGCAGGCAGGCAGGCAGGCTGAGGGCAGCCCTCCCAATCCTGAAGCGCCCGGAGAGCTTCAGGATCCCGGGCCAAGGAGCTCGGCCACGGGAGACGCCCAGCATTTAGCTTCTAGCTCAGGAAGGCCGGAATTTGCGGGCAGCATCTGAGCAGCTCTCGGGAGCCGGCAGCGGGGTTGGGGTTGGGCACCAACTGGGACCCCAGGACCCAGCACGCTCCTTGACCCCTGCCCATCCCTGGCAGGGGGAAGGGCCACCCACACCTCGGTCCAGGGTGCAGGGTCGAGGGCGTGTTGGCTTGGTGGCCGTGCAAAGCGTGGCTTGCCAGGACGGGGTGGGGGAGCCCCGACCGCTCTGCTGGCGGGGGGGTGGGCAGCACACGGAGGAGAGAACAGCCCGAGGTGCACATCTGGGAAAAGATTCCGAGGAAGAGCGCACGACATCCATCTTCATAATGAGCTCCCCATGGAAAAGGGGGAGCCCCATCCCCGCAGACGCCGAGACAACGGCAGGGGAAGACCTCCAGAGAAACATCTGGGGGAAGCCATTAACCTGAAGGTGTGAGGTTCGGCAAACAATTAGGTGCCTCCGAGTCAAGGTGCGCATGAAGGAAAACGCCTGGCCCAGGTTTCGGGAAGAGATGCACAAACTAATGAGAAACATCGTACGTGGAGACACGCAGGGGCCCAGCGGGAAGGCTGCTCGGCGGGGCCTGGCAGCCTGGATCAGGAGTCCGACCTGGTGGCGGATACGCCCCGCCTGCTCGATCCTCGGGATCATCCAAACTGGGGCCAGCAGCACCCCGGTTGTGGGGGAGCTCGCCCGCCTGCCCCCTCCCATTCTGCCAGAGCTGGGGCTGCTCAGCTCGGCAGGGCGGCTGCGGAGAGCTCCTGTGCAGCCGCTCCTTCCTCTCGCAGAGGGGAGACACCCCACAGGGCCGGCCTCCCGTGCAGACGCCGTCGCCATGCAGAGATGTCTCTTTGTGACAGAAAGGACGAGGTCCGGCACAGAACACACCGCCTCCTGTCCCCCTTTTGCTGTGGGGGACGCGCAGCCCCCCAGGCCCCCTTGGATCTGACAGCCATGGAAAACTTGTCAGGAGCCCAGGGGTCCAAAACAGCGTTGCGAAGGGTCTGTGGGGCGGCAGTGTGCCCAGGGAGTCACCCTCAGAGCCCCGCCAAAGCCCACCCATGTGCAGTACCCAGTGGGGCACCCAAATCTGGCACTTTGCCAGCGGTCCCCGACTCCCGCTCAAAGCCCAGCATCCAAGGGGAAGCCGGAGGCAATGCCGGAGGAGCTCACTGGCACCCCAAACCGCAGGATGCGGCCCTCCCAGCCCCCTTTCCCACGCCCAAGGGGGAAGGTGCCTTCCAACCGGTGTGGGGGGGCTGTGTGCCTTTCCCCAGCAGCTGCTGTGCCCCACGTGCCTCGGGGCCCCACCTCCTGTCCCACCTGGACTTCGATCGCCCCCCACGCAGGTGGCTTAGCGGGCTGCCGGGTTTTCCATCCGCCCGCTCGGGTTTGAACTTCAGGCTGCAATCCCGCCCCCCCGCACCCACCCTTCCTTTTTACAGCAACAAGTAATGAACCTGGACTTCAAACGGCACATGGCGAGATCAAACGCCGCCAGCGGGAGCGGGGCTGTGCACCGGGCCTGGCTTTCCACTCATTACTTCTGCCTCTGCGCAGCCCTTTTACAAGCTGTGCATTTTCAGATCCAGCTACGGCAAACACGTGGCGGGAAGGGGGCCGGGGAGCCCCTGTCGGCACAGCGGGGGGGGGGGGCTGCTCTGAGGCCTTTCAGGGCCGCTTCCACCGTCGGGTGGGAGACCGCACGCCCAGCTTGCGACTCTCGGCCTTGTGCGCCAAAGTCAAAAGCAAAGCAGTCGGTCGTTCGGCCAATAAAGGAGGGGCGCGCTAATTAGACTTCAGGCAACAGGGTGCTAATTGCCTAACTCAGCATTTCCTGAGCAAGACTAAAATTTGCACGGTGTATCAAAGAGGGGAAAGGCACCCAGGGCACTGACCAAGAGCAGCTGCGGAAATGCGACGCAAGGAAGAGACACGGGCTGGGTGAGAAGTCCCAGCGGCAAGCACAGGCTGATGGGATCTGAGGGAGCGGGGGCCGAGGGAGGGGCTCCTGGTGGAGGTGGACGGCTCCGTAAAAAGCGGGCCCAGGGCGCAGCGGGGGCAAAGGCAACCTGCTTGCTCAGGAGTGGCGCTGAAAGCGATCACACGCCCCGGCACAGGCCCCGGGGCGGCCGCACTGGTCCGGGGGCCGCGGCTGCCGAGGGACATCACTGGGCCGGAGAGGAGGGACGCTGGAGGAGCAAGGGGGCTGCAGGAGCTGGGAGCTCTGCTGGGAGTTGAGGGGAGACCCGGCAGTGGTGCTTCAAATGCATTTATTTATTTAAAGCTTTCATATGCCGTCCCCTTGCTACATAGCCTCGGGACGACTCACAGAAACATGCATCGAACGATGCAAGGTGTGGAGAAAGAGAAGGAGGCGTTTCCTCCCCCCCTCCATAGCACTTGAACCCGGGGCCACCCCATGAAGCTGATGGGTGGGGCAGATACCAGGAAGTAGTTTTATGGCCTTTGCTGCCACAGGAAGGGGTGAAGGCCACCGATCCGGGTGGCTTTCAAAGGGGGTTGGACAGATGCCTGCGGGAAGAGGCCATCCGTGGCCACCGGCCTCGTGGGCCATGGGCTACGCACCCGCCGGCAGTGGCGTGCCTGCAGGCACCGGTGGCCGAGGGCCTGGGCGGGGGGAGGTCCTGCGCCCACCCTGCTTGGGGCATCCTATGGCAGCCACTTCGGTCTGACCCAGCGCGGCTTTCCTTTTATTCCCATGTGATATCTGTGGCCAGGAGTGCCGGGCATGGATGCCTCCCCCCTCTGCCTCTCGGGGGGTTCTCCTAAATTGCCCAAGCCCCCAGGGCCGTCGCCATCAAAGGCAACAGATCCTGAGAAGCTGCCCTAAGCATGCAGGGAAGCAAACCCAGCCGGACGAGGCTCCTGGGCCTTTCTCCCTGCTTGTCTCCGGCACGGATACAAACAGCTGCTCCCTTGGGTAGGTCCACATGTGACAAGGAAAAACGAGGCGGCTGCACAGCACCCCCGGAAAGCATGTGCCGTGGGGGGCATGTGCTTTGGGAGGGGCAGGGGATGTGTCACCCCGGGGGTCACTGCCGCAGCCGGGGAACAGGAGTCTGCACGCACCACGCCCCCTCCCCGGCGGAGTGCCTCAATTTCAGGATATTTGAGGTAGCAACGACAATCCAAGCCTGACTCGCTGCCATCAGGATTCCTGGCTTGGTGGCGGTTTCTTTGATCAGAGTATTGTGCGTTAAGCACTGGGTTTTGAACGGAAGTCTTGTGCCAAAAGGAGCCATGGAGGAATGGAGCAGGGTTGCAGCGCTGGTGCAATTTGGAAGACGTCCTCAAGAACAGGCCATCCGGACGGCAGGATTTGCACGAGAAGCCCCTCGCCCCCTCCCGCCCCCACCTCGTGTCCTCACTCGGCAAGATTCCCCTGGGAGCTTCCAGGCCGCGGCGGCTCCGCCACCAAGAGGCCCGCGCACAGCCTTTCCCGGTGGGCTCCTTGCCAGCCTCCTCCCCACCTGGCAAGAAACAAGGGCGGCAGAAGCGCTCCGGCGGGTTGCAAACGGAAGATGCTACTGTCGGGCGCACCTGTACGGTGCTTGAATAAGAGAAGCGCGCACACAGGAAAGGCCTCGCCCGGGGTGTCCGTCACGCGTCGCCAAGAGGCGGGGGAGCCCGGAGCAGAGGAACGGCTTCCAGCCGGGGAGACTCACCTTCTTGGCCACGCAGCAGACCTGCTCGGCGGGAAGGTAGTCGAAGGGGAAGACGAACCGCCAGTTGAAGTTCCCTTCCCCGCCCATGGACCGGTAATGCACGTCCGTCTTCTGCCTGTTCTCCTCGTGGCCGGCCAGCCAGCTGCAGGGCAAGCGGCCGCGTCAGGCCTGCGTCCGGAGAGGCACTGGGGACTGGCCCCGGGGCACGGATCACGCCGGCACACGGCCGAGAGGCAAGGGGAACAGATCGAAATAGATCTGCCTTGCGGGCGTCACGGTCGCGTGCCGGAAGGGCAGCTGCTCCGTTGCCCTCCCCGTGGCGGCCCCACGGGTGAACCGAGTCTGTGGGGGGGGCAAACCCAGGGGTGGGCGGAAGCTAAAGCTGCCCACCAAGGGCTGGTTGCCCCTATTCCAGAAGCAGGAGCTTTGGAACAGAGGGACCCGTCTAAGCCAGTCCTGCCAACACTGACCGGCAGCCACGACTCTGCAGGCTTCCAGGCAGGCAGGCGCTGCCCCGACCCACCTGGAGGTGCTGCCCAGGCGTGAACCCGCAAGCCCCCGCGTGCCCGTGGGGGGCCGCCCCTGAGCTACGGCCCCTTCCCGAGTGCTCGGGGCCTCGCTGGAGGGGGGCGGGAGGGAGGGGGGGCGCAGGCCCCACACGGGGCGCGAGCCGTCCTCCGGGCAGTTGTGCTGGCGCACCCCAGCCCAGGCCGTGCGGCCTCCAGGAAGGGGCCCCGGGGCAGGACGGCCTACCCTCTCACGTAGATGTCGCTCATCTTCTCCCCGGTGATGCTGAGGTCGTCCAGGATGACGTCCTTCGCGTTCCAGATGATGCACCGCAAGTAGAACCTGGGCCGGCGGAGCGAGGCGAGTCAGCCTGCCCTCCGGGCTCCTTCTCCTCCCACCGCGCCCGGTGGCGCCAAGGGCCCAGCCGGGGCTGCCTCACGGCGCCTGCTGACCCGCGGCTCCAGCGGCTCCGGCCGGGTCCTTGCAGGCCGGCCGGCCGCCCCAGGCAGCTCAGCGCCGCTCCGCCTCGGCCCCCTCGGCCCCGCACACCGGGCGCCCCCCCGCCTGCGGGGCGGGCCCCCCCCCCCCCGCCTGCGCCACTCTCCCCGCGCACAGCAGCCGGCGCCCAGGGTGGGCAAGAGGCCCCGGGCGCGAGGCGGGGAGCCCGGCCGGGCAAAGCCCGCCCCTCATGCTGCCAGCGGACGGGCCCGGCTTGGGCCCGGTGGGGCAGCCCCGCGCTGGCACGGCAGCCCCACGCGCCGGGGTGCAAGCCAGGGGCCACAGTGAACTTCAGGGCAGCGGGGGGGGGGGGGCGGAAGGGGGGCAGCGTGTGAAAAGCCCTGCAGGGCAGAGCGCTCCTGCCCATGCGAGGCCCCGGAGAGGCATTTCGCCCCCTCGGGGTGGGGGCTCTGGGGGCGCTCAGCAGCGGGGGAAGGGCAGCACGGCCAGCGGAGGGGTCCTGGCCCCGGAGCCCCGCAAGGCCACTTTGGGCCCGGGGCCCGAGCTCTGCGCCCTGGCCAGCGCGCACGCAGAACATCAATCGTCACCGCTTTGCTCTCCGGGGGGTCACGTTGAACGGCGGCCCGGGGGGCCCGAGCGACTTCGGGAACAGGTCCACCCACATCTGAAGCTTCCCCTGCAAGGAAAGGGGGGCGTGAGAGGGAACCGGGGCGAGCGAGCGGGGGCTGCCGCCTCTTCCCACCTGCTTCCGGAAGCGTCCCCGGGAGGGGGCCTGCATGCTGAGAGTGGGGTGGCAGGGCCCCCCCTCCGGAGGTGGGCCGACTATTTCGGGAAGCAGGCAGACCGGGGGGGGGGGGGCTTGAGCCGGGAGCCTGCTTACCGTGGCATCCCGTGCCCCTTGGCATCTCATTTGGCAGCGCCGCGTGGAGTTGTTGCGAGAAAACAGCCAAGGGGCCCTGGCAACCCGCCCCCACAGATGGGAGACGCTGGACAGTGTGTGTCCTCCCCGCCCTCCCTCCAAGGAGTCCTTGGTGGGGGGCAGGCAGCGCCCCCGTTTAATCTCACAGCCCCTTGGTGGCCATTTGGGACTGGCTGGCAGGGGTGGGACGGCCACCCCCCGGCCCCCAGCAAGCGCCCCCAAGCCAGGGCAGGCGCCCGTCCGCGGGCGGGGGGCAGCTCCCGCTTCACTCGCCTGCTCAATGTCCGGCTGCAGCGGGCTGAACAGCCGCCTCGTCTCGACGTGCTCGGGCACCAGGCCCTGCTTCCGCAGCGCGTGCAGAGCCAGCCGCTCCTCCACCGCCCCCAGGTGCGGGTTGGGGGGCTTGCCGTCCTCTAGAGCAGAAGCGCAAGGGGGAAGTGACTGTGCAGCCAGCCCTGTGCTCTGGCAGCCATGCCTCCTGCGCCGGCCCCAGCGAGCCTCAAGCAGCCCCGGGGACCGGCCCAGGCCCCTGCGTGCCAGGCGGGCGCTCTGGCCCTTGGCTCTTTGGAGCCCCCACCCCCGGGCGGGACCCCCTCGCCACCCTCCAGGCCCCTGCCCTCCGCTCTCCAGCACGGGGATCACTGCCCCGCAGGCCGGGCAAAGGGGCCAGGGGCAGCTCCTGCGGGCCACGCTGCGTGCCAGGCAGCCCCTCGCCTTCCCGCCTGCATCCCCTGCGCGTGCGGAAGAGGGCGGCCCTGCAGCTCCCCCCTTCTTGGGGGTGTGAGCGAAGCCAGTGGCCTCCCTGGCCTCCCGGACGGAGACGGACCGCTGGCTCAGCTCCTGCTCGCCTCCCACTCAGTGGTCACCTGCAGAACCGAGGGCCGGAGCTCGGGGGGCGGGGGGCCCCTGCATGCCACAGGTTCAGCCCTCAGCCAAGGCAGGAAAGGCCCCTTCCGGAGCGTGGACGGCCGCGGTGCCATCGGGGCCGCGCATCCGGGCTGGGCAGATCCTCGCCCGTGCCCAGTGGTGGCCGGCTGCCGGCGCCCTGCGGACGCTCGTGCGGGAAAAGCCCCTGCCCATGGCCAGCGGCTCCCCAAGGGAGGGCACGTCCGTCGCCACTGGCTCCCCCCGGCCAGCCTGACCTTGCACACCGAAGCAGAGCAGAGCTGGCGGGGGACCCTTCTCACGCGGCGCGGCCTTCGGCCCTTCCCCGTAGTCCAGAAACCACGGGGCATGATCCATCGGGAAGTGCCCCCCCCCCCCGAGATTAGCAGGGGCAGTGCCAAGGCGGAGCGGCCGGAGCCCCGCAAGCCGGCTTCGGGTCTGGCCCGGCCAGACGAGGCGGGCAGCCTGGCCGGGCCGGGCGCGCTCACCGAGGTCTGCGAGGCTGTAGCTCTGGTCGCCAAGGGTGATCCGGTCGGGCCGGTAAACGGGCGCTTTGCCGTGGCGCTGCAGGGCGACGTGGTGCAGCAGCTGGGAGGGCCGCAGCTGATCCCGCCACTGGTTCGGGCCAGACCTGCCCGAGGACGGAGAGGCGAGCCGTCAAGCCGCGCGAGGGCGAGAGCGAAGGGACCCCTCCCCTCCGCCTTCTGCAGGCGTTGCGGCGCCGCGTGGCTTTCCGAGGTCGCCCGTGCGGTCCCGCAGCTGCCCTCCTTCCAGCGGGACTCGTGTGGGGGCCCAGGCCCGATCGTGCTCCCCACCCGTCGCCCCCGCCCCCGCTCGGCAGGCCGAGGTGGGTTTGCCGCTCGTTGCGTGTCTCTGCCTCCGCGCCGCTTTCGGCTGAGGGAAGCGGCTGCACGGCCATCCTGTGCCGCCATCCCTGAGGCCGGATCCAGACCCGGCCAGGCCTCCGGATCCCTCTTAGCGCTGGCCGCACGGCTACGCGAGTGTGTGGGAACCGCTTGCAGCCGAGCCTGGAGCCGCCCGATGTGGGTCCACGGGGGTCCCGGCCTGATGGCCTGGGGCGGCAGGCGGGCGGGAGGCAGACTGTGCCTTGCACCCACGGCCCACCCGTGAAGGGAGGTGCGGAGGGCAGGCCCTCCTCGCTGCACAGCCGGGCCGAGGGGGGCCGGGAGGGCGGCCCATCCCCCGAGCTCCCCGCTGTAGCTCCCCGCAGGTGGGGTGGGGGCTGGGGGACAGACGAGGGGCCCGCAAGCCAAGTCCCCCCCAGGAACCCACTTGCAGTACGTCTGGGGCAAGCCACAGCGGGCCCCAAATCTGGAGAGAAACCGGTTCTCCAGGTCGATGGTGGTCTCCCCGATCTTCTCGTCCCTGGACAGGAGGTCGTAGTCGAAGAGCGCGACCCTCAGGTCCTTCTCCAAGGGCAGCGTGCAGCTCAGCTCGAACATCCTGCGGAAGGCGAGCGGCCGGGTTGCTCCGAAGCATCGCCTCCGTCGCCACTGGAAAGCCACTTCCCCACGTGGTGCCCCAGTGGCCCAGGGGGTCATTCGCATCAGGGGAGGGAGCTGGGAAGTGAACACCCAGAATCCCCTGCCAGCATGGCCACGGCCGATGGCCAACACATTCGGGGATCTACTTGCTCCCCCCCAGCTTCGCTGAGCCAGGAAAGCGGCGCTTTCGGGGTTCATACTGCTCCCCCCTGCCCCCCGCCAGGCTCTGGAAGGAAGTCTGGCTGAATTCCCATGAGGAAATTCTGCATGGCGCACGGAAATGGCCCCGGAGCCACAGGACACGCCGCTTGCCCACCGGCAGGCAGCCAAATCCTTCGGGGCCTTTGCACCCGGGGCGCAGAGGGGCGCGGATTCCACTCTGGAGACCGTGTGCCCAGGGACGACGAATTAGAGCAGCCCCGGGGAGCCAAAGGTCAGCCTCCCACCCGCCCCATCGAGCTGCTTCCTCTCGGGACCCTCTCAGCAGCACACCAGCCCCCCCCCCCGCTGCTGCACACGCACACATGCGCCCAGCTCCCCACAGAGACACCCGGCACGCACGGGGCCCTCACTTTCCAAAGACCGGCTCCAGGGTGCCCGGAAGGTAATGGTCCTGGTCGCTGATGGATTTCTTCCCCACAGAAATCTTTACGTAAGGGTCGCACTGCAGGGGAGAGGGAGGGAAAGACAGGCAGTGGCGGGGGGGGGGGTCTCAGCGACCGCCCCATGCCAGAAGGGCAAAGCGGCTGGGGGAGCGAGGCCCACCAGCTGAGGGACCGCCAGGTGAGGGGCCGTCTCTGCATCAGCCACAAACCTCTCCACGGAACAGGGCCCCGGGGCCCCCTGTCCTGAGGCAGCCTCTTGCGGCTGAAGCAACCCCGTCTGGCATAGCCCAGCCCGAGGGACACAGGGCCGATGCAAACGCCGCAGTTCAAGAGTCTCTCCTTTAAATTGGGGGGGGGGCACCGGGGCCCACAGACTGAAGGGCTCTGCCAGGGGAGCAGCAGAGCAAAGTTAGATTAATGTGGGACCCTAAGGGGTCATCCACACAGCTGCACCCACTGCCCCCAGGCTTCCCCGCTGCTTTGCCATTCCATGTATGTTAGAGCAAAACTGAAACACACTGTTTAACAGCCGCGATTGGAAGGAAGGGAGGGAGGGAGGGAGGGAGGGAGGACGGACGGACGGACGGACGGACGGAGCCAGTGCTGCCTGCTTCAGCTGACCTGCCACTACACAAATTCCCACAGGAAAAAGCTCCGCTTTCTTGAGACAAGGATAACGCAGAGCGAAAGCAGTGGCAAGAAAAGGAATCACCCCGCCACCCCAGGCCCAGCGGCCCAGTTAGCCGCTCTCGGGCTGCCAAGCGCTTGGGCGTTGCTTCTTCCAACGCGGCGGAGCTGCCTCGACTGGGCCAGCGGCCAGGCTCAGCCACCCCGAGGCCCCCGCGCCCCAAAGCCCTGTCAGCCCCGCCTCAGCTGCCTCCCGGGGCTCCCCAGAAGCGCCAGGGGCTCCCCTGGGGCAAGGGAGGCACGGGGCGCCCAGCCAGCCGGGCGGGGGCAGGAGCTCTTGGCAACCCCACACCTGTCAGCCCCTGCCTTCCCCGAAGCCCTTTCCACACGTTCCCCGGGACCTTGGGAAGAGGAGCGTGCGGCGCCCGGCGTGCAGTCTCACTCGGCCCTTCGCCGCACCAAGCCGGCTCCTCTCCTGCGGCCCCACAGGTCGCTCCGCCCGCGCAGGCCTACCTTCCCGTTTGCGTCCTTGGGCTGCAGGTCGAAGGCGCGGATGACGTAGACGCGGACGAGGCACTCCTGGGGGCCTCTGGCGGGGAGCTGGTGGAACTGCCGGGGGGGCAGCGGCACGGCGGGGTCGTCGGGCAGAGGGTACACCTTGAAGGAGCCCTGCGGACAGCGGGGAGGGTCACCGAGGGCCCCGCCAGCCCCCCTCGCCCCGACGGCCCCTCCGGTTGCGGGCAAGGCCGCGGGCGCAGCTGGCACGTGTCGGGCACGACACGGACGTGGCAGGTGTGGCCACAGGCAGGGCTTCTGCGTGCCCCCAGGACCCCCCCCCCCAAGCCAGGCTGCCCGAGAGCAGGAGCCGCTTCGCAGAGGGCGCTTCGGCTTCCGCACTGAGCAAAATCGAGAGAAGGCACGGTCCGGGCAGCACCGCCTGAAGACGCTTTGTGCACCTTTGTGAGGGGACGCCAGGCGGGGCCCTCTGGGCTCAGGACACGGGGCACGCAGGAGGGGCCCCCCTTCCCCAGCCCCAAACGGCAGGGCCTGCTCGGCAGCCCCCGGGGGCCCTTCTGCAGAAGACACCCGTGCGCGAAGCGAAGCTCGTGCAGCGCCTCCCACTCCACTCCGGCGCTCGCTCAGTCTTGTGCCAGCGTCAGACTGGGAGCTCCGTTCTTTTTACACGCTTCTCGCACAAAAGCCACGGGGCTTTTCCGGTGCGTCTTCCCACTGGGACAGGTCAGGGGGGCCCTGCTCTGAAAAGTGCGCGTTCTTCTCCCTTTCATTCATTCATGCACTTCGGTTTGTGCGCTGCCGTCCTAAGCCTGTTGCTGGGCTCCCAGTGCAGCTCGCAATGCACAAGCCGCACGTGATTAAAACATGCTTGGTGTATTGATCAGAAATCAAGATTTTTCCGGGGCATTTTTCAAATGTGAGCAAGCTGCAAAATAGAATATTTTTGGCCCACAGAACAAACTCGGGAAGGCACGGGCTTGAAGCTTGAGACTGCGCATTTGAGTGTATGCGTAGACCAAGAGTTATGAACTGGGTTAATGCTGCTCAGAAGGAACTGGAATTAACTTCTCACACTTCCTTATAAATGCCCCACACCTACTAAGGCATCGTTTCCACTGAGCCAGGTATAAAACTGCAGCTGCACAAATGCATCTGGTTGCTGAAATGTGGGAACTGCATGTGTGGAAGGAACGCCCTCGCCGCCACCCCTCCAGCGGCCGCCAGTTCTTCCATGCACCCCCCCATCCTGCCCGTGTGGCTCTGCGTGGTCTCCAGGACCCCCCAAGAGCCTGCTTTCTTCCTCCACTTCGATCTAGCAGCACAGCTCGGTCATATTTCCAAGAATCCCCTCCAGGGATTATGCTCCAGTCCCCCTCTGGCAAGCAAGTGGCCAGACAGAGGCTGGCAAACCTTGAATTCCCCCACAATGGTCGGGTCTTCGCTGGCATCCTGGCTCTTGCCCCGATACAGCCGGAAGGTGTGGCAGAAGTCGGACAGGCCCGCAAAGTCCTCCACGTTCTCCAGCTCCGTCTCGTACACCTGCAAGGAAGCGTGCGCAGGCCCGCGTGCTTTCGTCCGCTGCTCCTCGGCACACGCGCCTGGCCTGAAGAAGTCCTGGGCGCTGGCCACTCTGCTTGCGAAGGACTCCGTCTCCTCTCCCACCTCCTGCCCCAGCCGCGAAATCTCACGCACGCACGGCGGGCCTGCCCCTTCCCTTCCCACCCTCCCCGGCGGCCCTCTGCAGCCACAGGGAAGCCTGCCCGGCACATGGGCACCCCAAGTCTGCGGCAACCCGCTGCCCAAGCTGCATCCACAGGCAGGCTGGAGAGGGCATGCTCCAGGCCCTGCCCGATTCAGACGGACCGGGGCGCTCTGGACCGTCCTGGGCAGAGCTCGGTCCCTGGCCCCGGCTGGCTCTGTCGCCCAGCTCCCCCACAGGGCACCACCCAAGGACAGCTCGGGAAGGCAACGCTCCGGCTCGCGGCAGGAGCGGCCGAGGGTGGGCCAGGCTGGCGGGCTCCGCTGCAGCCGCCCACAAGGAGAGCTGGAGCTGGTGTGTCCGTGCGGCCCGATCGTGGGCATCCCGGTCCCAAGCAGCGCAGGCCGAGCCGCCGGCAGCCCCGGCAGTCCGAGGCGCCACAGCCACGTCCCCCAAGCACTGTCCGACGCCGCCCAGCCCCCAGGAAGAGCGCTCTGCACGACGTACCTGGAGGGTGTCGAAGCCCTTCTCCAGGTAGGTGCCGCACTTCTCTCGTTCGCCTGTGGAAGCATAGAACTTGCCCCACCAGTCAATGCATTCTTCCTCCTGGCAGGGCAGCGAAGGGACAAGACGCGTCACTCGTGGCCACGGACCTGCAGAGAGCTCGGGAGTGGGCCCCGCGCGGGCCCCTTCGCAGGGCCGGGCTCTCACGGGGGGGCATTTTGCTGGCAGGGGGCACACACCGGGGGGCAGACCCTTTTCACCTGGGGGGCCGAATCCCTCTCTGTGGAAGCCCTCAGGGCCTGCGTGCCAGCGGCGGGCGAGGCTGAAGGCGAAGGGGGCCGTGCCGGGGGGCGGGGGCTGCACAAGGGCTGGGAGGCCACCAAAACGCTGGTGCTTGGGTTGGGCAAGGGGGCAGAACCACAGGGAAAATTGCGTGTGGGCAGCCAACGGGAGAGAGCCACTGAGGGGGTGACTGGAAGCGCCGGCCCGCTGCCCAGTGGGGCCTGTCAGATGCCGGGCCTGCGGAAGCCACGGGTCCGAGCCCAGCCGCTCCAGCCGCCGCGGGAGCCCCCGCTGCCACCCATGGTGACCGGCAGCCACAGAGGACGCGGCGGGCCAGCGCACTGACTCAGCAGAAGGGATGCTCCTCGGGAGACGCGACGGAACGGGGGAATGCTTTGCAAACATAGCTAAGAGTTCTGCGATAGACCGAAGCCAAGATGCAAGAGCGATTTGTAACTCGTGAAACATTCCTGCGCAAATAAATATCTCATTTTAGAATTCCACAAAATTCCATCGCGCTAACCTCACGGAGAAGCCATAATCAGGGTTTATGGCATGGCTTTGCCAGCCAGCCACGCTGGGAGCCTTCCCGTCCCTGTCTCAGAGTGGGGCTCCCCCCCCTCCGCAGAGATATTACGTAAATTTCCCCTTTCAGCACTCCCTTTGTGCTGCCCTTTTTAAAAGCTGCGTCCTGACCAAGGCAGCTTCGTTGTGGCATTCCACAGGTGCAGGGTTACAAAGAAAGCACTTTGTGCAATCTGGCAACTTATTTCTGGTGTCCTCTGCAGCCCCAAGACAAAGAAGTGGGTTAGAAGGTTTTGGCTGAATTTTGGACTGATGTTACTGAGAAAAAACGTTTTTTAAAGAACAGCAGCATGCCAGAAAAAGCAGCTGGAATGTTAATTGGAAAGGACTCTAACCGGCCTGCACTGAAATGGAAAAGCCACGCAGGAGACGGCGGCTGCTCACAAAGTGGGAGGAAGGGAGGATCGGACGGCACAGCCTCTTGATCACGGACGGCAGCGTCCACCGTCACGCCTGAGACCTCGCTCGGCGGCCACGCTGGAGCCTCGCGGCACCGTTCCCCTTCGCTCTCGCACCCCAAAGGTTGCTTTTCAGAGGGGCTCAGATCTGTGGACACCTGCAGGCCATCTCTCTGTGATTCGCAGAAAGAGCCAGAGCACAGCCACTCACACAGAGATGCAACGAAGCCCCTCCTCCGAGGCGTGTGCTGGTCTGCAGGGCGGCTCCACTGAAGCGGACGGGCTCACCCGGCCAGGCCATGCTCCCCACCCACCCAGGAGCCCAGGGGGCGGCGGCAGAGGTGCCGCAGGGGGTCTCTCCCAGGGCAGGCACGTCCGAGAGCTGTGAGCGAATGCCGGGCAGCACCCAGGCACTCGCCAGCCAGGGTGACCGCCCTGCATTCCGCCTCAGAGGCGCATGACCCCATCGCACCTGCAGATCACACGTGTCAAGGACCGGCCCAGGAGCACAAGCAAGGCCCAGGCCGCCCAGACGGCATTCTGGCCCCGGGGCCCACCCGCTGCCCCGGAGAAGGCCGCAAGCAGGCCAGGTGTGGAACAGCAGCCCCGGCACACGCATCCTCCTCCGGCACAGAAGCGGCCTACAGCCATCCGGAGCGGCAGCCGTGCACCGCTCTCCCCCCGTGAGTGCCCCCGAGCTCTTTCACAGCCGCCCACGCTGGCGGCCATCGCTGCCTCTTGTGGAAGGGGACTCTGCCACTGTACCACACGCTACGAGGAGCAGCCCTTCCCGCAACCCGCCCAGAGTCTCCCAGTCCTCGGCCTCCCCGTGTGCTCCGGTGGGGCGGGAGCAGGACTTCCCACGCTGTCCGAACAGCGCAGGAACGAGGACACGAGCCGCAGGCTGCCCGACAGCTGCCGTGGCCATGGAAGCACGCCCGGATCAATGGCCCCCCCGGGGCTCGGGAGCCCCCCAGAGCCCCCACCCGGTCACCTGATCCCAATCAGGGCGCAGGGAGGCCCGCTGCGGCCGCGCTCACGGGAGGCGACCGCAGGCAGGCAGGCAGGCAGGCCAGCGTCCCGGTCCCTGCCCGGCTCAGGCTGGGCTTCAGCTGGGGATATCCGATCCCAGTGGCTCTTCCAGAGGAGGGTAACCAGATAGGCTGTAAAATATGCACGACGGTTTGAGGCTAGCAAGCACAGCAAATAGCCAATTACTCCAAATAGTTTACAGATTTCGGCTTGCATGTTTTCTGGCTCGTGTTTCGTGTGCTAACTTGTCGCTTAATGGCTTATTTGTATTGGGAGGCAGCGAAGCCGGGCTAGATGGGAGACGCACACATTCCGACAGAAACGGCTCTCCAGTGGGTGGGGGAGCACCTCGCGGGCCCGCACAGCCATGCCCACGGTTAGATTCGAGGGAGCCTTTCCTCCCTCGGTCTCCACTGCATCGGCAGCACACGGCAGCGTCTGCCTGGCGCGTTCTAAGCTCCAGGGGAAGGACGCTCGTGCCAGGGCCACGCACGGAGTCCAGAGAAACCCCACCCCACGGCCGATCCGCCATCTCGCGCACCGGTGGAAACCCCCTCCGGTGCGCCAGCTGGCCTCCGCCTGGCACGGCGTCCCCTCGGAGCTCGTGGCGAGGAGACCACCCGGCACTCCCGGGGCCCGGCCCTGCAGGCCAGTCCGGCTCGGGCCGTGCCCCTGGCTGAGGAGGGGCGGAACCGGCAGCTGAGGGACTCTGGCCGCGCAGGGCTGCAGGAGGGGTGGAGTGCGGCGAGCCTGCGCAGCCGTCGCAGCCAGCCGTTCCCACAGGCAGGGCAGGAATGCAGGGCAGAGGAGGCGGGAGCCAGGCCACATCTGTCTTCCGTCCGGGTCGGGGCAGCCCAGGCTGCGAGGCTGCAGGCGAGGACCCTGCTGCTTCCGCCGACTGCGGGGAAGACCCTCCGGAAGCCCCCTCGGCTGAGCAGCTCCAAATAAGCAAAACACGCCAGCCGCAAAACCTCCCCTCGAGGACCGGGCTGCACGGTTGCGCTCGCGTTCTTCGGGGCGGCATGCTCGCACCAGGATCCAATTTTAAGCCATCCACGTTTTCTCAAACGTTTCGCCTAAGTTCTCCCAGCTGTCCCCGTGAGCCCCTCCGCCCCCGCCCCCAACGGCAGCCCCCAGGTTCCGCTGCACAGAGATCCTTTGCGAGGGGCTCTCGGTTCCAGGCGAGACACCGGCTCCGAAGCGCTCCCCAGAAGTTGTCAACAGCTCTTTCAAAAGTGAGGTTTATTATATTTAACGACATTCGTGCTGGAGCCCTGCATGGCGCACATGAATGGTGCTCCTGCCGCCGATCATTTTGCTGCCTTGGTTTTAAATTAATGACTTGCGAGTTTGCTGTCGGGGTTTGCGACTTTTTAATGTGGCTTGAGTAAAAATGCGCCCCGCAGTTAAAGCACAAGGAGGAACCATGCGGCCTGGCTTGCAGAGTTCTGCTTCCAACTTCTGGAAGCTGCCAGAGATGGTCCAGATTATGAGCTGGAACAGCCCTGGCCTCATTCCCTGCGCGGCGAGGTGTTCTCAGCCTGTGTCAGGGACACGCCTCCTCCCCCCATTTTCAGGAGCTGCCTGGGGGTCCGGAGACCCCGCCATCCTCCCACTCCTGGGACGGCCGGGTGTTTCCATGCAGCGACTGCAGTGGAGAGGAGGCAGAGCACCGGAGCCGACTTCCGTGGCCCTCCGGCCCTGCCGAGCCCCTGCCTGCCCTCGCCAGGGGCAGAGATGCCGCCCACCCCCGAGGCACCGGGCTGCTCCAGTGGCACGAGCCCAGAGTTCTCCCCAGCATCCTTCTTCCAGAGCCGGGCGAGGGATCCCAAGCTGCGCCTGACCTGCTCGGCCCAACCCTCCAAAGCCAGCCTTGGGATTCCCTCGTGAAGCCAGGAGAAGCTTCACAGGCACAGCGACGGGCGGTGCTCCGTGCGGTCTGGGAGGACATTGCCGGTCTTGCCAGATTTGCCACGGCGGAGCGTGGAGAGGGCTCCAAAACGGGGGTCAAAAATACAAGTTAAGCAAATGAAGCCGTAACTGGGTGAGAAAGGAAGCCATACATACATGGACATCGGCCCGAGAAGCTTGCGTGTTAATTAAAGCCGAGCTGGTCATGCTGTCCACAGGCTACAAACAAAAAGGTCTGATTAGTGATGGAGTCAGACAAACACAAGGCCAACATACAAAGGCAAAGGCAAAAGCACGTTCCCCGAACGACCTCGTTCGTCCGCGCGGCACTAAGGAACCTCCCCCAGCGGCTGGATGGAGACGGGACGGGACGGGACGGGGCGGGACGGGGGAGCAGCAGCCGTTCAAGGCGCACAGGAAGGGGCAGAATTTCAGCGTCAGTGGGGCAAGTGGCTCGGGGAGCTGAGCCCGTCCTCTCTCGCCCGCCGTCCTTTTCCGGCCGCTGCGTCCGTGCGAGCTTTTAATGCCCCAGCTGTTTGCTCCTCGTGGCTACAGCTTGGCCTTATTGCCCAAGGTTTTGCTGTTTTTCTCTGTCCTTCCACTGATCGCAAAGCAGCTTGGGCTCTGTGAATCAGAGATGCAGAGCACCGAATACACTGAAGGGCAATGCCGCCAGGGTCCTCCTCTGCCGTCTCCCACACACCAGGAAGGCCGCGCGGGGTCAGACCAGGGCCCGCTGCCTCCGGCGTTCTGCGCACCCGGTTTCCAAACGGAGGCCCGAAGGAAAGCCATAAGCTGCGTACGAGTGAAGCAGCACCCTCCCGCCCACGGTCCCCTGCAACTGGGGAACATTGGCACACCGCCTCTGCACTGCAGCCCACAGGACTAGCTTCCCCATGAAGCTGCCCAGTCCCCTTTAAAGCCGGTGGCCGTAACAGCCTCTTCCGGTGGGAATTTTCAGAGGCCGAACTCCGCTGTGCGAAGAGGCCCTCCCCTTGGACTGCCGGGCATCTCCCACCCATCAGCTCCATGGGGGGCCCTTCTGGATCCTCACACATGGGAGAGGGAGAAAAATGTCGCCCTCTCCCCATTCTCCACCCCATAATTCTGGACGCCTCCACCCCACCTCCCTTTCCTCACCTTACTCTGTGAGCTGAACAGTCCCAGAGGTTCCCTGCAGCTCTTTCATCATGTCAGCTGCCTTGCAAACTCGCTTGGATCCCGACAAGGTTTTGGGTGTAGGAGCTGCGACTGAGAGTGTTCTAAGCGCGGTCGCACCGGGGATTTGGATCAGGGCGCTTTGACCCTGGCGGGCTGTGTGCCGGGCCACGGGGTTCATCTGGCGCAACCCCAGGGTCTCCCGGCCCCTCCGACACTGCACAGGCGGCCCTCTTGGGCAGCTCCCCTCCCCTGCCCGGGGGTTCTGCGGTGGGCGAGGGGCATCAGGCGGGGGCGGGTGCAGGCCCCTCCCCAGTACTCCGCCTTCAGTGCGCCAGGCAGGTCGGCATTCCCGGCTGGCTCCTCCGTCCCGTGGAAGTGGAATCCCACCGTCCAAGCGGGTGCGGTGCACAAAAGCGGCTTCTCGGGGGCCCCCTGCGTTCCCGTCCCGCAGCAGAACCCCAGTGGATCGGGGACACGCGGACAACAGCGGGACGGTCCCGAGGGCAGGGCCACGGCCACGCCGCTCCCCCTCGTCTCCCTCTCCCGCTGCAATTCAGGCGCAGTCCCGAGACGGGGGCAGGGGGCTACTTTTAGTGCCCCCACTAACTTCAAGGTCACTGGGGTAAAATGATGATTGAGGAAATAGCAACAGTGATCGCATTACAAAAGGGGAGTTCACCCCCCGAAGACGGAGGGCCGAGATCCTGCCGTCGGCCGTGCCACGTCGGAGCGCTCGACACCCTGCATGACACCGGCCTTGCCTTGCAAAATGTGCAGTGCGAAGGGCAGGCAGCCACAGCGCGTCTTGTCTTGTCTTGTCTTGTCCTTTCCTTTTCTTTCCAGGGCAGGAGCCCAGGCAGTTTCCCGGAAGGCGGGCAGCAGGAAAAGCGCCCCTCTGGCCCCTGCAGCCGGCCACCACAAGGCCAGTCCCTGGGCCACGTGCCTCCCAGTTGCCCACGGCTGCCACACCCCCCGTTCTCGTGCTCCTGCCTGGATCCGAGCGCCCGAGGCGCACGCAGGCAGTGCCAATTCTTGTTCCAAAGGCACACACTGAAGCCGCCCGAGCCCGCTCTGCGCTGCCTGGCCGGGAGCGCCGTTCCCTCTTCGCTCCCCGGCTCCTGGCAGCGGCCGCCTGGTCGGGAGCGGGGTGCGCATGGATCGCGTGGCGCCAGTGGCGACAGGGTGCGGCGAGCGGAGTCGCTGCTTGCCCCCAACACCGCGCCACATCTAAGCAGGATTAAGCTCTGCAATTCCAGCGGCAGCTCCGTGCCAGGCCTTCCGTAGCGCAGGCAGCCTCGCCGCTTGGCTCAAATTAGCTTAATTAGGAGCAGGCTCGAGGATGGGCAGCCCAGCCCAAAGGCTCACCCAGCACGGCGGGGGCAAGCCGGCGTGCCAGGGCCTTGGGGGGCATGTGCGGAGGGGAACGCCCCCCGGAAGGCTGCCCCCGTGACGGGCCAACCCGGCAGCCGGAGCCACGCACGACCTCAGCTCGGCCGCGCCGCTGCATTCGCAAAATGCCTCCGCTCTGCGATCCGCGAGGAGCACCAGCGCCCTGCACCACCACGGGAGGACGAATGGGGGGCCGAAAATAGAAGCCGGAGGAGGGCCTGGGAGGCCAGGTGGTCTCACGCCCACTGGCCCAGCGCTCCAGCGAGCTGTGCACCGGTGCAGAGCGAAGCAGGCCGAGGAGCCAGCCAGGCATGCGAGGCTGCCAGGGGCACAAGAGGCACCCCCAGGAGATGCGCCTCGGCCCCGGCAGAAAAGCGCCAGGGGACACACTGGAGCAGGAAGGCAGGCAGGCAGCTGGCGCCCCGGCCGGGAGGCGAGAGGCCTCGTTCCAGGCCTTCTGGCAGGGCGCTTCACGGTAACTCACCCGAGCGCGATGGTGCCCAGCCCAGAGTTCGCCGAGAATGCCCGTGAGACCTTTCTGAAAGCCTAACCAAGGGCAGAGCATGTCCCCCGGACCGGCCCCTGGGCCACGGAGGGAACAGGGCCTCCGCCTGCTCGCCTGGCGCCGGTGTTTGCACAGCTGCCCCTCCTCTCGCCGGGCAGAAGCAGCTCCGGGGGCAGCACACCGAGACGGGGACGCTTCTGTGCTTCCGGTCCCCTCCACCCACTGAGGCCAAGTCCCACGCATGGGCTGAAAGGGGCTCGCCATCCCCAACTCGGAAAGGGAGGACTTGCTCTGGAGGCCTGGCAGGCGTCCCCCAGGCCAGCCCCCTCTTGGCAGGGCCAAGAAGCAGGAGGGCGCGCAACACTTGGCGATGCCCCTCGCCCGGCCCCTGGCCGCCCCTAGAAGCCGCGGGACCACGGGGCAGCTGCCTGGATGGCCGGCACGTCGCTGCCCTTCCTGGATGCCCACAGCCACCGCCTCGGGGCCTCGCCCAGCCCCACAGCAGCTCTGCCCCCCACTTTCCGCGCTTCGGGCTTCGCCCTTGGAGCCGGCGCCAGTCAGCCTGGTGGAACTGGGACAGGCGCATTCCCAGTTTCCTCCTGGGTGTGGACACCAGCGGGCCCCACTGGGCCGGTACATCTTCCGGCCACGCAGCAAGGGGATGACCCCCTGCCAAGGGCAAGGACCACCAGCCTTGAAGAAGCGGGCGCGGGGAGCTGTGGAAGGGAGCCAGCGCCCCGGGAACGGGGGCCTGCCGGAAACGGCTCGGCCAGGCGAGCCGAGCACAGCGGCAGCCACAGGAGCACAGCGCGCGGGCGCCACGGCTTCCTAAGAGCAACTCGCCCGGCGACGCTCCGCTCCGCACAGACAACCGGGTTGTGCTGCCTCTGCCCAACTCCAGATGGGCGCCCTCGGGGACTGTTGAAACCAGCTGCGGCAGTGGCGCCACCAGGCACAGAGCCTTCCCTGCGGTAGCTCCTCATCTGTGGCACGCCCCCCCCATTGCCCCCGGCAGCTGCACCACGCCCTCGCAGCCACACTGCGTTTGCGCCCCACGGTTCCCCTTCTGCAGAAGCCCGAGGCGGCTCCCACGGGCCGCTCTCCGCCGAGGCGCGGGGCCGAGACCTGTCTCTTCCGCAGGCGGGCACCCTGCAGCTGGCGCCCCAGCGGGCACCGCCACCCGGGCGGCATTCACTGTCGCAAGCAAGCGAGCCAGTGGACAAACCGGCCCGTTGCTGCCCTTCTCCGAGGCAACCTGGGCCATTCTGCCGAGCGGCTGGCCCAAAGCTGCCCGGACAGCCACTGGCTCACTGCAGAAGGGGGGGGGGGGGGCGGCCCTCCAGACGGAGTGCCAGACCGGGGTGCAGGGACAGCGCTGAACAGGGCTCCAGAGACCCCGGTTCTGTTCCCCACCCAGCCGAGGGGACCTCTTAGCCCAGCCAACCTCGCAGGGCTGTTGCAAGGATAAAATGGAGAGGAGGGGAGCGCCTTACCAGAAAAGAGGCGGCACATAGGTACAATGTAAAAATCTGAACTAAAGCAAGCCCTTTCCAACTGTCTCTTCCAGCAGACCCTTGACAGGTTACAGAAACATAGAAACTGAGTGAGCCGGAAGGGGTTTCCCGGGCCATCTAGTCTGACCCCCGGCTTCAGCAGGCTCATGACATGCCCACCCTGTGTTACTCTACTCTTACACAAGGGGGTGCGGTCCCAGCCCTTCCGAGAGGCTGAAGGGGCAGCCAGCCAAGGTCTCTGTCGCTTGGAAGGCCCTGGTGTGACTGGGACCCAGGCCCGCCGACCCCCGCGCCCCCTGTCTGCAAACTGGCTCCAATTTCAATGGGTTTCCCACAGGCTGGGCATGGCAGCTGGACAGGAAGTGGCTGGGGAGCTTTCCTGAACGGGGAGCAGTCTCTGTGCTGGGCTATGAGACTGAAAACGAGCCGACTGCTTTTGAACCATCTCCATCCCGCTGCTCCTCCTGAGCCACCCGCAATGTCCCAGGTGGGTGGCCTGCATCCTCGGGCTCCTCCTTGAGACGAGGTGCGCATCACCAAGCGCCCCTTTTCCCAGGGGCTGTCTGGTTCTAGACCTGGCAAGGCGTTCCAGTTAACCGACGGAGCAGACTCTCATAGACCCACGACTTCGTACGCGAGAGCAGGACTGCGCCCCCGGGAGCACCGCGAGGCAGAGCACCCCGCAGGCAGCTCCTGAACGAATGACACCCCGGCAGACCCCTGCCGGGAGCTCTCTGCCGCTGGCCCGTGCAGAGCAGCCCTCCCTCCCCGGGGCTCTCGGGTGTTGTGAGCCCATTGGTTCCCGCCGGCGCGGCCAAAAGCCAGCCATGAAGGGGGTTCCAGTCTCAAGTATCTGGAGGAAGCCAAGCCGGGAAACCGGCGGTCCAGCTGAGCCTGAGGCATATCCTCTCCTAGAACTGGCAACACTCGGGAGGGGCGAAGTGGAAAGCCGAAATGGCCAAAAGCTCTTCTAGAACAAGGCCTGCTGGGAGCCGCGCCAGGTGGCAGCTCTGCCCAGAAGGACGCGATCAGACTCCACCTGAACCTCACCGGTTGTGGTCTTCTGAAAAGACGTTATGGGACCCGAAAAAAGAGAGTACGTTGCGGCTTGCCCGACGCCACCCCTAAGTGGTCTCCTCGGCTAGGAAAATGGGCAGAACCCAGGGACACGATCCAGGAGCGCCTTCCCCAGCCGGAGGCCTCCAGTCCCCTCCGGGCTTCGGCTGAAGTCCACCTGCAGGCCCTCCCCACCCCACCTCATGGATTCTCCTCGCGGCGGGACACCTGAGGCACCGATCCGCAGCCCGAGAGAAGGCAGGCCAGCAACCCTGCTCCACAGCGCCGACCAGGCAGCTGCGGGACCATAAGGTGGCCTGTTTCCTCATCCCAGGGACGCCCGGTCTGCCAGCAGACCTTCCACAGGCCCACGAGAGCAAAAACGCCTGCCAGCATCAGACCCTTGACCTGAGGGTTCCTTGGAGAGCAGGAAAGGGAGCGAGGGGAGCGGGACCCAGCAAACCCAGCCCTGCCCATACGTTCAAAGCCGTCGTCCGCTTGTTCGTGCACGTTTTTGTCTCCCCGGATGAGAAAAGACACGAGTTGGGGGCTGCGGATTAGGGTGTCAAAAGCCCCCGGCAAGGGCAGCGCTACCCCCAGCCAGGAGGGCAACTCGCACCACAGTCCCCGCCTTGTGGCATTTTTACCTGGGCCGGGATGAGGGGCTCTTTGTCGTCAATGTCAATCAGGACGTCGTCTCGGGGGGTGAGGCTCACGTCATCTGCACGAGAAGAAAGGGAAGCCGGAAGGCGGCTGAGAAAAGGGGAGGCCGGAGCTGCCCCCCACCCCCTCGAGCGCCGCCCTTGTGCGGGTTCCTGGGTCCCGCGGCTGTTTTGCTCCCGCTTAGCTTTTGGCCGAAGCTTCGTGCTGGCAAGAAGCCTCCTGGAGGGCCCAGGACGGCATCGCGCTGGGGCTCCTCCAGCTGCCGGGAGCGTCTCCTTCAGGCGGAAGCAGCACCCCTGGGGGGGGACACCCACTGACATTCCTGCAGCAGGCTCAAGAGGCACTGCTCCTCCGAGAAAGCCCCCTTAAAGGACACCCAGCCATGAAGCCACTCCAAAACCAGGGTTTCGCTTGGTTCTGGAAAGATGAGTGCTAGCAGCCAGCCCTGCAGGAGGGAGAGCACTGCACCTGCCCGTGAGCTGACAAAGACACGCGCGGCCCCTCGGCGTGTTCCCAAGCAAAGCTTCGGGCCGCAGGTTTGTGTGTGCTGCGGTACCTGCTTGTGTTTCGGGAAAGACGGTCTCCTCCCTGTAGGGATCGCACAAGAAGCCCTCCAGCGACCGGATGGTGCACTGGCCCACCACGGGCTTGCGGCCAAACGGTCTGTTGTCAATGACTTTGACGACGATGGGAGGGCAGTACAGGTCTTCCCTCGGCAGGCGCTGGAAGAGGGACAAGCAGGTCGGCGCACCACTCAGCAGGCCGCGCTCCTTCCCAGGCGACTCCTGCAGAAGGTGCGCCTGGTCCCCAGCCGGGCGCCGGAAAGGGCAGGTGCCTAGAGGGGCAAGAGCGGGGGCCTTCCAGGGTCCCTCACCACTTCCATGAAGAGGACAGAGACGTCGAAGTTGGGGTTCTTCTTGAGGTTCCTGATGACACACGACTGGACCATCTCCCCGCCGCACTCCACCAGGAGGCTGGGAGCCCCAATGCTGGCCAGCTGGTAGCTCTTCAAGTTGCGGAGCCCCCAGGCCAGTATCTGCGGGGGAAAGCAAGCGGGGCAGAGCCAGCCTCGGCGTCACGCCCCGGGCAGGAGGGGCGCTTCAAGGCCTCGGGGTGGTCGCGCCTGCACGGGCCCCCTCCCAGCGCCCGTGCGGCACGCGGGTGGCTGTGACGCCAGCGGGGGGGGCTGTCCCCGCGCCCGGTGGGTGGGTGGACCAGCGACCTTCCTCACCACCTTCCCAGAGATGGTTGAGGAAAAGTGCAGAACATAAAAACCATTGTCGACCAAAAACCAAGTAAAACCCTCAGGAGAGCACCAAGAACCACAACAAGCGTTTTAAAAGCCAGATTAAAAAGATGAGGGGACAGAAGGTAGCCCTCTGTCTCTTATGCTGACTGTGCAATCTTTAGGGGTCTCGACTTTGCGGAGTGAACAAAGAAACCGCGTCCTCCTGGGTCAGCAGGAAGAGCAGCAGAGCGTTCCCGGAGACGCGCACTCCAGTCGAGAAGGCCTTCTGGCGGCCCCTGTACCCACCTCGATGGCCGTGCGCTGCAGAACGGGCTTGATTCCCTGAGGGACCATGTAGATGTTGGGCTCTCTCTGCGGCGGAGGGTAGGGCAGGTCCGTGTCTTCCGCCTGGAACAGAGGGAAGCGCCGCTGCAGTGCCTGGGCCGCCGTCCAAGAGGCCCCTGTGCCGCTGCGCCCCTTCCCTCTCTGCCCGCAGCAGAGATCGGGGAGCAGCAGCGAAGCCGGGGGCCGCGGAAGGGGGGTGGCTTTGCGTGTGAACGGGGTGCTGGGATGGGTGGCCGGGCCCACAACCCCAGTGGAGGCCACTGAGGCCCTTCCCAAAGCCTGAGCCCTGCCCCTGCCCGCAGTCGGCCCCTCACATTCATGCTGGGAGGAGCGGGCTTGTCCAGAGCGCACCTTGGGGCGGGAAAAGGCCACCCACGGCCCTCGCCTTCCCCTTCCCAAGGCTCATCCCTATGGACTGTGATCCCTTGCGTCCAGAGCTTTCTCCAAAGGAAAGGAAAGCCCTTGGGGGGGGGGGGGGGGAGACAGGACCCCTTAACCAAGGGCAGTTGGAAGTAATTTGGGCGGCAGTCACTCTTTCCAGGCGAAGCATTATTGCATTAAATTAAGGAGGCAGATATATTTCAAACATCAGATCAGGTCGTATTTATTTATAGCTCTCCCTGTATGTATATTTAATAAGACGACAGAGAGGGCTGCCTGGGGGTGGCACGCCAGAGGCATCGGCGGGAGCTGCAATTTTCCTTGGCGGCTGCCAGGAGCTGCCAAATCAAAACAGCTTGCTGTGAGTGCAACCGGCTGCCAGGTTCGCCCTGGGGTAATTAGAACCACAGATGCGTCTCTCACGGGGGCGGGGGGGCAGCCACCCCTGCCGGCATCACCCAGGGGCACGTGGGCACGGTGCGGACGCGCGCCTGAACGTGGCACCGGTGCGAGGACGGCCCGGGGGGCGTCTTCCGCCAGGCCGGGCTGCCGCCCTGCTCGCCGGGGTCCAACAGCACAGTCGCCCCACACGGATCCCCCGCTCCCCCCGGACGGAGATGCTGAGGCTCGCTGCGGGTCCACGTGGGGGAGAGCGCTGTGTCTCCCCGTGCTCTGGCCGTGTGCAAGCAGGGGTAGGTGCGCCCGCACACCCAAAGGCGGCCTGGGAGGTCCATGGCTGGCCGCCCCTCTGGGGTCTCCCGTGGCCCCGGCTGCTGCCAGGTGTCGCCCGGGAGCCGGAAGGACGTTGCGCGGGACGCCCGAACGGGCGGGGGGGGGCGGCTGCCGCCCTGGCATGCAGCGGGGCTCCTTTCAAGACCACAGAGCTTGCTGGGCGCGCAGTCTCCCACCAGGGGGGGGCAACCCCCCATGCCCCAAGGACAGCCAGGTTTGGATGGGTGGTTAAGCAGCTGGAAGGCGAGAACCAGCTGGCGGTTAATCAGCCGGGAGATGCTGAGTGAGCTGAGCATCCTTATCTGCAGGGCACGTGCTGAGGAGCTGGCACCCCCGCAGAAGCGAGCAAAGCAGGGAAGGCGGCGGGGCTGGAAGCGCACGAGGCGGGAGGGTCCCGGGAGAGGCGGGAGGGTCCCGGGAGTGGCGGGAGGGGCCCGGGAGAGCCGCTCGCTCTGCAGTGGGGGAGGGGCGCGTGCCGCAAACGCAGCAGCCCCACGAGGCTCCTCTGCCCCGACCAGGTGCAACCCCCTGGCCCAGGTGCCCCTCCTCCGTGGGGGCCGCATTCCTCCTGGCCAGCAGCAGAGGGGGCACCATGGGGCTGCTAGGAGAAGGCCAGCTGCCCCCCCCCACCCAGCCACTGCGGGGGCTCAGGTCTCAGCACACCTGGCCAGTGCGCCAGGCATCTCCAGGGCAGCAGGGGACGCAGGTGGCAGCTCCCAGAGCCGGCTGGGGGGGCTGGGTGGGGGGCGCCTGGGCTTTACTGCCAGGCACTCTGGCTTGGCATCGCACAGGAAACAGAAATGCATGTGGGGGGCCACGGGGTCGGAGGACCCCATTCCGTGCTGAGCTTTCGGACACCGAATCCAGAATCCCAGGTCAAGCGAGCCGGCGAGGCACACGCCAGCACAGCCCTTCCGCAAGGCGCCCGGCTGCAGCCCCCTCCGCCAAGCAGCCATGGCGACCGGGCAGCACCCGGGGGCCAAGAGGCGGCTCCCGGGGCCCCCCACCCGCGGCCTCGCTCGGGCTCCGGCAGGAGAGGAGCCACCTGCGGCCCGCAGGCAGGACACGAGGGGGGCGAGGGCGAGGGCAGGCGGGTGGGTGGGATCGCCAGTGGGGCAGGAGCGGCCGCCAAGGAGCGTCGCGGGCGGGGGCCGCAGCAGGCCAGGTGCTTTCGCAGGGAGGCCCCGGTGCCCCGGAGCAGAGTGAGGCCACCCGGGCCAGCGCTCTGCCTCCGAGGCCCCTTCTCCGCGCTGGCCCCCGCCTCCGGCACCCAGAGCCAGAACGCCACCGTCCCCGGCGAGGCTGCGGCGGAGAAGCGGGACTGAGGCGGCTGTGGCCCCCAGAGCGAGGCCGGGAGCTCCTTGGCACGCGGCTCAGGCCCCGGAAGGCGGCCAGGCAGCGGGGAGGAGAGCAGGTGACCAAGTGGAACAGGTACCCATCGGAGCGTCCCTTCGCAGAACAAGGCAGGTGCGCACAGCTGCGGTGCGCCGGTCCGGCAGAGGCAAGCGGGAGGGGGAGAGAAGGCAAGAGTCATTGTGGCCCCAGCCCCGCACGAGCCGGCGGGCACGGGCAGCCCTCTCAGGGCAGGGGCCCGGCTGCCCCCTTCCCCGCGGCTTTCGAAGGGAGAGAGGCCGTCGCCTGGGGAGCCGACATCGCCACATCCCAGCAAAGGCCAGGCTGGCGGCCTCAGAGGCCTCGGGACGCTTTCTGTGGCCCCAGGGCCACCTTCGGCCCCTGCTGCAGTGCCACAGAGGGGCCAGGCCGTGCTCCGGGACCATTCCCCCGACCCCTCTTGGCCGCCTCCCGATGCAAATTGGCCAGGGTGGATGAGCCCCCCAGGGCACCTCCCTCCTTGCACAGCCGGCGCGGCCGACTCTTGGGCGCACCCTCTGTGCACATGGAGTGAAGGCCTTCCAAAAACGGGGGGTGCCCCAGAAACCAGAACCGAGGCGGTGCAGGTCAGTCCACGGGGAAAATGTTTCCCAGTGGCAGGAGCCCCAGGCCCAGTCGCTGCGCCTCCTGGCAGGGCTGGGAAGGAAGCCCTGCGGGGCCACGGGAGCCACCTGGCCTGCCCCTCACGCAGCCGCATCCACTCATTTCCCACCCGGCAGCAAAGGAGCCCCCGGAGGGGCGCCTGGCCAACGCGGAGGCTCGCCCGCACCAACCAGGGCTGGCCCGCTGTGACCGGACTTCGCCAAAGGCAGAGCCCCCTCGAATGAGCCCCGGGCCCGTACGCCTCTTGCAGCCGCCCCTCTCAGCTGTCACGCCCCCCGGCCCCCGCCCGCCTTCCCCAGGGACCTCACCTCGTCCAAAACCGACAATGGCTCCGCCTGCGGCGTTCCCCCATTTGCAAAAGGGTCGAGTGAGGAACACGGGAGAATGTGGAGGAAGAGAAAGACAAGGTGCGGGGAAAGGATTGGCGTGGCCGCCGTTTCTGGAGAACCCGTGGGAGCGACCCAGGCCAGGTGGCGTCCTGGACGGCACCCGGCTGGACGCCCTGTGCCCGCTGCCCACCGCAGGCTGGCGGGCCTGAGAAACGACGGGCCGGGGTCTCCGGGCTGCTCTGCCGATGCTCCACTCCCGCCGAGAGATCGTGTGCCGGTGTTCCCGTGAGTAAACAGGATACAGGGCGAGCAACCCTGAACTTAACCTGGAGAACTCATCAAGGGATGGCAGGACTCGGCCGCCGAAGGGATGAGCAGCCCAAGCCGGACCCCCACGCAGCAGCACATGAGCAGCCCCCTGCCGAAGACCCCTCGGCGGGAGGCCTGCCACGCACAGCCCAGCAGGCCGGACCGGGCCTCCCGCCGCCCCCCACCCCCGGCCATGCAGCTTGCTTTCCTCCCCTCCCAGCGGAGAGGCCAACCTTCGCCGGCTTGCTCCGCCATCGGCACAGCTTTGTGACGACAGGAGGCGGAAACACGGTTCACAGGGACGCCCCACGCCCCGCGGCAGCGCGTGGGAAGCGCAAGCGAGAGGAGTGTCTTCTTACCTCAAAGCCCGGGATGTGGTGGACGGCCGGCTGGGAAAAGGAAACGCAGACGATCAGCTCGGGGCCCTGCAGACCAGGCACGGCAAAAGGAAGCACACGCACTCCGAAAACACAACCGCCCCCACACGATCCCGTGCTCGGAGGGCTTCCGAGTCCAGCCACGCCCCCACCTGAACTGTCCTCTTCAGCGAACCAAGCAAACCAGGTTCCATTGGGATGCCGGGAAGCACTTCCTGACAGTCAGGACCCCGAGGGTGTGGGATGGGCTCCCACGGGAGGCGGTTGAAGCCCCATCAGTGCACGTGTTCAAGGACGGGCTGGACATGCACATGGTGGGCATGTCGTGAGCAGAGCCGGCTGGAGCCGGGGTCAGACTAGATGGCCTGGGAGGCCCCTTCCGGCTCGCTCTGCTTCCATGTTTGTTTAGAGTTGCTCCAGGGCGGGGCTCTGGCTCCCCAGGGGCCACTGCAGCCCCCATTGACAAGTGGGACTCGTGATCCCCTGGAAAGGCGGGTGCCGTGCTCAGCACGCTCCTCTGAGGCCAGACCCTGCAAACCCCGGCACCTGCCAGAGCCCACTTCGCTCAGAGGCGCAGCAGGCGCCTGATCCTGGGAAGAATCCTTGAGACCAACCCAGCGGCGACCAAGACGTGTGGCGCCCCGCGCCCCACTCGGCCACCGGAGCAGGCAGCACATGCTGGCGGCGGGAGGGGCGCCTTCTGCTGGCCTGGCACGGGTGGCCTGCTGCTGAGGGTCGGGTCCTCCGGCCACGTGACGGCCGCGGCCCCAGCACATGCAGGGAGACCCCTGGGAGCAGCCGAGGGGTGCTGGGGGTGCCCTCAAGGCCTCGCCTGGCTGTGGGCAGGGCCAGTGCAGGGGGGCAGCCGGACCAGGGGCCAGTCGCCTGCAGGTCAGCGTCCTGCAGCCGGTCGCCACGCTCAGCAAGGGGTGATCTGCCCCAAAGGGAAGCTCCGCTGAACGGTGGGGGCGTGGGGGAGGGGACAAAAGCACCCCGGGGGGTGGACTTGACCCCAGCCCTGAGGGCCCGCAACGTGTTGCGCACACCGCCGCCTGGTGCCCAGGTGCCGGGCCTGCCCCCCGCTGGGAAGCCCGAGGTGCCGGAGGGCCCCCGTCGAGGCCCAGCCCGTGCCTGCGCTGCCCTGGAGGCCGCCGAGGGGCCCGGATGCTGGCTGCCCCCTCTCGCCGCACAGCCAGCGCTGCCTCTGCAGCCGGGCACCGTGCCTGCCCTGGCCGGCGTCCACAGGCCGGCCCGCCAGCTGGCACGGCTCGCCGCAGTCAGGGCAGCCTCTGCCTCCCCCCGGCGGGACACGGGACGCGCCTCCCGCCCACCCCACACCCCTCCCCGGCCTGCCAGGCCTGGGAGGGACCCAGAGGCAGGCCGCCCGGGGGCATCCGGCTCATCCCAGGATGGCGCAGGCAGTCTGGCCCGGGAGCGGCCCAAGAGACGGGGAGGGGCTGCCGCACCAACCAGCCCCCCGTCCCCGAAGCCAAGCCGGGGAGGGTGGAAAACGAGCGGGTGAACCCGGGTGGTTCGCATTTCGGCTGGAACGAGCTCCTCGCCTCGCTCCCGACCCCGCTCCCCTGGCCACGCAGGGCGACGTGTCAGGAAATTCCTGACGGCATTCTGGGAGGCGAAGAGGCAAGAAGTCAGGAGGGCGAGGCACGCGGGCCCCCCAGGGAAGGGCCCTCTGGCGCACAGCGCACCGCAGACCAGACGAGGCGGGGAGGGCGAGGATCCGAGGCAGAGTCTGCGCGAGAGCACGCAACACACTGCCTCCTCCTCGGGAGAACGAGGCCGAGCGTTCCCAAGCTCCCGACCCTTGGCAAACGCACATGCGCGCACACAAGTGCGCCCACCTCAGAGGAAAGGCGGGCCTAGCCACGCAAAGCGCCCTGTGCTGGTTTAGAGCTTCCCCGTAAGGGACCTGCCGCCACTGACAGAGCAGTCCTCCAATGCTCCAGCCCCATCCCAAGGCCACCCAGCCTGGCCTGCAGGGGCGAGCACCATCTTGCGCTACGTGCTCTGTGAATGAGCAAGTGCATCCAAATGACAAGGCAAGGAGTTAGAACTGACAGGGGCGGCTGTGATTTCTTTGTCCTTTTCTTATATTACGGCTGCATTGAGATGGAATGCGTGCGCTTGTTGGTTTAATTTACGTCCTGCTTTTCCATCAAAACTTGGTGCTCCAGAAAGCCAACAAGACATCCAGACGGAAAACAAAATCTTAATTAAAACACAACATACCCAATCCTAGTAATTAAAGTCAAGCCATCCCTTTTTATGTCTCAACATATGTCGGCTGTAAACCGTGGTGTACGAGGCTCTGCCAAACCAGGACATCAACTGTGTTTTGAAGCTTGTTTGCAAACCACAGTTTCTGCTAACAGTGGCTTGCTGGTATGTCTGCATTTGCAAACCACTAACAAACCACAGTTGTGGCTGCTCTGCATCTACCAGCTGGTGCATCAGCTTAAAAACTTAGGAAACGGAAGAGACAGAAAGCAAAAGCAGCTGCGAGCCGCACTTTGCCAGTGGTAGATCTGGCCGTTCCAGCCATGGGCTTGTGTCCATTGTGACTCCTGCTCAGAGGAGGACCTTGGAAAGGAACAGGACTTGGCTTGGCCAAACACCGGGTGCAGCCCATGGGGTGGGTTCTTAATAATAACTCTCACAATCCATGGCTCGGCCTGGTCCCTGCACTGAACCAGCGTCTGCCTCCTTCCTCCCAGAGGGCTTAATCCCCGGAGCCACGGGGCCGTCCAGCAGGAGCAGGGGCCTTTCTGGTCGCGGTGCCAGAGGACCAAACGACCCTCCAGCGAGGTCTGCCGGCCTGCTCAAGGGCTGCTTTCGAGCAGGAATGGCTTTCTGCAGCTGCCCCTGGTGGCCCTGCATGACCTCACTGGCCTGCAGCCGCCCCGGGGTCTCCGTGTCTTCAGGCCACTCTGCTCTAAGGGGGAGGGATCTGTCCTATTCCACTGTCCAGGTCTGGTGGGGGCTGCTCTTGCTGTATTTTTCTACTTTTGCATTCTTATTGAGGGCCCTGGAGCCAAAAACAGGGTGAAAAAAGGAGAAATAATAAACAAAGACATAGGAGTCACCTCCAGGATGCCAGATGTTGCTACATCAACAAGAACAAGAACATTCAATGAGGCGCGACTGGCTTGGATTCAGAAGCATCCACTCGCGGCCTCCGAAGGAGATGGTGCTTTGCTCCGAGCTGGGCAGCAGCAGCGGAGAAGGTCGCATCGGCTGACCTCCCCATCTCCCCGTGAATGCCGCATTCTTAGAGACAGGATCGCCGTGTCCAGATGAGGAACAGCCGCTTCCCAGAAGGCCCGGCCTGCCCCCCGGGCCCCCAGAGCCCCCTCCCTCGCCCCTGCCAGCACCTCTCCTGTTTTTCGCTTCCTACGCATGGGCCGACATAGCTGCTGCCCTCCCTCCGCGCCCCCACGAGCGCACTGCAGGAGCACGTGCCCACTGTAACGCAGACTCCTCCTCCTTCGCGCGCATTCTTTCCTCGCGATGCACGCTGCTCTGCTTCTTGCGACAGTTTTCCCGTCGAAAAAGGTGCACCGCACACATACACGAAGGGAAATCATGCCAGCAAATGCAGCCTATTCGGAAAACGCTTTGCAAACACGGGCCTGATAGTCTCAAGTGCGCACCACGTGCACGGACTGGGAAGACAGACAGAAACAGCTCAGCCATTTCCCTGCGAACGTTCCCCACTGTTTGGGGCGCACCGAAGTTAAGGCTGGAAAAATGAGGGCTGGGAAAAGCGGGAGTGAGCGGATCACGCGCCCCACTGCAGACCCGCCCCTTCCCTCCCCTCCCCGTTCACCTTCTCTCGCAGGATGAGTTCGAAGGCGGCCAGCAGCTCCCCCGCGGTCCGGTTGCCCATCATGACGGGATGCCAGGACAGCCTGGGCATGCGCTCCATGCTGGGCTTGCAAATGCAGCGGCCCAGGAACTCGTCGGTGCCCTGGGCGGGGGGAGAAAGAGACGGGCCGTCCCGTCACCTGCGCTCAAGGTCACCTGCGCCACCTCTGCATTTGTTCCAGAGGCACTGAAGCGGCTCGCAAGAGCCCGGTGAGCTGGGCTAAAAGAGCGCAAGCGGCGACGGAACGGCTACGCTCGCCAAGCAAACAGCGGGAGAGGGGACCGAGCGCCACCGCCGGCAGTCCTCGCCGCGCCTCCCCGAGCAGCCCGTGCCGTCTTGCCCAGGACCAGCCAGCACCGCCCCTGTGCCTGGGCACCTGGCCAGGAACGCCTCTGCAGGACCCCTTTGCTCCCCTTGTGGCAGCAGAGCCCCCGCAGCCTCCGCACACGCCCAGCCCCTTCCTCTGCCTTCACCTCCGCCCGCGGCACGCTGCCTTCCCTTACGCGGGACTGTGGGCTGTGCGCTCCCTGGGCCTCGTGCCTGTCGCACCCACACGGAGGCCGCTCTGCGTGCAGGCGCCTCGGGTGAAGGGTCCGCCGCTCTCTGTCCGGCGGGACAGGGTCCGTGTCGAACTCTGAGGCCCAAGGGCATGGGCAAACCGCGACGTCCGCCCCTGGCACGCCTGCTCTCATGCCGAGCTTCCGGGAGCGGCTGATCCGAAGAGCAGTGGACGTGCTCGCACAGCGGAGAGGGACCCACGGCCTCCAAGGAGCCTGAACGCCCTCCCCGGGCCCGGAGGCTGCGGCGACCGGTGCTCAGCCCCTCTTCCGGACAAAGTGCTTGGCCGCAGCGGCTGAGCACCTCGGGGGCTTGTCCTCGCCCACCCACCCTACCCAGAGTGCCTGCCCGCCTCCCACACTTACATAGGTGTCGTGGTCGTAGATTTCCACCATGACGTGAGGCGGAGACTCGGCCGTGTCCTGGGGACTGCCGAAGATCTCGATTTCATAGAAGATCAGCGTCTGGTCCCAGGTGGGGTTCAGGGTGTTCTTGGCGACCACTGTCTTCTGGCTCTGGTGCAGGAAGGAGACGATGGCGTAGGGGTCTGCAACGAAGGGGCGGAGGAGGCCCGTCAGGGCGCAGGGCGAGGCCCCTGGCATGCTGAGGCGGACCTTCCTCACGCCGGCCCACTGGGCCGCGATCCCCATGATTCCCAGGCAGCTTGGGAAGGCTGCCCCAAGCCCACGGAGCAGCCCCTGGCGAACCTTTCCTGCCTCCTTCGCCACTTCGGAAGGAGGAAAGCACCCGGGCCACGCTCCAGCCTGCCGCCAGCGCCCAGGAGGGCCTTCAAAGGCGCCCACCCCCCCGGCATCCGGCCTTCACCAACAGGCCTGGCACCGGCGAGTGCACGAACGGCAGGCTGCCAAGGCCAAGGGCCACCCCAGGGCGCAGCCCCAGCACCGAGCCGTTCCTGGCGTGGCGCTGCCGCTCGGCCGTGTCCCGGGGACTGCCAAAGTTCTCCATTTCACGGAAGATCAGCGTCTGGTCCCAGGTGGGGCTCCAGAGGGTTCCAGTGCCGGGAAGGCCCCCTCCGACCGGGCGACTGCTGCCCCACCTCGCGCTCCACCACCTCCTGCCCAGGGGCTTCCGCTGCCTCGCTTGCCAGCCCCGGTTCCTGGGCCCGACTGGCGATTCCACCCCAGGTCTCCCACAGCCTGCCCCATTCCTAGGGAGTGACTGTACCACGGCCCTCAGGGAGGCCTTGGGTAATGGGCCACTTCTGGGGATGCCTGGAACCACCTGGGAGGACTCAGCGGGACCCCCAAAGCTCTGCCCGGTGGCGCTCCCCTGGGAGGTGCGGGCCGGCGTGGGGCCCTTTCTGCGCCGCAGAGCATGGCGGTCCAGGCTTCTGCCACCCCCAAGCCCCTTGGCCAGCCTTCTCCGCGGCTGCCGCTCTGGGGGGAACCAGACCGCGGCCGCGATACGATCAGCGACAACAAGCAGAACTCCTGCTAGGAGGAACATGTCTTCCTTAGCTCTTAATGACTGCTGCTTTTTCCAGTAAGAGGAACAGCAAATGCACTGCAGTAAACAGAACCTCAAAGCCCTTTAAAAGCCCCTTTGTCCAAGCTTTGCATCCACACAAGGTTTTGTTTTCATAACCACAAAAAGCCTCCTCCAAGCCCTCCTTTATGCTTTGTTCGAGGGATGGCGAATCACAATCCCACGTTGTCTGTGTCTGTTCCATGTGTTGTCCTTGGCCGAGGTCCACCCAGAGAAAGCAACTCCCATTTGGCCCAGCCAATCAGGAGGGGTGAGATCACTCGTCGTGGAGATGGTCCGAATTCGAGGAGACACACACACGCGCGCACACCACAAGGAGGCGGAAGAATGGACTCGTTGTGCAACAGACGAGATCCCACTGGAAAGAGGGATGGTGGGTGATCCTTTCCTTAGTCCCAGTTCAAAACCCGGGCAAGACAGCTCTCTGGTCAAGGGTCTCCCAGTCAGATGAGCCAGGAGGCCACCCCAGCGCAGCGGAACATGCTCCGAGTGCATCCGAGGAAGGACACGTTTCAGACGGATCGGCCTGAGAAAACACGCCATGCCCATTCCCAGTCCTGCACAGCCCCCGTTTCCAGTGGAAAGCAACAGCGAGCCAAGTGTCGGCGTGCCAGCGAGCGATTCTGGCACGACCGTCACCCTCGTTCATGATAACTTGCCGAGAAAGCCGAGTCCCAGGGTGGGCGTGCTGGCTAGGAGTTCCCGCGTTAGAGCTGCACGGGGGCTCCGCTTCCTCTTCCAGCCGCCTCCAGGAGGAAGAGAGCGACGTCCGCGGCACACCCGGCTCTGCGGAGCAGTCCTCGGAAGCCCCCGGCGCGGGGAGAGCCCCCACTGTCCCCGAAGGTCATTGGCCTCCCGACACAGCAAGAGCCAGGCAGGGCGGCAGCCTCCGCCAGCACAGCCGGCCTGGGGCACAACCGGCGCTCTGGGACTGGGCACCCTGGAGGGCAACCTTGGGCGGCTTCGGCCCATCTGGCGGCCCCTCCGCAGAAGGGCTGCTCCTGACGCCATCGGCCGCCGCCGAGGAAGGCAGGCAGGCAGGCAGGTGCACAAGGAAGCCACCCGGCTCCTCGGGAGCGACCTGCTCGCACCACGTTCAGCGCAAGGGGCCGGTGCTGCCTGCCCGTGAAGGGCCACCCTGCCAGGCCCCAGGGAAAGCAGGCAGTCGCTGCCTCCTGGGCATGGGCAGAAGTCGAAAGAGCACTCCCACCAGCCTGGCAGCGTCTTAATAATGCCACACGGCGGGTGCCTCGAGTGCCAAATGCCCCAGACCCTGCGGGCTTGTGGGCCAGGTGGCACGAGCCTCCTCTGAGGGCTGGGAGGGACTCGCCCGGAGTCCCAGAACACATGGTCCGGGGTTCCACCCTGGCCTTGGCTGTGGGTGCACAGAAGCAGGACTGGGGGTGGGGTGGAAATGGCAGTGCCTTGCATTAGAATAAAAACGCCCAAGGGGCACACACCCCTCCTCTCGTGGGCCCCTCCACTCCCCACACTGCATCTCCCAAGCGGCTCCCGGACGGGCTGGAGGGGCCGCCACTCCCAGCCAGCCCGAGCCTGGACGTGAGGGGGACGCTCCTCGAGGCGCTTCCACCCCTTTGAGGCAGCCACGTGTGCTGTGGCCGCAGACGCACGGACGGCGCAAACACAGAATGCATCCACACGCGCCCTCCGGAGAAGGCACACGACGTCCAACTTGCCGAGCCCCTGTGCCCACCACCCCTCAGCACCCGCCTCACTGGGCATGCTCTCGGCGTGTGTGTCCACGTGTTCGACGGAGAGCCTTTCCCTCCACCCCCCAAATGGCACTCAGGGCAGCTCAGAGGAGACACACGTGCACCGATACCACCGACATCCAGACATTCGCTAAAAAGCCAGCGAGGTGGCGTGCAGCAAGCGAAAAGGCCCCCTGCCATATCCTCCCCTGCTTGCTTCCACACGCGGCTCTCTCTGCCCCCCACCCCCCGCAGTGCCATCAGGGCCAGGCAGGGCCCACGGGCACCTCCCCACTTCCATGCCAGGGGGCCAGCGTCCCCACGGGCAGGGGGTGGGAGACGGCAACGTAGCGGGCAGTCTGGACCACTGGGCCAGGCTGCCGCGATTAATGCCAGGCCCAGCCCCTTCTGACGCTCCGTGCTGCTCAGCCCCAGAGAAGCCGCTGCACCTCCAGGCTCCGATACAAAGACTGGGGCGTCCAGCGTGCCGATCCGTCCTCGCATCCCCTCCCACAAATCCAACACAGCACCGGAAGTGTTCTGTGCAGGCTCGGCACCTCTGGGAAGATTGTCGTGCGAGAGCAGAAGGCAAGGATTTCCAGCCCTGCCTTGTGATAACTTTCGCCTCCAAAAGCGGAGGAAGGCACCGGAGGAACGGCTATGCCCGATGTGGTTCGAACAGGCAAGGACGGCTCGGTGAATAAAGCGGCGGCTACGGCGAAGCTCTGGGGAAAGTGGCCATGCCAGACCTGAACCCTGGATTCTGGAGGAAGCACCATGGAGTGCAGCCAGCCACGTGCCCCGCATTGAAGGGACGCCCATTCTAAGAGTCCCAGGACAAGGGTAAGAAAGACCCCATGGCAAGCCACCCTAAGGAGAAAAGGAGTGGGTGGGAACCTTTGGAGAAGGAAATTCCTAAGGCACAACTGCACACATGTCCAACAACGAAGGGTAGAAGACAAGCGAAGACGTCCATGTGGCTTCACGAAGAGCTTAGAGACGACCCGAGATTGACAAAGAGCTCGTCTGGGAAATGGAAGGCCGGGCCACAAAGGAAGGGCGGGAAGGCACCAGGAGGGCGAGGCTGAGCACGTGCTGCCGTTGGTGAGGGATGCTAAAGCAACCCAGTTTTCTTCAGATGCGTGTACAGTAACAGACAGGAAAGAAAAACAGAACAGAAACAGCGCGAGCAGAAGGGGTCTCGTGGGCCATCTAGTCTGACCCCCGGCTCCAGCCACCTCTGCTCACGAGGGGGCTCAGCTACCCAGCAAGGATGGTAAAATGCTAACGGGGGCAGAGGAAAGGCCACAGCACTCCATTCGAGCGGTGCCTCCGTCTTCCCACAAGAGGGGCGACGAGCTCCCTGGCAAGGGGGAAATGCACAGTGGTGAAGGGCCACCTCGTTACTCTGAGCGAGCTCCAATCTCAGAACGGAACAGAACCGCATCCCAGGGTAATTAAGGCGCCGCCGAAGCACTCCGAGAAGCGCTGTCGATGATCTTGGGTCGCTTCTGGAGAATGGGTGGCGCACCGGACAACGGGGGCGAGGCTGACGCTGTCCCCATCTTCAAGAAAGGAAGACCAAGCGGCCTGGGAGCCACGGGCCAGTCAGTCTGGCATCAAACCCCGGGAAAATTCCGGAACAAGTCACAAGGTGGTCGGTCTGCCAACGCCCTGAAGCGATGCAGGGATGACTAGGAGCCGGCATGGATTCCTCAGAAGCAAACCCTGCCGGCCGAATCCGATTTCGGTTTTCGGTTGGCAAACCTCGCCGATGGACGGCAGGAATGCTGTGGACACAATCAGTCTGGTCTTCACCCAAGTTTTGACAACGTGCCCCGTGACTTCCGGATTAGCACATGGGCTAAATGGGAAGAATTCTCAGCGGGATCCACAGCTGGCTACCGAACGGGACTCAAAGATGCTCATCAACGACCTCTTTTCAGAATGGGGGCAACATGGTAATGAGTGGGGTACTTCAGGGTTTGGAAGTGGGCCTGGTGTTCTTCAATGTTTTTATTACTTTTTATGTAATATTTTTATTATTTTTATGTGGACAAAGAGGATCGAGGGATGCTGATCAAAGTGGCGGAGGACACAAAACCAAGTGGAACAGCGAACAGCCTGGGAGACAGAGAGAAGATTCAAGGTGCTCTTGCTGAGTTGGAGTGCAGGGCTGAAAACAACAGAATGAAATTCACCGGGCACAAATGCCCAGTTCAGCCGCTGAGAAAAAGAAGCTGGCGCATATTCACAAGATGGGGGAGACTTGGCTCAACACTAGGCCAACGAGAAGGATCTCGGAACTGTTATAGCTCTCAAGTGGAACGTGAGCCAGCGACCGGCCGCGGCCGCAAACTGGGCAGGTGCTATTTTAGGTTGCATTGATAGAAGGATCGCTTCCGATCACGGGAAGTACCAGCTCCCTTTACTCTGCACTGGTTGGGGCTCCCCTGGAGTGGTGTGTCCACGTCTGCTGAAGCGGGAAAGGGTTCAGAGGAGGGCAACAAGGATGGTCCAGGGCTGGAACAAAGCCCCGCAGGGAGAGGGTGGAACTGGGCCTGTTTAGCCTCCAGAGCGGAAACAGCGCGGCCCTCCTCAATTATGAGAACGGTTGTCACCCAGAACAGGGCCATCTCTTCTCCATCACCCCAGGGCTCAGGCTGCAGGGCGCCAGATTCCAGCCGGTCGCCAGGAAAAACTTCCTGACATCAGAGCAGTGAGCAATGGGACCCGCGACCCCAGGAAGCCACGGACTCTCCCATCCAGGGTGCCGTGGGACAGCCGTCGCTCAGAGAAGCCTGAACTTGAGTCCCGCATCACCAGGAGCTTGGACTCGCCGGCCCGGTGGCCCCTTCCAAGGCAACTTCAGGGGAGGATGGAGACCACTGCGTTTCCCCCCAGGCAAGTCTGCGCTCCCGCCCCCGTCATCACGGCCTGTGCAGAGTGGGGCCACACGCGGGGCACATGCTGGCCTGCCCCTTTGCTCCTGCTCAGCTCATCTGCCCTCCTTGGGGCTGACACGTCTGTGGAAGGTGGAGGCGGCGGCGACACCCCTCCTCCTGAATTGGGACCACGGCATCCTGGCGATGCAAACGCCACTGGCCCAGCTGCACCCCTCAGCGCTCCGGCCCGAAGCCAGAGCACCAGGAACGCCGTGCGGCCGAGGCGCAGCCCCTCTGCGGCTCACCCGAAAAGCTGTCTTTGTCCATGGCCGTCAGATCTCGGGCTTGGTAGAGGTAGCAGCGCAGGTGGTACCTGTTTCCATCTGCAGTGAGGGAAGGGAGAGAGAAGAGGCCAACGGCAACTGAGCAACGAGCACACAAGAAGCACCCGAGCCGGCGCCTGCGCCTCCGGGCCGAGCTGCGCGACAGGCTCCCGCGTCCAGCAGCTTTGCAGGACGACAAGCTGAGCCGACCGACACTCAGGGCGGCCCTCCCGCGGCCCGGAGACTCCAAGGCTTGCGTGGCCTCTGCGTCCGCGTTCCCTCTCTCCTCGGGTGCAGATCTGGCACCACCCCCCTCTTGCCGCATCGCAAAACTGGCGCCCTCTCTCTTCCCACCGCACAGGGGCCCTTACAGTCAAATATGCACGAAATGGTCGGCCGGTTCACGCCGAAGCTGAACGTCGACACTGCCTTGCCGTCGTCACTCTTGTCATCCGTCACTCCGCCCTACAGGAGAAAGGGTTGTGCTTTTGCCGGTGGCACACTTGGCAGCTGCCAGGGAGGGACCGGGAGTCCTTCTTGCGCCCCTCCGCTCACCCCTCGGCAGCAGAGGCAGCCCCTCGCTCAGCGCCTGCAAATGGTGCTTCCGCGCCTTCCTCGGCTCCATGCGGACACCAAACGTCTCCCTTCCTGCCACCTCCTGGGAAAGGCACCCGTATTCCCCCCAAGGAGTGCCCAGACGGCCTCCCCTGCTTGCGTTGTATCCCCACAACTGCCTGGGCAGAGTGTCGCAGGACTGAAGCAGGTGCCCAAAGCCCGCCCGAGGGGCTTCACTGGCACGTGAGGCCTGGGCCTCGGCTTCCCCTACTTGACCCTCTGCACCCACCGCACCACTCCGGGACTGTGCCCGAGAAACGGAAGCCCCGGTGGGGCTGCGGAGGGAGGGGCAGGGTGGCAAAGTTCACGTAAAAGCATAGGGGGCGAGCTGGAGGGGCTGGAGAGCCACCCTGCCCTGTGCAAGACCCCCGGTTACACCATCCCTCAGGCGGCCGTCCAGGGAATTTGCATGGCGCCCGGACTGGAGAGCCCAGCGCCCTCAGGGTGCCAGCCAGGACTGGCGGTGGGGGTGGGGGGTCCTCCCTTTTGCTGGTCCTTCAAGCATCCCAGAGGGCCAGGTGGCCTCCAAGACTCCTTCACCCACTGGGGCGCCAGTTTGCAAGGGATGTGGCCACCCCCGAGGGGCGGCCAAAGCTCATTTCAGCTGAGCTGAGAAATGCCAAGACCAGCGTGTTCCTTTGGCTACTGGGAACACTGGGCTTGAGTGGGCGGATGGAAAGGCCTCGTGTCCTCCACCCCACTCCACCTCCGCTCATCAAACCCAAGTCTTGTGTAAAGGGATCTCAAAGCGCTCCCTGTTAAACCGATTTCCCTGTGATTCCTGGCCAATAGATTTAATGGAGTAGAACTTTTGCTAAGGCTGCGCCCAGCGCCACAAAACCCGGCTGGAAAGGGAACTTGCAGGAGTGCTTTTAGCCCCCCCCCCCCCATCCCCAGGTGCCAAAGGCTCGGCAAAGCCTTTTATCGCCTCCTAATTGCGGCAATTGGGGTGAAATATCTGGCTGCGTGACGTGGGGGCCCGGCGAGATGATCGCACTTCCTGGATTAACACAAGCGCAACCTTTCAGTGCTGGCAGCGCTCAGATGTTTGGCGATGGCCTGGAAAGCGCATCCAGGATGGGATTTCCAGACACCCGGGGCCGGCCTGGGCCCAGCGAGCATGTCACGAACTCAGGTGGTCCAGCCGTTCCTCCGAAAGCGCCACATCAGGAATAGCCATTATGACCCTCTCGCTCGGAGGAAATGCTGCGCTTGGCGGGCCCGTCAATTTCAGATAATTAGGCCCCGCAGAAATTATTTAAAAGCTGTTGTCAGAATTTCCCTTCCCCCTCCCCCTCCCCTTGCATCCTGGATCCCGGCCTCAAATATTTCCTCTGGCGGAATTTCCTGAACACCCAGGTTCTCTGGTCCCCCCCGAGCTTCACGGGAGCCGCTTCTGCCTCACCGGCCATTGGCCCGTGGCCGAGACTCTGGTCCAGCCGGGCCTGCTCCGCCAAGGCACGGATGCGCAGCAAGGGGGCCAAAGACCCCTGCGCCTCTCTGTGCCGCTCCGGGCCTCCCCTGCCCTTCCCGCTGCTGCTCGGCTTCAGCCTCCCAGCGCTGAAAGCTGGAACCCGGCTCAAAGGGCCCTTTGCCCTCAGGGCAACCTGAAGCTCCCACCGGCTGCACACTCAAGCGGCCGGGACTCACGTGTGTGGACCTGCTCCCCCCAAGTCAGGGGAGGAGAAGGGGTGAGGCTGCAGCACGGAAAACTTGGTGCCCCAAGGGCGACGGCCAGTCTCCCCCTCCGCCACCTCCCCCCTCTTCCCTTCCAAGAGTCCTTCGTTGCATGAAGGCTGGCCAGGCAGGGCTGCCTTGCGATACAAAGCGAGCCAGGCCGGTCGCCAGGCAGGAGAACGACTGCCTGGCGACAGTGGCACACGCACTGGTGACTTCCCGACTAGACTTCTGTAACGCGCTCTCCGTGGGGCTGCCCTTGAAGACGGTCCGGATACTTCAGCTGGTGCAGAATAGAGCTGCCAGCTGCTGACGGAGAACTGGGGCTATATGAGAGCAATGCCCAGTCCCCGTCAGCAGCTGGCTCCCGATTGAAGTCCGGGCCCAATTCAAGGTGTTGGTGATGACCTATAAAGCCCTAAACGGCTTGGGTCCTGGATATCTAAAGGAACGCTTGCGTCCATATATGCCCGCCCGCCCCTTGAGATCAGCAACGGATGCCCTTCTCCGGGAACCCTCCGTGAAGGGTATTAGGAGGGTGAGCACCCGGGGGAGGGCCTTCTCTGCGGTGGCGCCCAATCTATGGAATGCGCTCCCCAGAGAGGTCTGCCTGGCGCCGTCGTTATTTGTTTTTTGGCACCAGGCTAAGACCTTTTTATTTAAAACTTATTTTAATTGCTAAATTATTGCATTTATTAGGATTTTAAAATTAGTCGAGAATGCACCGGGGGGGGGGGTAAATGTTTTTCTTTTAAATTGTTACATTGTTATTGTTTATGTAAGTTTTTGTGTATTTTTTGTGAGCCGCCCCGAGGCTTTGTTGCGATGGGGGCGGCATAGAAACGTTTTAAATAAATAAATAAATAAATAAATGCCCCCCCCCCCCCCAGTCCTTCGCCTGAGGCCTCCATCAGGAGCCTTCCGATCCTGGTTTAGCTCTGCCCATGCCAGGAGCTTGTCCTGCCCCTCCCTTCCCCACCGGGGGGAGCGGGCTCCATCCCCAGGGAGCCAGGCGGGGGGAGCACCAACAGACCGACGGTGCTTAACTGCCCTCTCCTTCGGCCGCTGGCCTCCTCGCCCAGCCCGAGGCAGCCACCAGCCCCTTGGCTTCCCCACAGGTTCCTGGCCTGGGCAGCTCTGCCCAGCATCCTGCGCCCGCCTCTCCTTCCAGTTCTGACTCAGAGCCTGGTCCATCCACCTGGGAAGCCCATTTGGGGGGAAATGGGCCCAGCCCCTGCATCTGGGTCCGGAGAGAGGAGCAGCAGCCCCTTCTTCCTCCGAGGAGACAAGCGCCACGGGACGCTTGCACGGGGGCCTGCAGCCCGCACGGCGCATCACCTGGGAGGCCTGCCTGCTGGAGCTCGGCTATCGGGGCTCCTGCCCTCGTCTCCTCCGTCCACAGACCCAAAGGGGCCATTTATCTTCCGTGGCCGGGTGCTTGCAGAGCAGAGCGCAAATCTAATCTTGGGCCCAGAATTCGCTTTGGACGCCTCCTCAGAGGCTGTCACTGAAGGCATGATTCAGAGGCAGGCCTACTTAGAGCGAGCGCCTTCCAACGAATGGGACTTAGGGGGCCACGACCAACAAGTCCCCGTCTCTTCCGTGGGTCCGCCAAAGAGCCTCATTCTATGTGGAGATTCTCAGATGCGCCCCACGGCCCCGTTTCCCCCACAACTTGCAGGCAAAGCACAACTCCAAAAGGAGGGCTCAATTAACTCTAGACTGCGCTCGGAGTCAGAGCAGCGCCGGCCCCAGGTGCCCCTGGGGACATGGGTCTGGACCGAGAGGCAGCCGAGCGGCTCGCAGCCCCGCTTCCCTGGCAGCCCCCGCAGCGCTGGGGGGCCTCCAAGGGCCAGCGCCCGGGCAGCATTGTCCCTTCGGCACCGGGGCGCCCCCACTTCGCCAAGGCATGCACGAGGGGGGCGTTTCTGCGGGCCAGTCTCCCTGGGGTGCTGGCCCGGTCGTCCTGCCCCAGCACCCTCCTTGTCCCCACCCAGGCCCAGCTGCGGCCTCGGGGGGGGCACCCAGCACGGATGGCCGAAGGGGCAGAGCACCGAGGTCAGAGGAGCCAAGGAATCCTGCAGCGCTCCAGAGCATGCGAGAAGGGCATCGGGCGGCCTCAGAGACGCTTTGCATCTGCAGAGTGGCAGCGGCTGCTTTTCCCACTGCATCCATGTACGGTGTGGTCCCTGCTGATTGCTGTGACCGGCCAGAGGACGTCTGCTCCAGGGCAGTACGGAAACACAACCAGGCACACTTTTCAGCTAAGCTCTGTGCACAAGGTGCCCATTCCCTGGACATCCTGGGGGGGCTGCGGGGGCCACGAAGCGGAGCTGCCACTGAACCTCATTCGAAGGGGAGCCGCAGACAAGATTACACGGCAGGGAAACTTGGCCGGTTCTCCGAGTGCATTAGAATATACAAAAATTATTTTACTTTATTTTTAAAACACACACAACCTCATGGCTAAATTTTATATATTGACTTGTTTAAAACTTGGTCCAAATGTCAAAAGAGAGGGGAAGGACAAATGCAGCCTACAGAAGGAAAATCCAGAGGCGGAGGGAAGGAAAGCATAATAGCGCCTTTGTGCTGGAGCGCTTTGGTTCCCCTTCGCTCCTTGAAAAGCCAGGAGATTATGAAATCCAATGTCTTAAGAAAGCCAGCATATTAGTTAAGAAAATAAATGTGGGGCGGGTGGGGTGGGGCGGGGCGGCTCACGCGGGGGGCTCGGAGCACGTCCTTCCCTCAGCCTTCCGAACGGCAGCCTCAGTTCCAGCGGCATCTACGCCGGCTAGAAAAACGTGGCAAGCAGGCAGGCAGGCAGGCGGGCAGGCAGGCAGGCGGCTCTTCCGGCCACAGCGAGGTCATCCGAGCAGGAAGGCCTGCAACATGACCGGCGCGACAGGCGCCGGACCAGGGAGCGCGCTGCCCGGGCTGCGACTCGGCCGTGGGACCTGCCCCGCGCTGGCCGCCCTCGGGCACAGAAGGGCTGCGCCACGCCGAGCGGTGCCTGGGATCCATGTGCAAAGGCGGGCGAGAGCTCAGCACAGGAGGCCCCCCCGCCAGGTACAGTGAGGGCTCCCGGGAGCAGGCGCCGCCGGCTCCCCCGCTGCAGCGAGCGGCCCTGGGCGCTCCCGTCTGCAGCCGGGAAGGCCGTTGGCCGAGGGAGCAGCGCTGGCAGCAATCTTCCTTGATCCACCTGTCGAATGATCAGCCGGTTTCTATGCTAAGGTGGTTTCCACCCGCCCTGCTCGGTTCTGCTGCGGTCACCATGATCCCATCAACCACTGTGCCTGAAACGCGATTCCCAGGTGCATCCCTGCCTGCCTGTGCTGCCCGCCTCTTCCTCACTGCGCCACCCAAAGAGGCCGGAGCAGCTCCTGCAGTTGCCGCTCGTCCGGGGGACCCTGGGGCGATTGCGTAAGGCTGCGGAAACCAGGATGCTGGGTTCGGACAAGCCAAGCCATGGTGGGACAGAGAAGCCGCAGAGCAAACCATGGTTTCTTATCATGGTTTCGAAAAACCAAGCTTACCACGGTGAAAAACCATGACTGGGTTCAGCTTGCATGGCAGACCAACAGCGGCAACACCCCCACCATGGCTTGCCGCATCGCCTGAGCCCAGACACTGCTTCTGGATTGCTCATTCCAGACCCAGCCATCCAGAACTCTTGCACTGCAACAGGGACGGTATTTAATTGCTGAGAAAATTAACGTCCCGCCACCTAGAGAGGAGACTGCAGCGCAGCTCAGGCGGGCAGGGGCGGAGTGGCACATCATGTCCATCTCCTGGCCCGGCAAGCCCGCCCTGCACCACCCGCGGGGGCCGATCCTCCCAAGCAGGCCCACCCTGGTCCCGGGCACCTGCGGCACGTGCGCCAGGGAGTGTGGCCTAGACCGCCATTTTAGGTTCCCACAGTGCTGCGCTGGGGAAGATGAAACGGGTGCTCAGGCCCGGCCGTCAGGCGAGCCCACAAGGACAGGCGGGGACCTGCTGCTGCAGACGGACGGGCGGAAGGTGCCTTGCTCCAGGACCCTTCGAGCCCAGAGCCGACGCAGGCGGCCAGTGGCGGAGCCTCTGGGTCGGCCTGGGCGGGTGCAGCCCCAGCCGCCTGCCAGGCCGACCGCGCGGGCCAGGCCCTTTACGGGATCTCCGCCGGTGGCAGCCCAGCGCCAGCCCGAGGGCCAAGCAGGACCAGCCAGCGCCAGGTTGGAAAGCGCCCAGTCCCGGCTGCCTGCGGCCCCGACGTAACCCGGACATTGAACTTCTGCCCAGGTGAGCTTTGTGCTCTCCAGATTCCTGCAAGGATACACGAAACCGCGTCTCCTCCAGGCAGCTCCGCCGCAGGCTTGGCCGAGAGCGCGCCCAGCGGGTGCGAGGCAGGACAGGGGGCGGGGCGGGGCGGGGGCTGCCCCAGGACCGTCCTGGCCGTCCTCTGCCAGCCCTCCTCGCAGCCCCCCGGTCTGAAGAGAGGTGGGACAACTGACAGCAGGGGGAGAAATCCAGGGGCTACCTACCAGGGCACCTTCCAAGGCAAACACAGCCGCGGCACCCGTCTGCTCGAGGGGCTCCATCCGACGCCTCCAGCGCCGGCGGCGGAAGGAATCCGTCTTGCGGTATTTCAAGTGGAACTTCCAGCCAAAGAGGGAAGCATATTCCCAGCCCTCCCCTTCCAGCTCCTCCTGTTTGAACTGTGGGAAGAAGAGGGAACAGGGGCGTTCTCAAGCTACGGGAAGAGAAGACTGTTCTGGAGAGGAGAGCGCAGAAACTTCGCGGGCGGCAGTAACCCACAGTCCACCGGAGAACCCACCGACCCAGGAGAGCCTGCATGGCCGCTTGACCTCCCTGGGTTGGAAAGCTCGCTATCGTGCTTTGAGCTTCGGGTTAAATGGCTCCTGGGGATGATGGGATGTGGGCCACTTTAAGGGAGCACTTTGGTGTCTAAGTGTGCGTCACTCTTTGTGCAAGCAACTTGCCAGATCCAGTACTTTGCACCTCTTCAAATGTGCAGCGCTGTACTAAAAACCTGCCGCACGAACTCCAGGTAGTTTCAGGATCAGGATAATTTGCTTGAATACCTTTGCACCAAACATGCTTTTGCTCCGGGCCCTATTTGGGGCCTACGTAAGTTAACTCTGAAGAAAATGCTCCGGCATAGGAGGGTCCTCGGCCCCTCAACGCGCTTTCCGGGCCTCGGACGGCGGCGCTTCTCGCTTCCGCATGTTGCCGCAGAGCCCCTTCCGGCCATTCGTGACACCGACAGGGACCGACAATGAACCGCACCCCGAAAACAGCCAAGGCCCACCAGGGCGCCTGATGTCCTGCAGCGGGGCAGGCCAAGGGTTGGTCTCCGGGCAAATCTCAGCGGTTCCCCGGGGTCCCTGGCTCCCGATGGACGAACAAGCACAGCACTTGAACCCCTTGCTCTACTCTCCAGGGAGCCACCGAAACAAAGGCGCCTCCAGGAGAATCCAGGAGCATCTCTTCTTGCAAGAAGGGGGTAGGCCTGGGAGCACACCTTCCTGGGCCGACCTGTGCACTCAGGTACACCCTGTCTGTAACTTCAAAGTGCCCTTCTGCCCCCAGCCCCCGTTTCGCCTGCCATCCCTCCACTTCCTGCCTGGCAAATACAAAGGGCGGATCTCTGCCCCAAGGGGCTTACAGTCCGAAACTCAGGGAGGGAAGGCAACAGAGGGACTGCCGGGCAACCGCCCCCTGCACTCCGTGTGGTCAGTCTGCAGAAGCCCAGCTCCAGTCCGCCTGCGACAGGCCTTCTCCGCTCCGTCTAGACACCCGGAAGCAACTGCTTTGCTGCGCCTGCGGATTGGGGCCCAAATGAGTGTCCGGGGGGGGGGGGGCATGCAGGGGAAAGGAGCTGAATGCAGCCCACCCCTGTCCTCCCCTCCCCTGCAAGCCACTGGCACAGAACCCTCACGCTGGCCGGGCTCGCTCAGCACGCCGCCCTGTTGCGGCGACTGGTCCCCGGGGCTGCTTGCCGTGGGAGCCCAGGCACACTTCCTTCGAGGCACCCGGCCAGCCTGGCCACACAGCGCCGGCCCTCGGGGGCTCGCGATGGCCTGCCGAGCCATCCCAGCCCGGGAAGGCCGCTGCCCTCGAAGCGGGCCAGGAGCCACTGGGCTGGAAGGCGGGGGGGGGGGGGACGAGGCATCTGTGGGCCGAGGGGGACACCTGGCGGCCGCCCGGGGCACTGCCAGCCCCACTGGCCCCCGGCCTCCCGCCGAGACGACTGCGCTGGCCGGCCGGCACCACCCCCTCCCCAGGCCCGGAGGGCTCTCCTCGTGGCAAGGGGCAGGCGCGCGGGGGCTGCTTGCTGACCCTCTCCCCAAATGCTGCCCCCAGCCAGGGGAGAAGGGCCGACGGAGCGGCTGGGACGCCCTGCCCGGCGCCAGCGTACGGCTTCGGAAGTCCTTGGGCACTGTTGCACCCGGGGGCTTGATGCGACAGAACCCTGCCCAGCGAGAGGCGTCCTCTGTTCTCCTCGCCGGTCCTCCCCGGTGGCCGAGCAAGGCGGGCGGGGATGGGCTGGGGGCGCAGAGAAAGCTGCCTGGCCGCACAGGCCGGCCCTGGCACTGGGCAGCCAGGGGGGCCTTCCTGAAGGCCGCTGTGGACCCTGGGGCAAGGCCTCATGCTGTGCTGAGCGGGACGACAGCTCCATCATCCCCCACCAGCAGGGCCGCTGGTAGGGGGTCCCAGGATGAGATGGCTGGGGATGATGGGAATTATGCAGCAGCTCACCCAGAGGGAGGGCAGTGTGTTGGGGAAGACGCCGAGCGCTCGCTCCTCACGCACTTGCGCACGTACCTTTTTCAGCGCTTCCACCTGGGCGAAGTCCCTCCTGCGAAGCCTCACCCAACGCCGGCGGCGGTTCGTGTGGTACATCTTCTCGGCCGGCGCCCAGGCCTTGGGCTTGTGGTCGGGTGGGATGGTGATGCCGTATTCCCAGCCTCGGGGCAAAGACAGGGGAGCGTTGGGGTCGCGTCGCTCGCCCCTGCACCTCTCTCTTCCGCCCCACCGGCAGGGCCGGATGCTCCCTCCCTCGGCGGGCTGAAGCAACGGAATCCCGGGCCCTTTGGCGTTTGAAAACCGGCCCTCCGTTTGCAATTCTGACATGCTTTGAAGTCAAGGAACGCGCGGAGCAAGCGAGCGAGCGAGCGAGCAAGCAAGCACACCGGTGCTGATGGTTTTTAGAGCACCAAATGTTCGGCATGACCTTCCCCACACGAAGCCCCGCTCCGCACGTGCCGGCACGGCGTCCACTGCACCCCGTCCTGGAATGCCGCACGGAAGGCTAGGAACATGCAGTGGCTGGACGGGGCGAACTGGAGCCGCCCGCTGACCAGCCCTCGCGCCGAGGCCAGCGCCCGCCCTTCCGGGTCCAAGAGGTGCCGCAGCGAGTGACACAGAGCGTTTGACAAGCAGCTGCACTCAAAAAGGTCAGGCGCTCGTGACCAGCCACACCGGCCGCGGCTCTGCCACATGTCCAGAACACCCGTCAGCCCAAGCCAGCAAGGCCAGACCTCAGGAACGCGAGGAATTGTAGCCCAAAAGACCCAGAAGACGCCGGCCTGGGAAAGTTCCTCTGCTTTCTCCATCAACCTGATGCCGTCATTTTTCCTCTCGCGAAGAAACCCCTCATCTGCTCCCAAGCATGCAATTATGCATTTTTAAGAGCATTCCATTTTTTGAAAACCTTCGATGAGTAGAATTTACCAAGCCACCCGCAAACGGGAAGCACGTGCGGCCTCTCGCTCAAACCCACGAGGCAGAAGGTGGGCCGGTGAAGTGCCGCCAAGCCTTCCCCTCCGAGAGAAACGGGACCCACCCAAGAGGACCACGAGCTGCCGGAGCCTGAACGCTTCTGCACAGGCTGATGCCTTCCACAGAGAGAAGCCTGCCATGCAGAACGGAGTGGGAAGGGGTTTCCGGGGCATGTGGAGAAAGCCTCCCCCCCTGCAAGATACCTTTCTCGTCCACGACTCTGTTGAGGTCCGTGTCCCACTCCACGTCCTCCCATTTCCACCCGAGGGGACACTCGATTTCGTCCTTGGGCAGGATCTTCTCCCCGTTCTGCAGGGAAGGGGAGACTCTGGTGAGGGCGCCTCCCACGCCGCCTCCTCGCCACCGGAGGGAGAAGGGGCGAGGCGGGGGCTGCTCCTTGCTCGGGGCAGGCCCCCCGAGGCCGGCAGCGGAGGGGGCTCCTCACCACGTCTGTGTAGGCCTCGGGCATGTGGATCCACTGGCCGCCGGGGAGCCGGACCTGGTTCTCAAAGACCTCCTCCACGAAGCTCATGTGCCCGGCGTCCACGTCGTAGAGCAGCCTGCACGGAGGGAGAGCAGAGGGGCTGCAGGGGCTCCCGGGGGGGCTCTTGGCGCAAAGCCCCCTGCCAGCCAAGCTCTTCCCTGGCCAGGCGCCTCGTCCCTTCAGGGGGCCGCTGGTGCACATGGGGCCCTTCTCGGCAGGAGAAAGGCACCACGGCTCCCAGGAGGGGCTCAGGGGCCACGCGACCCACCAGGCGCCTTCCATGCCGCGGTCAGTGGGGTCAGTGGTGCCCTGTCCTTGCGCCCTTTCTGAGCACAGGCACAGGGCCAGGCCAGGCTGTGGCGGTTTTTAAAAGCCTGCACGGTGTACGGAAGCCCTCAGAAGGATCCGGCCTCCCGGCCCAGCCCTCGAGCCACGGGCCACCCTGGACCTGGGCCTGGCTCGCCCGGGCCCGTGTGACGGGGCCTCCGGGCTTGCCCCACTTCTGAGAGGAAAGGGCGGCCAGCCCCCAGAGGCGGCCCAGCGTCTACTCACGTCTTCTCGGGGCTGACGAACCATTCGCCAGCCCACGACCAGCCCGCGGAGGGCCGGAAGCTGTCCTTGGGCAGCCTGATCTTGCCGGTGACGTCCGAGAACTTGGGGTAGGTCAGGCCGGTCGTGCCCCAGTTCCCGACCAGCGCCAGCTTGGTCTGGTTTTCATACTGAGGCACCGAGGAGAGAAGGAGAGGAGAGGACTCAGCGCAGAAGGGGCGGAAGGGCCCACGGACGTGGGCACGCTTCCCCCCGCCCGGAGCAGCGGAGGCGGAGGGGTGCGCAGGCCCGGCGGCTGCGTCTGGACAGGTTCCGCGGCCACACCAGCGTGGGGCCGAGGGGGATGGCCACCAGCGTGCCCCCGGGAGCGCGTTGCAAAGGGCCGGCAAAGGCCGAGGGCGACGGATCAGCAACGTCACCGCGCCAGGGTCCCTCCGGCGCACCCGTGGCTGGGCGTCTGCCCCCGAGTCGCTAAGCGGGTGCTGGAGCGACTTGTTTGACGGACAAGGTCGGGGCACGGCCCCTTCTCTGGCCCGGACAAACCCACAAACCCACAACCCCTGTGGCCTTGCGGACTGCAACCGCGTTTTTCTGCGACAAGTTAACCAGCTAACAGGACAGACCTCCGTCAACACCAATTATACAAATACGAACACATGATTTTCAGTCAAGGCAATTCAAACTGCGTTTCAAGTCAGCAAGTGTTTTGCCGCTTGGTTTGCGTCTGTCCTTGGCCTCTCCTTGCCCCACATCCAATACAACATCAGAACAGCAGGCCCCCCACCACCACCTGCCCCCAAACCGGACCACAAGATGCTTTCGGCTCACCGTTTCAGCAAAGACCGACAGCCTCCCCTCTGCCGACTCGTTGAACGCCTTCTCGTCCACGCCCAGGCCCAGCCACAGCCGAACCCGGATCTGCGCAGGGACCCTGGGCCCCATCTCCTCCTCCTGAGGGCGCTGGAAAGAAATTGGGACCCCCCGGGCTGTCAAACCCCAGAGCGGCCGCCCCGCAGGCTCCGTCACGGAGGAAGCCGTAGGCAGCCCTGAGGTCGGAGCCCTTTGCCGGCCTCATCGCATGTTGTGGCCCAGCCCGTGAGGAAGGAGCCGGCCCCGACTCGGGGGGGGGGGGGCAGGGGGAGAGGGAGATGCTGCACCAGCTCTGGGACTTCTGCTGGATCAGGCAGAAGGCAGTTCTGCCCGGGGCGCCCCGAAGGGACCCCTCCTCTCCACACGTGGGCTGGCCCACAGGGGCACCGCCTGGGAATCCTAAAGGGAACTAAACCCAGGAGAGAGGAGAGAGGAAGGAAGGAAAGAAGCAGGGCCCAGGAGGAGGAGGAGGAGGAGGAAGGACGGGGCTGGGCTTCGCAGACACCACTATGGGGCTCGGGGGGGGGGGGGTTGCGTGGCAGGGCTCCCTTGCAGAGGGACTAAGAGCGGCCGTGCCTGGCCGGGGGCGTGGGGGCAGCAGGCACACGGACCGTGCACGTGTTCACCAGAATAGGTGCTCGCTCAGAAATCATCACTCAGAAGTATCGTGATTTTACAAAATGCAAAGCCAGCCAATGCATTTCTCACCCGAGCCACCCTAAATCGGATGGATAATTCACACGCTGATCCAGACCCAAGGGGTGGGGAATGGGATTTCTGCAAGCCAGAAAAGACCGCTTCCCTCCCCAGCTGTAATCCCACTGAAAGTTGCCCCCGCAGAGCAATCAAAGCTGAGCGCTCCGTGGGTTTGGCTGGCTCCGTGGCCCAGGCGTAGCGGCACCTTCGGCACCCCCCTCCGCTCTGCACATGGCCTCGCCCCCCGAGTCCAGTCTGGCCTCCCGAGGACCCCTCTTCCGCCCAGCTACGAGGAGCCAGCCTCCCAGCTCGACTCCGAGCTCCCCGTCCAGCAGTGCCAGAGCCTCTGAACGGCAGCTGGGGAGACCCGCGTCCTGCAGGTGGGCCTCGCGGAGACCTGCTTTACTGGGGGACGGTGCCCCCTCCCCATTCCAACAGCATCTTGCTTTGGCCAAAACACGGGGCCGGGAAAGGACTGCCAGCCCCCTAGCCTCTCTCTGTGGCCCACGGGGCAGTCCAAGTCTTCCCGGAAACTCTGGGGTGGCCCCGATAGTTAATTTCTGGTTCCTCTGGGCATTCCAGCACCCGGGTGCTGCTCCGGCTGCCTTTTCCTTCGGCAACGACGGCTGCATCTCCTTGCTGGCGCATTCGGTAGCTCCAGAACCCGGAGAGTTATGCTGACGGTATTCCACTCCACAGCTTAGGACAACTTTTAATTAATAAATCCTGAGCAGATCACAGAAGCGACCCCCCTTCAGGTGCCGCCACCGAGGCCCCCTCCTAGCCCTCCAGCCCCACCACTTCCCCTTTGCTCTTGCTCCTGTTCTTCTGGAAGTAGAACCGTTTGGGGACGACTGCAGGGAGTGCCTGACGTTTTTCCTACCCCCACCGCAAAAACAAGGACATGAATTGAGCTGTTTTTCAAACCTGACATATCGTTACATCCTGCCAGCACTGCCCGTGATGGCGGAAGCGGGAGGGGAAACGCGGGGCTTGGGGTGAAAGCCTCTGCAAACCCTTCCAGCAGCCGCTCCTTTTCCCTTCCAGAATCGAGACCCACCCGGTGCTCGAGCTTTCGCACACAGAAAGAGAGCAAGAGGCCGCGTCCGTGGCCACCTACTTTCAAGAGGATGGTCTGGAGTTTCCCGCAGTGCTTTCCGCAGCAGCTGGCCCCGTTCCGGGAGAAGAGGACCTCGTGCGCGGGCAGCCGGCAGTAGGCCACACGGCGGTCCCCTTGCAGCATCCAGATCACGACGTCCGGCAGGCTGTTCTGCGGCTGCAAGGCAGGTGGGCGAGTGAGGGCGGGCGGCGGGCGGCCAACCTGAGCCAGCCAGCCAGCAAGAAGCGGCCGCTTGCGATGGAGGGCCCCGGCCTGCTCAGGAATTTGCTTGTTGATTCATTTATCTGGGGTAGTTCGAACCCGCCAAATCGCTATGCGTCTCCCGAGGGCTTACAGTTTCAATAAATACAACAACATTCCCGCACTCCCCCTCTGTTGCATCCAGCAGCTCGCATGAAGAAGAGATCTGTGTGTCCTGAAAGCTTGTCTCTAACACGCTAAGTTCTTGCAGCCTCGTGCTGTCCAAGAGGAAGCAAGTGCTGGGGGCAGCTTTTTCCTTCAGGGATTCCCCCCACACCCCACCCCACAGGGACTGTTTTCTGCGAAGCCTGCTTGGGTGGATTGCTAAAGCTGCATTTGCTCCTCAGAAGCCAACTGCCCCCCTCCCATCTTTGCCGTGGGGGGGGGGGGCGCTGCGAAGCGCATGCACATGCAGCTCAAGACCCCTGTGCCTGCGCCCGGCCACGTGCAGGCGGCCAAGCCATTCCGCCTTCCTCCAGCCTCCACCCGAGCAGGCCGGGGGGCTTGCAGCAGCAGCAGCTGCAGAGACCCAGAGCAACGGGTCCTTCAGCGCCAGAGCCCCCCTCCCTGGCCCATCCAAGCCAGCCAGGGCAAGAAGGGTCTGGCGGCCCAGCGATCAGCAGCCATGTGGCCCATGTGCCCCGATGTACTGGGGGCGGGGGCGGGTCGTGAGGCAGCGCAGGGACTAGCACAGGCACGAAGGGAGGCCCTGCAAAGGCCCCCCGATGTGACCCACACACACACACACACACTGTACACAATCGCCATGCTTGTCTCCTTCGTGAGAGCAAGCCAGCCATCTGGAAGAGGTGCTTTGGACTGCACCTCCCAGCATTCTTGACCCGTGGCTGTGTGAACTGGGGCTGATGGGTGCTGCAGTCCAACACACCTGGAGGGCACCCCGTGGGGGAGGCGGCACTGAGCACCTCACAATCCAAGCAAGGCCACAACGAAGCCCACTCTGCTCCCTCGGCCCACTGCCTGCCGCGGCCCCAGAGGAGGGGGAGCCCCGCGCTCCCGGGGCCCAGTGACAGCCCCCTGGCAGCCCCCTTCTCCCCGCCCCCCCTGGGGCACTGCTTGCTCACAGCCCGGCAGGAGGCATGGGGGAGGCGGCCGGCCCCCTCCGTGCCGGGAAGGTGAGGGTGCCCCCCCGCCGGCCCCCTTCCCACCGGAGGACCGAATGTCCCAGAGGGGCTTCCAAAGCAGCCGTGGGCACCCCCAGCGGCTTCTGGTCCAGCCGGAGCCCCGTCCGGGCTGCGTGCTGGCCGAGGAATCCCCTCCGCGCGGAGCCCTCGCAAGGCAGGAGGCCCCGGGACGCGGGCTGGGGGGGCGGCCCCATCCCGCGTGATCGATGCGCACGGGGCCCTCTGCAGCGTCCACCCGGGAGCCGGCCCCAGGCAGCACGGGTCCAGCGCAGGTGCGGTCCAGAGAGGCCTGGGTCCAGGCCCTGCCCGGCCAGCCCTGCTCCGGCCGCTGCCTCCAGCCTGACCCCCCCACCAGGGGGGCAGGGATGGAACTTGAGCGGAAGGGGGAAAGGGGCCGCTGGGCCACTCTGAGCTGCTCGGAGGAAAGTGCGATAGAAACGCGAAAGCAGAAGCGATTGCTGGCTGGCTGGACGGAGGGATCGTATCCTGGCAAGCAGCTTTGTGGCGGGCAGGATGGTCGAGGGGGAGGGCGCCGTACGGGGTGGCGCTCCTGCCAAGCACCCGCCACCCTCGCAGCCGGGCGGAGGGCGGCCGGGGCAGCAACTGCAGCACAACGACTTGGCTTGCAATTTGTTTGCTTTGCGCTTGCATTTATTCTGACAGATATTGCATGTTTTGGAACAATGGATGCTTTTCGTTCCAGTCAGTTTTTACTACGGCTTTCAATTTCTGATTGTGACCGCCTAGAGACACGATGGCCCCATAGGCGGCGTACCATTGTTTTAGATAAATATATTTCCAGATCCAACCTCCCAGGCCAAAACAACTTCTTCCCGGCACACAGGGAACAGGCAGGCAGGCAGGCTGCCCGCCCAGCAGAGGAGACCCAGGCGCCCCACGCCAGGTGTGCGCAAGCCTTAACTTCTGTCGCCGTCGCCCAAAAAAAGCCAAGGGGGCCCGATTCCACCTGCGCAACGTGGCTGGGAGTGGAAACAGAACCGGGCTGCGGCTCCCGCTGGCTGGCCCAATGGCCACGTTCGTGCAGCAGCGAGACGCTGCCCCGAGCGCCTGGCCCTCGGCCTGGGTGCTTTTGCCAGCTCTGCGTGAGGATTCTCCCCGGATTCTGCCCTCCCACGGGGCCCCTGCTGGTCTCCTGGCCCCCGTTTTTGGCCCGCCCCGGCCAAGAGGTACCCCACATGGATGGTTCAGGAAGCGCACAGCGCGCCTGGAATGCCCCCAGCCTGCAAGCAAGGAGACCCCGCACCTCCTCCGCCATGGACCGCAGCCTCGCGAGCCAGTCCTCGGCCTGGTCCAGCACCATCTGCGGGTCGGCGTCCTCGTGCTTCAGCCGCTCGGCCGCCTGGACGATCTGGCCGAGGTTGGTGGTGCGGAAGCGGTAGAGATACTGGTCCAGGTGCGTGCTGGCCGGCTTCTGGGTGACGTCGACCAGCGGCTGGCTGCGGAGAGCAATGAAGCCAGAGCATCAGCGCGCCCTCGGGGTCATCGGGGGGGGGCGATGGCCCCCGAGGCCGCCAAAGGGAGGCCTGAGCCCCCCGCCCCCCCAGCACCACCCGCCCCGTGCAGCCGGCCCTCACTCCGTAGGGCCTGTCCTGGCCGGGGCCAAGCACAGGGCCTCCTGTTCCGGCAGCACAACGGGGGCGGCCGCAACATCTCCCCCCATGCAGGGATGGGCCAGCAGGCGATGGGGAGCTGAGCCAGCCCCCCCCCCCGCTTTTCCGCAGGGGAGCTGGCACCCTCCACCTCCGTGCTTGCTGCAGCCCTCGCAGCAGCCGGGAAGGCATTCCCTCGCAACAGCGTGACGCTGGAGGCCGTGCGCCTTCTCCGGGCGGGCTGCACGCCCCCAGAGGAGCACAGCCGGGAGAGGCCCCGAGTGCCCTCTGCCAGGGTTGCCTGGGAGCCCCACTGCACCCCCCCCCCCCCGGGCAGGGATAACCTGGTCCGCCGTTTGTGCTCCCAGGACCTCCAGACTAGACTACTGCAGGGTGTTCTCCGTGGGCCTGCCCTTGAGGATGGCTCAGGAGCTGCAGCTTGTGAAAAACGTGCCGGCCAGACGGACAGGAGGACCTGGAGGCTAATCCGGACTGCCTGCAAGTTTCTGGGGCCGACTGAAGGTGCTGCTTCCGAGTTACGCCTTGCCTGGTGCAAACCGACCAGACACCGCCCGTGCTGGGGGCGGGCTCCTTCAGGGCCCTCCTCTGGAGGTTCGGAGGGGGACAGTGACAGGACCGACTTGGTGGTGGTCCCAACCATGAAACGCGCTCCCCCCCGGCGAGGCCCACCTTGTGCCCATGTCACCTTGTGCCACCTTAAGAATCCCTCTACGCCCCTGCACCTGACCACACCTGATCCAGTTTATTATTCCATGTTGATTCTTAAAATCGAGTTGAATGCTTAGTTTTTGTATCTAAGTAGATTTATACTAAGCTATATATGGCATACGGGCTGTTTTGTTTTGTTTGCAAAGCACCCAGACTGCTCTGCCTGTTGGGCGGGACAGAAACGGGACTGAAAATGGTAGCGGCACTGGGAACATTCCCGGGAATATGCCAAGCGCTGGCAGGTGGGCTGGTCCCGCACGGGGCAATTCGGACCCACGCGCTGTGCAGGCGACCTGCTGGAAGGAGGGTCGAGGCGCCTGCTCCGCCGACGGACGTTCCCGCGGCCCCCTCCCCAGGGAGCGAACGGAGGGCAAAAGGCCTTCGGGCCCCACCGTCCGACCTCGGGCCTTCCCGGACTCCCACCCCGGCCCAGGGCAGCTTGGCTGAAGTGCTCCCCGCGTCCCAGACCCCAGCGCTTGTGAATCTGAGGGTGTGAAGTGAATCTGAGGGTCCCTTCCCGTGAGCTGAAACAGAGCCCATCGGGGAAGCGATCCAGTTCATCTCGGCTGAAAGGAGGGCGGGCAAGGAGGCTCGGCCACTGCCTTCCGGGATGCACGGAAAACCTTTCATTCCACTCCCTCGGGAGCATCTCGGCTTTGGTTCCCTCACGGAAAAGCAAGCACCGGGGTCCCTCCGGGCACAGCACCCGCTTCAACTTGGGGGCTATTCTGAGACACTGTGGGAGACACGGGGGGCTCCTCTTTCATGAGTGAGCGGGGCCAGAGCCAGGCTGGAGTCTGAGCGCGCTGGGCAAGGAACCGTCCTCTGGATCCTTCCGAGGTCCGCTCCCCTTCCCCATTCCAGCCGTTGGTGCTTTCCCTCTGTTTTGAATGGGGTGTCACTGCACATGCCCAGAAGCACTCTTCCCTTCATTATTTCTCTCATACCCCAGCACTGAACTCTGCCAGGACCAAGCCGTGCTGGGTCTTCGTCCGGAGGCTGTGCAGAGACGCACCACGAAGGGGGCCTCACAGCCGGGGCCCCTTGTGGGAACCGAGGGTTTGGCCCGCCAGGGGGATGGACCGTCAGCCAAGTGACAGGATGCTGCCGACTGCTTGCCGCCCTTGCCCACTCGGGCCCTCGTCACATTCGCCCTTCTCCTCCCTTCCCTTCCTGCATTGCCCAGTAATATTCTGAATCGGTTAAATTTAAAGAATTGTCTGCCCCTTTGACTGCACAGAAACTGTATGCTCCTTGGGGCAGGGAACTCTCTTCACATTACTTTGTAAAGCATGGTGGATATCCATGGCACCGTGTGTTTGACAGAGGGAGCTATAATTCCACATGCCTGGAGGGTGCAGAAGCCGGTCAGGGACTCCCCCACCCCTTCTAAGAAGGAGTATATGGGCAGCGTACGAAATGAGGCACCTTCAAAACTGCCTCTTTACTTTCGCTGCTTAACCAACCAGTGAAAATCCTTGGGATTTATCAGCTGAGATGGCTGGGCGGCCCCGTCCAGTCCATAAACGTTGGATTTATGGATTGGACCTTTTGGAACAAGGTCCAGGAGAGACAGCACCCGAATGGCGGGCCTAGCAGCCATGCCTTCCTTCCCATTTTACTCCCGAGCAGGAGCAGGGAGCCAGTCGGGGCCTTCCAGGCGCCCCCATCCCTCACGCTACGGCCCTGGTCCGCCCGGGGACACTCTGCCCGCTCTGCACTCGAGAAGCAAGGCGGATGCAGTCGCCTGGACAGACGTGCCGAGCGAGGCTCAGCGCAGCCATGAGACGCTGGGAAACGTGGCACCCCCAAGCACCCCCCGGCACACGAGGACGTGCCAGAGCCGCGGGGCTTGGGATGGCCGTGGGAAGGCACGGGGGCTGTAAAGAGGCGCCACGGCGACAGCCCTCGCGGTGCAGCTGGGGGAGCCGCCGCGGGCTGCCCCCCCCAGCCTGGCCCGCCGAAGGCAAGGTGAGGGACGGGCGCGTGTGACCAGCAGGGCCCGCGACGGAGCGCTGGCGGCGGCTTCACCCACCACGCCGGGGGATCCCCTCCGAGACGGAGCCGGAGCCGTCCAAGCGGCTCACCCCGAGCGACAATGGGGCCCATTCAGGCCGGCTGGGCCGGCGAGGGGAAATTTACGACCTGCTTAAATATCACCTTTTCAACTCCGTGCCTTGGCCTGTGCGGCGGCCCCAGCAATGGGCGGCATTCTTCGGCTGCGGGGCCCCATCCAAGCCAAACAAGCGCGCCTGTCATAAACCCGCGGCACGCCAGAGCCCGGCGGCCGCGGCGGCCGCCCCTACCTGCAGTCCGCGATGATCTCATCGATCAGCCGGGCCACGAGGGCGTCCAGGTCGCCGGCGGGGCACTTGGCCTTCAGGGCGAGGAGGAACAGCTCCAGGTTCGCTTCCTGCACCGGGCAGAGCGCGCAAAATCCACAGGCCGCCACAGACGCGCCGACGGCCACGCCGCAGGGGCGCGGGCGAGGGGTCGCCCACGGGGCAGCCCGCCCCCCCCCCGGGCCCGGTGGCCAACGACAGCCCTGCGGGGCCTCCCTGCGGCCGCCAGGGCTTCTCTGGGGCCCCCCGCCCAGCAGAGGTCCTGTGCGCGGCTGCGCCCTGCGGGCGTCAAGGCAGGGAGGGCGCAACGCCCAGGGCGCCCCGTGGCTGCGGCAACTTACAGCACGAGGGGCGAAGGCGCGTGTCTGAATGCGCCCGTCGGGGAAGGGACAAGGCCACCCGCGTGCAGGCAGGAAGACCGCCACGGGAAAGCTCTGCGGAGCCCCCGCCCGCCGGGGCCTTACTTGTGCCCGTGGCCATGCGGAAAAGGGCAGGCAGGGGAGCCCCCCGCAGCTCCAGGTGCCGAGCGAAGCCTCCAGCGCTCGGCTCCGTGGCCTGCCGCCCTCGGACCTGAGCACACGACCTGAGGCACCGGGGTCCTAGCCTCCCTCTCGAGAAACGGAAGTCCCGGGGGAGGGAGCAGAGTCCCCTGCCGAGGGGCCAGGATTTTTATGCATCTACTTCATTTCGGAATATGTACATGCCGCCTGGTCAACCTATGGCATCCTTGGGGGGCTCCCACTGCCAAGGATGCGGCCGGGAGGCTGCCGGTCCCCTCGGTGTGGGAAGCGCCGCTCTCATTCTGGCCGCAGCTCCGGCCTGATGCCCCGCTGGCCCCTTCCCTTGACCCACCGAGGCTCACCCCCCCCAGCTCCAGCCAGCCCCACCCCCAGGGCTGCCCCCCCGGGCTGCAGGCTCCGCCCACTCGGCAAAGGCCGAGCGTGGCCACGCTCCCCGGTGCGGGACTGAGCCCGGCCAGCATCCCAGCCCGGCTGCTGGGGGTCTGCGGCTGGGCGCACTCCCCGGCTCGGTGGTGGGCCCTCCTTTCTGCATGCCTTCCCCCGTCAGGCCGGGTGGCAACGCCTCTACCCGGGGCAAGAAGGGCTTGCTAGCATTTGCGGTCTCCGGCCTCACCCCGTTTGCCCCACTGGAGCGCGGCCCCCGAGGGCTCCTACGAAAGGGAGCGTGGCCCTCGAGCAGCCTGCCCCGGCAGCTGGCCCCGGAAGGTCCTTCCCCGCACCGGTCGCTGGCCCAGCCGGGTGCCCTTGGGCCCGCAGCCGGGGCCGCCGCACACATGGAACGCACCAGCCGGCTCCCCAAGGGCCGCCGGAGCTGGGCGCCTGTTCCCGGAGCTTTTTCGGGGCTCGGGGCCTGTGCGGGGCCCCCGGGCGGCCTTCCCCGCCGCCTCCCTCACCAGCCGGTCTGCAGCGTGGCAGAGCAAGTTCTGCACGTCCGTTCGGTGGCTGACGTCTTCCCAGTAGGAGGAGAGCACGACCACCGGCTTCACGTTGCCCCAGGGCAGGTAGTAGTAATGGCAGCCTGTGGGGAAGGCAGAGAAGGCCGGCGTTGGCCCGGCCTCCAGGCCGGCCCCGTCCGGCACTCCGGAGACCCGGCTCGGCCCCTCGACGTACCGTCAGGAGCGGCAGCTCCAGAGAAGGCGAGCCCCGCCTGCTTCCTCAGGGGGCTCACTCAGCCCCCCCTCCCCCCAGCCTATCGCACCACTCCGTGGAAGGCCCACTGCGCCGGACGTTGTGCAAGGAGGCAAGCGGCTCCCAGCGGGAGAGAACGTGCGAGGAGGACGGGGAGAGCAAGGCAGCCCCGCACCGCAGACGTGCCGTCGCAACTGAGGCTTTCGTTCCGTTTCGGAGCTGTGCGCCGGGCTCTCTGCGCTCTTAACACACACCAAAACGGCTGGAAAACACGGCAAAGGCTCTGGAGGAGGGGGCTGCGGTGAAAAGGCCCTGCAAATTCTGCGAGTGAGAGACCATGCAGGCACAATCAATCATGCAGGAAGCCCTGAAAATCAGATTCTTCCCATTAAAAAATCTATAGAAAAACGCTTATGTTATTTGGGGGAAGCAGCATTCAAAATGCATTACGTTAGAAAAGCAGATGGCAAACACATGCATATTACTCTAAGATGTATATGAAAATGTATTTGGGGTAAGGTTTGCTTAAAGCTTATGAATTTGTATGCAAACTTTAAAAAAAACTCAACACTGGGGATGGACTGAGTGTTAGACTGAAGAAATATTCAGAGTTAGAGGCAAACCAAATTTAAGCCTGGAAAAATGAGAGACACAAGAGAGACCAGCATGGGCAGAGCCAGCCACCCCCGGGCGACTCTGCAGCCCTTCAAAATACACCGGGCCAGGAAGAGCCCGGGGACGGGCCCCCTGTCCCTCGGGAGCCCTTCCTCAAGCGAGATGGGCACGCCTGCCAGGGATGCGTCCCGAGCGGCAGTCCTCTCGGGGCGGCGAGGGGCCGGGCCCTGCCCTGCCCTGCCCGCGGGCCGCGGCTCACCGTCGAAGACCGCCCGGCTGTACTGCGTGGTGGAGGCCAGCGGCAGGCAGGTGTTGTCGAACTTGTTCCCGTAGTTGCCGATGCTGACCTCGAACTGGACCGCGTCCTGCACGTCCTGCAACATGGTGGCCGAGTAGAAGGCAGCGAAGAGGCAGTACTTCCGCCGGCGCAGGTACTTCTGCGGCAGAGGGAGGGGGAGGCGTGTGGGTCACGCTGCCGGCCCAGTGGAGGAGCCCGGAGCATCTGGGGGCCTGGGCAGGGGGCAGCTGCCCGGAGCGGCTCCAGAGCGCTGAGCACCCACAGGCGGCCCGGCTCCGGTTGCCCTTGCGGGACCAGCCCTCGCATGGCCACACCGGGGTGCGCTTTTGCAGGGATCTGGGCAGCCCTCCAGCAAGGGCTGGAGCCCCAGACTGGGGGGGGGGGCTGCCTGCCCACCGCCCAGGCTGCTCGCTGAAAGCAAGGCCCAGGCCCCGGGGGTCTGCGTGGCCTTGGGTTCCCCAGACGAGCGGCCTTTGCTCACGGGCACCTCCCCTCCTGCTCCGTGCTCCCTTGGATCAGCCGGCCTGCAGTTTCTCTTGGGAGGGCCACGCTTTTAAAAGGGGCAAATCTGCAGGGGCAGCTTCGCCTGCTTGCCCGATTCGGTCCTTGGGCCGGACCTCGCGTCTTCTCCATGCCGAGCACCGCCCGGCTGTTCCCGGTGCCAGAGACAGGCGCGTCCCCGCATCCTCGGTCGCTCTCAGAGGCGCAAAGGCCCGCTGTGGGTGCCCCGCGGTCCCCCGAGCGCATCGGCCAAGGCTGTGCACCCCCCGTGCGGGGGGAGGGTGTCAGTTTCGGGCACAACCCGAGAAGCAACATGTAATGCTAGAGCCGAGGTTGACAGGGAGTCAGAGGAATGGAAACTGCAGACTAGCATTTTTCCTTTGGGATGAGAAATAGCAATTACTTGTCTGGGAAACTTTTATGCTGACTTTCAGGACACGTTTTGCCGAGGTGGCTTATTTGCACAAAATTAATAGAGCAACTGAAATGCCTACAGGCACAGTCCTGATTTCTGGACCTCATTTTCATCTAAAAAGCACAGGATGACACCTTAAAATGCCCTCGGGGGAGCGACCAGCGACCGTTCCACCACGAGAGGATCTGTGCTTTCTTCCAGCGAATGGCGACGTGGCCAGCTGAAACGGCTTTTCCAAAGGCCACTGCTGCAGCGCAGGCACCCACGGCGTCCCAGGAAGGGCGCGCCAATGCCCAGGGCAGCAGCCAGCTCAGAAAGGGCCGCTGCGTCTCCTTCCCCAGGAGCCCTGCTGGGCGCAGCCCGAGTCCTGCAACGCCCAACCCTGGCTGACTCCTCCGGACCGCAGGTCTCCAAGCTGAAACTGGGATGCTCTGAACCGCAGGCTCAACGGCCGCCCAACTTCAGGACTCCTTTGTCCCTCCCCACCGTCCACTGCCGGGTGACGCAGAGTTCTGCAGAACTCAGTGCCCTGCACCGTTTCCTGGGTTTTGGTTGGCCCTAAATGTCCCGACGAGAGAGCCGGGGCGCCTCCCTGCCCAGCTGCCCTCCTTCAGCTCTGCCGCGCGCCAGCGGTACCTCCACTCGCAGGATGTTGTCGGCGGGGAGATCCTCGAGCTTCTGCTCCACGTGGTCCACCAACTTGGTCTCCAGCTCCACCAGCAACCTGCCCCGGTAAGCCACACCCTCTCCCTTTGCGGGGAAAAGAAAATGCGGCTCGGTCAGGGGCCCTCTCAGGCTGGCAGCCTCCTGAACCCGAGTCCGTTCTTCCACACACCCTCCCAACCTCCCAGGGAGCCGCGTCTCCCAGGGACTAACGCCACTCTGGAGCACGACAGCACACCCTTCCAGGCCTCGACGTCGAGGTGCCCTCGGGGCTGGGGCTGCCGCCCCGAGTCCCGCCGAGCGAGAGACGGATGGGTCCTGGCCAGCATGGAGGCCGCAAAGCCATTCCGGAAAACTTTAAGAGGGCCCACAGGTGCCTCTTTCGGGACCGAGCGCCCAAAGACCGAGGAACAGCCCAGCTGGCCGTGGCCGGGGGGCCAACAAGCGCAGGATCCGCAGGCGCGCCGAAGGCTTCGAGGTCCACAAGCGCGGCCGCCCCATCTCTCCCGGGCCCAGTCTGCAGAAGGGGACCGGGAAGGGGGCTCAGCTCAGAGACTGAGTCCGTGGCTGGCATGTCGGAAGCCCTGGCGTGAGCTCCAGGCAGCCCCCCAGCCGACGGAGCGGGGGCTGGGAGCGCCCACAATGCCCTTTTGCAGGGAGGGTGCGGGGCTGGGGTTCAGGTAAAAGGAAGTGGCCGAGACTCATTTGCAATGAGCCCCATCGCAGCTGGTCGGGGAAGGGAACACACCTTCCCGCCTGGGGAGGGGGCTGCGAAATGCCCGGGAGCCCCATGCACGAAGCCACCTTCTCCCGCCCCAGCCCCCAGCGGCACACAGCGCCAGCCCGCATGGGAGGTTCCACCCTGAGGCCCCCCGGAGCCGGCCGCCGAAAGGCCCCAAGCCACCGGCACCCGGTTGACTGGCACCCGGGGGGCTCTCAGGCCGGAAGAACGGAACCCGGCGGCCTCACCTTGCCCGTGTTGAGCTCCTCGAAGGGGTCTGGAAAGCCGGTGAACTCCCGCGGGCTGCCATACAGGTTGATGTAGCACGGGCCAAAGGTGGGCAGGAAACCGAGTCCATCATCCACTGCAAGACAAGGGGGCAGCTGTCACAGGGGCACCTGTGGGACCAACCTCGCCTCACCTCTGCCTGCAGCTGAAGGACCCCCAGCGCCATAATCCGAGCGGGCAGCTGGTCATGAATGACTGAGCTAAGGGAGCAGGTCTCCAGAGGTTTGGACTTCGACTCCCAGAAGCCCCTGCCCTCGTGGCCCATTGTCAGGAATGCGGGGAGCCCAAGTTCAAAGCATCTGGAGATCTACCGTCTCCTCGCCCTGATCTTAAGAGAAGTGCTGCGTAGACCAGAAACACGATCCTGCGCCCATTCCTAGCATTTGCCATTTTTAATGAAAACGTTCAAGCAAAGCTGAGATGCACATTTTAAATACGAACGCTCTCATTCAAAGGTAAGATGCCTTCGGCTTATTGGCACCTCTGGGCGCTCCTGGCCCAATGCACGAGAGCAGCACCATCGCCCTCCACGTCCGGAATCCCTCCTCGGACCCGGCAGTGGCGCATTGCTTTCCGATGCGAGACGAGAGCGCCCCGGCCCCTCAGGGCGTCACGGTCAGCGCATGCCCGGACAGACAAGTGCGCGAGGAGAGCAGGGAACGCCGTCAATGTAATAACGGGCGAGAGAGGCCCGCCCGAGGACAGGGCTGCCAGGGGCTACACCCCACGGATTGCCTGGAGAGGCCTGGAGGTCTGCTCCAGGGCAGCCTTCATCTGCACACAGCCTTCATCATCCTCCCCGGGACCCGTTTCACGGCGCTGCCTCGTGCGCCATGGCTGCTCCCTGAAGGGCCAGCGTCTCTGCTCTCATCCGCGACTCGCCCTCAGCCAAGGCGGCACTGCAGAGCGAGCACCATGGGGGCACGACCCCTCCCCATCCACGGACTGAATCCTGCTTCAGGGCCGGGTTGGGGCCACACCCCGGGGCGGGGGGGGGCAAAGGGGGGGGGGGGGGGCATCCCTGGGCCAAGAGAGGTCCTCCAGCCAGCCCTGCCTAAAAGTGAGCAGAGCTTCTGAGCTGCTGCCCCTCGCACCGCAAAGACCGCCTGCCCCAGAGGTGGTCTTCAGGCTGGCCCGCCTGCCCCAGACCCCGCTGAGCCCCCTCTCAGGCTCGTTCTCCTGGGCTCAATGGGGCCTGGGAACGGAGTCGTGTCCTAGCGCCGTTGACTCCCGTTGGCTTCTAGCCACCCAACGGGGCCTCCTCCCACCCTCCCTTGGAGAAGACCCCACGCACGACACTCCCATCAGAAGACGCGCCCAGAAAGCACCCAGCAGCACTCCAAGGCGGCTTGGCAGGGTCAGGCCACCTCCCCGCATGCTGCCCGCATCCTGATCACACAGCGCGGCCGTCACACACGAGGCGAGGACAGAAGCGCCACCCCAGAAACCCTCGGAGAAGCGCCAGCGGAACGGCCCCCCCTTCCAAGCGGCACACGCCAGCACTGCATGCAGGCCTGGGCCACGGCCACAGGCGCGCCCTGCGTCCCACGCCCACCGATCTGCATGCACAGCGCGCAAACGAGGCAGCGAGTGACAGCCGGCCTTCGCAGTCGCCTCGTTCAGGCGAGAGCTGCTTTAGCCACTCGCGGCCAGATTGCTAAGGCCCCACAAAGGCCGCAGCCAAGGAGGCCACTGCACCGCAAGCTGCATGCGCGGGAACGTACGGTCCGAGACTCTGAAGGGCTTCACGGGGGTGGGAAACTCATCTGAGGCACAGAGAGATGGGAGAGAGAACAGCAGGTGAGCTTTGCCAGGGCCTGAGCGGAATGTCCAGCCCAGCTGAAGGCGATCGGGGCAGCCAGGAGGCAGGGCAGGTGCGGGCGCCACGAGAGGTTGGGGCACGGCACCGAGAACTCGCGTCTCCCAGGAGGACTTCGGAGGCCACGTGAGGCTGGCCACGGGGCCACTATTCCTCGCTGCTCAGGGCTCGCATGACAGGGTCCCTCCGATGAAAGGGGTTTCGGACAAGGCAGGGCAGCAACAGGCCGTGGTGGCCGCAGGCCGGCAGGGGGCACAGCGCCCCCTCCTCCACGCTCCTGAACTGGGTTTTTTAAGGGTGCCTCTCTTTGCATCTGGAAAATTGCTCAGTTCACAGGCAGAGAGGAAACCCAAAGTTGAGGCCACCGGCAGGGGGGAGCGCCTGGTCCCGAGACAGGTACGGGGGCGGGGAAGCCCCATCCAAGCACCTCCAGAACAGCGTCAGTTTGGCTTCCGTCCTTCTACAAGCGGGGGGAGAAGGCTGGCCGCTTGCATGCCACTTGTGGTGTCTGATTTTTCAGACCACGGCCAAGGGGGCAGCGGCCATGGGGCCACAAGTGCACAGAGGGGGGTGAAGAGCAGCAAACAGGCAGAATGCGCGGAGGCGGCCATGGAACCGGCCTACAGGCACCGTCTGAACGTGGCCCGAGAACGCTTGATGCCCTCGTGGTACAGAAAAGGGGAAGAGCTAGCGGTGGGAGCCCTCGGAAACGGCCAGCCAAGATACAGACAAAAGCTTCCCAAATTCACCCTAAACTCTCCCAAGTTGTCCCCGCAGGAAGGCAGGGGTGCAAAACAACTCGGCACGGCCGGTCTCACGCGGCCCGGGCGGCAAGCAACGGGGCGAGGCCGGGCACGCGCCCAGCGGTGGAAATCGGCTGTGCTTGGAAACACTCCTGGGGTGGGGGGCACGACATGGCCCAGGGAGTCTCCAGGCCACACGGCTCCCCAGCCTTGCCCTGCCCTGCCCTGCCCACCCCGGGCAGGCCGTACCTTCCAGCTCCCCTCCAGGCGCCGAGATCCTCGACATGGCCAGGTGGTTGGTGCCAATGATGTCGTTGTGCGTGAGGCGGTCCCTGAAAGAAGCAGCGCCCCCTCCTCAAGGCCAGGCCTTCTGTCCGCCAGGAGGCCGAAGACAGCGGGCAGGGCGCCCGCCGCTGGTGCGGAAAGGCTCGGCGTGGGGCCTGCGCCTCGAGGGAGGACCTGCCCCTTCTCCGCACCTGCACCGTGACGCCCCCCTGCACGCCAGTCCAGACATGCTCGCTCCTCACTCACCAGTCAATGACTCGGATCCTCATCTTCTCACACATGGATGGAAACTGAGGGGAAGAGGGCAGGGGCGGGGGGGGGCGGGTCAGCTCAGGCTCTGCGCAGGACAGGGCCCCCCCGGGGGAAAGTGCCCCAGCTCACCATGGCCGGCAGGGTGATGCTCTGGTTCCACTGCGGGTTGGCGTTCTTCTCCACGATCCTGCTGCAGAGCTGACCGGAGGAGGCAGACGACGGCGTCAGTGGGGGATGCGTCGGTGGCGCCCACAGCTCCCCTCATCCGCTCTTGCCCACCCCCTCGTGGTCGGAGGTCGGAGGGAGTGCACCAATGTGGGGGCCAAAATCTCGCAGCTGAGCACGGGCCCCGTGGCTGACACAGCAGCCCGTTTGGGAGAGGAGGCGCCACGTTAAGGCCTGGGGGGGTGCAGGGGACCCAAGGGCGCATTTTGGCCCCCCCACGCTACAGGGAGACACGGGAAACCAGGAGCTCCCTGCAGCAGCAGCCCCACCGCACACAGAAAAGCAAGCGCTTTGAGGCAGCAGGGCGACTTGTCTTGCGGGCACGTGCAGAGTGCATCCAGTCTAACAACCCCGGATACTCAAGGGGCAGCCGGGCTCCAGCAGCGGCTTGGGTCTGCAGGCCAAACACCGGCTGCCCTCCTGCCGGCGTCTCGGTGATCCAAAGGCCGGCCTGCTCCGTCCACACACGCGCACAGCAGCGCCCGGGGCTCACGCGGGCTGGGGGGACGGCTGGGCAAGGGGTGCCGAGAGCGGCCGTGGCTGCTGGGAAGGGAGGCCGTGGCCCCGCCCTGCTGCCCTGGCCCTGCCCGATCCCTGCAAGCGGGGCCCGTGCCGTGAGGTGCGAGGAGCCCCGGGCCTCGGCACGCACAGCCCACTCCCGCCTAGGTCAGGGCGGACCCCCGCAGCACCGCCTGTGATCGCGCCCGAGCGCCCAGTGCTGCCGGACGGCGCACGGCGCCCCCCCGCCCGCATCGCTCCCGCTCGCCAACCCATCCTGCCCAGGCTTGCCATCTTTCCAGCGAACGTCACTTCCACGAAAGGGTCCACCAGGTTCTTCTTGTTGCTCTCGAACCCAAAGATCTGCTTGACGCTGTCCATGACGGCGTCGTCCACTGGAAGGCACAGGCACCCGTGAGGGTCAGCCGGGCTTTCCCCGCAGCCACGGGGCCGGGCCGCCTCCGCCAGGTGCACCGCGGCCTCCCGGCTCGGGCTCGGCGCCCTGCAGGGCCGCCCTGGCCCCCTTTGCGCCGGGTGGTCATGGGGACGGCGCCGAAAGGGGTCAGCTCACCCACGGGCTCCCCTCTTTAACACCCCGGGGATACTCTTGAGATAACTCTGCAAGGCCCTGTGACGTCCGTGCAGTGCCGTCCCGCGCATGTCTACTCGGGAGGAAGCCCCACAGAGGCTTCCTCCCAGCGAAAGGGGCGCTAAGGCCGCAGCCCAAAAGCGCTCCTGCCCCAGAGCGCCAGGAGCAGCTGCTCATCCATCGCTGACCCACACGGCCACTTTTCCTGGCCGGAGACGCTCGTCCCCACGAAGCCCTCTGTATGTGACCAAGATGCGCCTGCGCGGAGAGCAAAGACCTTCCCCGCAGGCACAGAGTGGCTTCCCCAGCCCCCCTTCTCCCTTCCCCCAGCACGCCCCCCGCACAGGCCCCACACGCACTCTGGGGCAGGTCTTCGGCTCGGTAGATCTTGAGGCAGAAGTGGGCCCCCCTGAGAGACACGCCGGTCGGCCGGAGGATGTTGCCCTCGATGTCGTCCTTCTCCTCGGCAGCCTCCTTCTTCTCCAGCTGTGAAAAATGGGGCGGGGGGACGGGGGGGAGAGAAGTGCTGCCTTGCCTTAGGCGGATGTGGTCTGGGGGCCCAGAGGGTCTCCCCCAGGGATTCCCATGCTCCACGACCTTCAGTGGAGGAAGGCCTTGGGCCAGGTTCCTGCCACCAAAGGACCCCCCTGTTGTCTTGCAAAGCTCAGGGAGCCAAGGTTCAACTTGGATGCCGGGAAGCACTTCCTGACAGTCGGGACCCCAAGGGTGTGGAATGGGCTCCCACGGGGGGTCGTTGAGGCCCCATCGGTGCGGGTGTTCAAGGACAGGCTGGACGTGCACATGGTGGGCATGTTGTGAGCGGAGCCGGCTGGAGCCGGGGGTCAGACCTGATGGTCTGGGAGACCTCTTCTGACTCGCTCTGTTTCTATGTTTCTATGTCCCTGAAGCATCCACGCACACAGCCAGTGCTTCCCCATTCTGTTCACTCTCTCGTTAATCAATTACAACTTTGGTTGACTAATCTGTCACTTTAAGGGATGGAACATCACAGCCTTAATAACAATCAATAGGGTCTTTGCATAGCCAGAAGTGTGGCTTCCAGGTTGAGAGAGGTATTGCTACCACTCTACACGACTCTGGTGTGCCCGCAATTGGAGTATTGTGTTCAATTTTGGGCCCCTCATTACAGTAAGGATATAGCCAGGTTAGAGTCAGTGCAGCGAAGGACCACAAGGTTGGTGGCCGGTTTGCAGGGGGTGCCATATGGGGCGAGACTAAGGGAGCTGGGTCTCTTCAGCCTGGAGAAGACTCAGAGGGGCTCTGTTGGCGACATGCAGGTATGTGAGGAGATGTCACACAGAGGTGGGCAGAGACCTGTTCTCCCCTGCAGAGGAAGGCAGGATGCGCTCCAACGGGGCAAAGCTCAGGGAGCCACGGTTCCATTTGGATGCCAGGAAGCACTTCCTGATGGTTAGGACCCCCAGGGTATGAAATGGGCTTCCAGGGAGGTGGTTGAGGCCCCATCGGTGCGGGTGTTCAAGGACAGGCTGGATGTGCACATGGTGGGCTTGTCGTGAGCGGAGCCGGCTGCAGCCGGGGGTCAGACTAGATGGCCCGGGAGCCCCCTTCCGAGTCGCCCTGTTTCGGTGTTTCTACTGCTTGGGCCTCTTGCAGCAGCACGATCTGCGGCCTCAGCTGGGCTCGTTTGTGCTTTCATGCTGCTTGCGCACATTCTGCTGCTTCTGAGATTCCGCGCCTGGGAGTTTGGCGGAAGGCGGCAGCTGCGGCTGAGGAGCGAGCCTGGCCTGGCGCGGCACGGAGGGGCCAAACACTCTCCGCCTGCCCGGCCGCCCAGCTGCACGAGTCCGAAGGCCGAGCACAGCGCCAGAGGCGAGGACCGGCGCGGCACTCCGACACATGCCGAGTGCATCCCATGCCGGTGGCACCTCCTGCCTTCCCGGGCAAGTGCGACTTCCGCCACCAGACCTGCCTCTCCCGCAAGCGGGCAAGGCACCTTTCCTCACACCTCAAACCGGAGCACTGATGTTTCCAGCAACTCGCGCTCCATCTTCTTTGCTTCGCACAAGTGTTCACAGAGATGGCGTGTGGCGTGCAGGGTGGGGGGCCGCAAGCTGCTTAGAAACCGTGCGAGGCGTGTCCGTGGCTCCACGGATGCGTCCCAAGGCCTCTCCCGGGACCTCGAGGCAGGCGCTCTTAGCTGCACCTGGCTTTCCCCCAAGGCCAGTTTCCGGGAATGGCAGACCGCCCCCCTGAAGTCATCGGCCCCGGAAGGACACTCACCGGCACTTCGTCCCCTGGGCCCAGGACATACAGGCTGACCTTCAGGTAGCCCCGGGCCCCCGCCGAAAAATCCTCCGGGTCAGAAAGCAGCAGCCACTTCCGGACGAAAGCGTGCTCTGGGCAGGGGGAGAGGGGGGTCACACTCTGCGTCTCGGCCGCCCGCTCAGAACAACGTCTCTCGTGCAAAGCAGACGCGCTTGGGTGACACGATTAAACCCGCTGCAGCCCTGCTCCGTGGTCACACGCCACGGACCAGTGCAAGGGATAGCAACGGGGCCGCAATGGGGCCGCAGTGGGGCCGCCTGTTCCTCCGACAGCTGCAGGCAAGCAAGACCCGGCCACTTCGCAGACCCGTGTGCAGCTTTTCCTTCCAAAACGAAGGCCCTCACGGCAGCTACAGGGCAACCTCAGAAACAGAAGCGGCAGCGGCCACACATTCGCACTGCCGCACGGAAGTCACCTCAGTGGTGCAAAATGGCGGTGCAAGCGGTGTGCCGCTCACTGGGATGGCGAGGGCGCACTGGCAAAGGGGGGGGGTGGCCGGCCTCCTGGGGCAGAGCTCTCCCATGCTTGACGTGGCCGCGGCAAAGGCCCTGCCTTGCACCCTGGTCGGGCGCATCTCTGCACCAGGCTTCAACTGCGCCACTGCGGTCCTTTATGCGCAGGAGCCGGTGGGGGCTCTGCGAGGCGCGGGCGGCCCCCAGGGCCTCTCCCCGTTTCGCAGCCATTTCCACACTGCCTTTGAATATGAGAAATCGCCCTTTTCCAGCAAATGCGCTACGATGCTCGCGTCTGGGCATTTCTGCCAGAGCACCACACTGGGGTGGTGCGCGGGAGCACACAGGGAGGCAAAGCCCTCGGGGAGAGCGGTGCAAAGGACGGACTTTTGCTCCCGCAAAGAAAGCAGGAGAGGCCGCCTTTGGCTCTGGCTACATTTTCTTCTCCTCCTGCTCTGCTCAACGTTTATGCCCCTTTTTTAAAAAGGAAGAAAATAGTCAGGATCTGTTCAAAACGGTCCCCTTTTCTGTAGAAGCTGCTAAACACGCATCCAGTGCTCAGTTTGCTCCATGCGAAACAAACCACTCAGTTTAGGAACTCAGAGGTGTCCAACCCAAGCAGCCCCGGTGGACTCGCCACTCACTGGGTTCAGCATAAATGGCCCCAACATCCACCTGTCAGAGGCAAGCACAAGGAGCAGGCTGTTAGGACCCCCAGCCGGGACCCCCCAGGTGCCTCCCCGCCAGCACGCCACGCATCTGGGAGGCGGCAAGACGCACCTGGCGTCTCCTGGCAAAGTCCGGCACATGGGGCAGCCACGACCCGGCCCCGGGGAGGGGGCAGTGATGGCTGCCCAGCTGGCAAGCCAGGCTGGAATCTCCGCTCCCACCCCCCCCGCCCCCGGAGAAGCAGAAGCGGCTTGGCCTCCTCTGCCAGTCGGAAATGACACCCAGGACGCCCTTACCCGGAATTCTCCGATGACGGAGTCCGTGCGGAGCGAGCGGGAGTCCACCACCTGCGGAGGCAGAAGGAACGCAGAAGCGAGGCCCACGGTAGCAGCAGCTCCTCGAAAGAGTCTTCCGTTTGTTTGAGCCTCACAGGAGACGAGACCCTCCGGGCAGCTTCACGCCGCAGAGCGGGCATCGGGAGCTGGCAGACGCGACACCCTCAGCCACCCCACCCCTCTGGGGGAGCCGCTGCCCACCCAGGCTGGCGCGGAGCTGTGTGCTCACCGCCCCGTGGCTTTCTGGCCTGAGCTTAGCGAGGACGCTGGTGACTCCCTGGGCACAGAATTGCCCAGAAACGTGCCGCCCTCACCCTTAATCCGGGGTCCTCCTCCCACGGTGCGAAGCCTGCACCACGAAACCGGAAATCCAGGCACTGGTGAGTGGCCAGACCCCAAAAGCTACCGTGCTCCTCGGCACCTGCGTCTGTCCACACGGAAACGCGACCAGCCTCCAAAACGGCTCCTTGAAATTCTGCTCTGCGGATTTAGCGCGCTTCCCCTGGGCACGTGCATGCTGCCCGCACATTTCAAATGCAGCCGCACCATTCACTGCCCAACCGTTTGTGGGCGGAGCCGAGAAAGCCTGCCTCGGATCAGGGTGTTCTGAGCATATCAATTACCTTCGTTTCCTGAGCCATTCCAAATGCTTGGGTCTCGACTCTGAAACTCAAATGCTGACTTTTGAACAACTAAGTTCTGTTACCAGTCTCTGTAATTTTGTAATTTTCATATTGGATTTGTTTTTTGTAATATATTTTGCTTTACTACATGACTCGCATTGAATTCGCTCTATGAAGGAAAGCAAGAGGTGAAAGCTACTCACTGAAAAGTCAACATGTGAAGATCTGAATCTAAGGTTTTGCAGCCTTTTGCCACGTGACCCATCGTAATAAGGCCGCCTTGCATTATTCCGACAAGGCACAACTAGCGAGAGGCTCGGTGAGGCAGATAAATCCAGATAGTGCTTAAATGTGGGGCACCCGGATCCCAAATCAGCCCCAGTGAACTGTGAGACGGCCACAGTTCCTAGACCAAGCGGGCAAGACCCAACCAAAACTTACTGTGATAAATATGGGCTGGTCAAAAAGCTCCACTGGGGATTCAAATACATTGAAGAAAAAGGTCTGTGGGGGGGAGAGAGGGTGAGCGAGACTGAGAGAGAGCTCCCGGCCAAGGTGCAAAGCCGGCACAAGCGCACCGCACTGGGCGAAACGAGAGTCGTGCTCAACGATCCGTGGGTGATTCCCCGGAGCACGCGGGTCAAAAGGCCACCTGGTGCTTCGCCCACGGGAAAGCGTCCACAGCCGGGCTCCGAAGAGCATCGGCGTGTCCCGCGCAGCAGCCGCCACACACACCGGCCCAGCCCGCCTCCCCTGCTGTAACTCGGGGGGCTCCCCCAAAGGCCTTCCCCCACTGCCCTCTTACCCCCCCCAAAAATGGATTGTTTTGTGGTAAGAAACGGTATGAAAGACATGGTGGGAAACCCCGAGGGAGCTAAAAGCTGAAGACAGCCGTCACCTGGACGCTGCCCCAGCCCCGGCCTCCCAGAACCGTGCAAACCAGGCCGTGCCAAAAACCTCCACCGACGGGCCCCTCGTGCGCCACGTGGCGCCACTCTCCTGGCCAGCCTTGCCCCGGGATCGCGGCTGAGCCGAGGCCGCGGCCAGCCAGGCGAACTGGGGGTGTCCCTGCAGGGGCTCCCGGAAAAGACTCCGGGGCAGCGGTGGCACCCAGGGGCGGGGGCGTGGGGGGACTTTCCAATCCCCCCTCCACACTTTCTTGTCAGTTGGAAGTAGAAGATTTATAGAAGAGCAGCCTTCCTGATCTAGTTCCCTTTTTTTTTGAGTAAGTTTTATTCTAAATAGACCTAATACAGAGAAAAACTAAAAAGCAACATCAGTCATCAGAAACATCGGACCTGCTGGGTCAGCCCCACATTTCTTCTTTTCATGTTAACTTATAAACATATTTGAATCTATGCGAAGCCCTGTTGCTCTAGCCAATAATAAAAAGAGTCTCGGGTTTGATAGAACTGACCTAGGTTTCCTTTTGCTGCGTTGGACTACAACTCCCAGCTGGCTAGGGGATGCTGGGAGTTCTAGTCCAATTCATCGGGAGCTTGCCAGAATGGGGAGGGTTGCAATGGAGCAGAACGAAAGAAGGGGTGTTCTCGGGATGAGCTCATTCCCAACTGAAAGTGAGCTGGGGAGTTGATTTTGTTTTCACGGGTACCCCTTGATGGTTTAGGGGAAGACTTAAGGGTTCTCCAGTGTGAGAATCAAGTTGCAAGCACCAGTCCCTTACTCCAGGCCCCGTCGCCTCCTCACCTCATCGAAAAGCGGGCCGTTCCCCTTCCGGATCCTGCTCCTCTTCGTCTGCCCGGCAGCCGTGACCTTCACCACCGGCCTGATGTTGACCCCGGGAAGCTGCCTCCCTTCGATGACCCGCACCCTGATCTAAATGCAGACGAGCGGAGAAGGGGAAAACGGGCTGCCGTCAAACCCGCCAGAGACGGCAGCTCCAAACGCCACGGCAAAGAGGGAGAGCGGAAGTCACATGCCCCAGGCTTCCCAGTGGAGCCCAAGCGGAGCTCCGGCGTCTCCCGGTGGCAAGGTGAGCCGTCACCGCGGGTCATGAGCGAGACCCCGTCAGGCGAAAGACGTCAGGCAAGCGGCCAGCCAAGGCTGCATCCCTTCGCTGGATGCATCCCAGGGACTCCCCGCGCACCCCGAGGCCGCCAGCGGCTCGCTCGCCGGTTTCATTCCCCAGCACCGAGGCACATTTTTAGCTCCAGTGAGGAGTCCCGGCTTCCGTGTTCCTTCAAGGGAAGCAACTGCGACGGAGAGCCACCTCGACGTGAGGGAACGGTGCCCGACCCAACCTCCCTCAACCCGGTGTCCTCCAGGCAGGTTGCACTACAACTCCCATCTCGCCCGGCCAGCACGGCCGCCACAAGGGTCTCCTGCCCAAGGGGAGGAAGTCAGACGAGACGGTGGGCCACTAACACGCCCAGGCGTGAAGGGCAGGATGCGGCCCAGGGAATCGACACCCGAACCGGGAGAGGAGGAGGGTCGCTCACCTGGAAGTCCTGGGGTTTGTTGGAAAGCAGCTTTTTAGGGGCGCTTCTCCTCCTCTTCGTCCCGTGTATCACACGTGACGGAGGCCTCTTGGGGAGGGAGGCCTGATCTGACGCCGAGGGCCCGGAGGAAGGCTCGGCATCATCGCCCGTCCCAAGCGGATCTTCGGCCTCTTCCTCGCCGGCTGTATCTGCAGGGAAGAGACACATGCGTTGGCTTGCCCTCGAGGAGGCCTGCTCCCATCAGGAGGCTGAAGGGCTGTCCGCTCGGGACCCACAGCTCTCTGCCAGAGGTTCTCCGCCAGGCGCCCCGGCCAACGGAGCCAGTCGGGGAGCGGGGAATGCCGTCCCCAAGCGGACCTGGCGGCACGCGTGCCGTGGCCGGAGGGGACAGCCCCCTCACTCTCCCAGGCACCCAGGTTCTTGCATGGTTAGTGTTTCACATCTGTTCTTGTCCTTCCGGATCTTTACACTGCTGCTGTTTATGTTTGCTTTACACTGTGGTTTTACACCCTTAAAACGTCATGCTATGTTTTGTCATGGTGCAGGAGGATTTTATGGTTTTAACTGCTGAGAACCACCCAGAGAGCTTTGGCTACTGGGAAGTACAGAAACGAAAGGAGGGAGGAAAAGAAAGGCAGGCAACACAACTGTAATCACAGTGCCAGCTAAGATTAGAAAAAGTCTCAGCAATTTCACAGTCTGGGGAAATAGAGGGGCCCTTGCTAGGCAACAGAGGGGCCAGGCGAGCCTCGCTGGGGAGGGAATTCCACAGGTGTGGTTTTATGAAAGACTATCCAGCGAGTTACTGGCTTGCAGTCAGGAAGAGCTTCCATGCTGAGGGGCAGTCTAGCTGCCCTTACCAAATGCTGGGGGCACGCTGGCCCTTCCGTACTTTGCCCGAGAGCGTCTCCCACTCGAGTGTCCGCTTGGCTGCCCTTCCGCTCGAGCTCCCGGGCAGCGTGCAACCGGTGCCACGAGGGTGCCGGAGTGCAAGACGAGCGTGCGAGGAAGGACAGCGCAGGGTCGGGGGGACAGAGCTGCGGACCAGGTGGACTGCGAGCCCCACGCGGGATCAGGCCAACACGCGAAACAGAAGCACCGAGGTCGCGGCACCCCATGGCGAGTTCGCGGCACCCGGAGGAGCCAGCGCGGGCCGCGAGGGGGGAGCCACTCACCCGTCGTCGTGTCCAGCTCCGTGGGGGTTGGATTGGGCTCCGGCGGGGCGGGAGGCGGGAACAACGGCGCTGCGCCCGGGGGCGGAATATAGGAGACTTGCAGGATCAGACATGCCTGCAAGCAGAGAAGGCGCCTGGCTGGAAGGGCGGGTGGTGGATTCCAGCCAAGGGCACTGGGCGCTGCCTGCTTCCCCCCACCTCGGTCTCCGGGAGAGCAAGAGGGCGCCGAACGCCTGAGGGCCACCGAGGCTTGCTCACGGCACCCACGAGCCGGGAGGGGGGCGGACCTCCCTGGAGGTCTTCGGGGAGGACCCGGGCAGCCTTCTCCCGGGCAGGTTCCTGCTCTGGGCCTCCTACGTCAAGTTGCTGGGGCTGACGGCCCACAAGGAGCCCCCCACCGAGGCCCACGAAGCCCCTCGCGGGCAGCAGCTTTGATTCACACGGCACTGACTGCCCCACCGAGTCCCAGGAAGGCAGAGCGCGTGGGCTCTCCGGTGGTGCACAAGTTAATTGAGCAAGTCATCCTGCTCCGGAAGAGAAACAGCGGAGGAAGCAGGCGCCGTGGGAGATGAGCCGGGATGCGGCCACGAGGGACCGGCCAGCCCCTCCGCCAGCATCCGTTCCAGTGGGAAGCGGCTTCCCGCAGCTCTCCTGCAGATCACGCATTCCCCCCACGCCGGAGGAGAGGCAGGGTGCCCTCGCCCAGGCGGACGTTCTCCTGGGCCGCAGGGGCTGTCGCCCCTTAGCCTCTCCCACGCCCGGCGAGCTCCCCGCCGCAGCAAGCTGCCGGGGCCACGCAGCAACACCTGGCCAAGCCCCGCGGCTGCAGGGCACGCCTTCTGCGGGGCAGGGGCTGCCGCCCACCCCCCAAGCTCCAGCCGGCTTGGGACGGTCCACCGGAAGGAGCGGCTCTTCTCCGGTGTGCCTGCCCCGCGGTGGCAGCGCCTCTTTTCCGGATGAGCCGGCCGCACCAGTGCGGTGGGGGCACCAGGGGAAGAGTGCCCTTTCTCAGGCCCCGTGGAGCGCCGGATCCACCTGGTGTCTCCACCGCACACACCTCGGCACCAGCGCAAGGCGCTCCCCTCCGTACACCCCCGGAAGCCGACCTCTGCTGCTCCAGCTGGTCGCACCTGAACATCTCTTCGTTGGGCTTCTTCGGGGGGGGGGGGGTTGGTTGGTTCCTATTTTAATGCCATGGGGGGTGTGACTGGAAACCTCTCCAAGAGCATTTGCCCGTGGGGTGGCATATCAGCATAAAAGAGGAACATCCTTCGCTACACAAGAAGTCAAGGAGCTGCGTGGCTCCATGTGGGGAAAAAGTCCCAGAGGCCACCGGAGCGGGAAGCACATATCAGGACCACCAAGAAAGCCTCAGGGAAGCTCGCAAGTCCCCCAGGCCGAGTGAGCAACAAAACGGAGGTGGGAAATGGGAGGGGGGTGCTTAACCCCCCCCCACTCCCGGTGCCTGCCATTTGCAGCCCTCTCAGGACGGGCTGAGGGAGGAAAGGGGCGACATGAGGCCAAACTTCGAGAGCCGGGAAGCTGCGGATGTGCAGGTTTTGTTGGGTAAACCGCAAAAGTGCCCCTTCCCTACGGGCTGAGGCCGCTCAGGCCTCCCTGCGCCGTCTGGCCGCACTCCCAGCGCACACGCACAGGTCAGGGTGGCACTGAAGCTGCAGCGGGGAAAAGGCTCTGGTCCGTGGGCGGCTGCTGCCCGGGAGCCCCAGACGCTCTCCGGCTGCAGCTGCGCCCAGACCGGGAGGAGCTGCCCTGACAAGGCCGCCCTCTCCCCTCTTTCCTCCCCTCAGGGACCCCCAGGGAGATGCGGGTGCGGTTCCACCACCCGCCACTAGCCGCCAGGATGCGTCCGCTGGGCGCTCCCATCCAGAAGCCCACCAAGGTGCCGAGCTGCTTTTATAGAGCGTATTTCACATCTTCCAGGGAATTCGAAGCATCTTATATGTTTCCCCTCCTCCTCGCCAGCTTATCCCCACAGCAGCCCTGCGAGGCAGGCTGGGCTGAGAGCGCGACTGGCACAAAGTTACCCGTGAGCCCCGTGGCTGAGCAGGGACTGGAGGCCAGAGTGCCGGAGTCCCTGTCATGCGCCCTGCGCCACTGCCCCGCACTGGCTCGCCGGGTGGCCACCCGCCCAGATGCCCCCGGGTGAGGCCGACGACCCAGCCTGACTTCGACTGAGGCCCAGAAGCAACGTGGGAGCTGGGGGGACAGGGGGCGCTCGTGTGATGAGGCCCCCGTGGCCTGGCCAGGGATGCTGCTTGGCCCTTTGCAAAGGAACGGACTTACCCCTGTGCTCTGCTTCTTGGCATCCAGCAGAGGGGCGTTGAAGCTGGCAGCCAGGTTGGCGGAGGCCAGGACGTCTCGCAGGGGCACATGGGCTTCACCCAGAAACCTGCAAGGAGAGAAGGGGCCAACTGTTACCGGGTGGACATGAAGCTCTCGGGGAGCTCACAGCAGCACCCGGCAGCCGTCTGGACACGTGTCGGACCTAGGCAACTTCTGAAGCTTAAACAAACAGCTCAGATGTTGAGTGTTTCTGCATTTTGATTTAGTGTTTTATTCCGTGGAATGCTTAAATTCAGACTCAGGAGCAGCTGAGCTTTTCCTGACAACATTAGAGCTCAGCTTCATCAGGTAAGGCAGCTATGTGAAAAGCTGGCTTGCAAAACGCTGTAACTGAGGGGAGACGCGCCCGCACTGATCGCTCTTTCCCAGAGGGGGAGGGACCTTTGCACAGCCCTTTTCCAAAATGCTCGAGGGGCAGGCATGAGGGTGTCCCCAGGGGGCGAGGGGCGCGGCTGCCTCTGCGCCTCCCGGGCCAATTCAGGGGACTGGGCCGAACCTGGGCTGGGCCACCAGACCTGATCGAACGCTGAGCCGCAACCCGCCCGGGCACCGTGAAGAGACCTGGGGCCTGCCTCGGCCAGCCACCGCCGAGGGAGGCATGGCTGATGGCAAAAAGGGAAGGGGTCTTTTCGGGGTTGCCCACCCCGTGCCCCGTTCTGGAACAAGCTCCCCAGGGGGGCCTGCCTGGCACCAGCCTTGATATCTTTGATGCCGGGGAAGACGGCCCTCTACGACAGGCCAACCCCAACCCCATAACAGCCCATCCATACTCCACCCGGTCTCTCTCCATTTGTGGGGGGGGGGTCACTCTTTAGTACGGGCCTTTAAACGTCATCCTCTGACCCCGTCTGTGCACACTACGGCCTGAGGGTCTGTTTCGCCTGCCTTAAGATGTGTTTTATTTTACATTTTGCATTGGGATGGGCTAGAAAAGTTTCAAACAAACAAACAAACAAATTTTTAAAAAATGTGATGCAAAATGTGGACGTGATGGAAAGGAAACTCTCTTCCCAATCCTTCCCATTTCTCAGAGGAACACAGGCATAAATAACCCTTCCTCGGCGCTCCCCAGAGAGCAGCTGACCTTCCAGAGGAAACGGAGAGTTTCCAGCTGGAGACGGGCAAGTGACGGACGATGCGTCAGCCGTGCTAAAAAGGAAGAGGCAGAACGGCTCTCCAGAGCACCTTCTCGTCTTTGCCCAGGCAGATGCACAGGCTCGCACACAGACACACAGACACACACAATAGCGCAGTAAGATCCCTTCCCTCGGAGGCTGCCTGCAAGGGCTTCCTCGAAGCTCCTCGGATCACTTCCCCTCTTCACTTCCCAGCATTGTTTGAGCGGCAAAGATGGCCATTCTCACCCCAGAGGGCCTTTTCCTGCTCCTCAGCCCCTGACACAACGTGAATCCGCCAGCAGCCTGGCCGAAGCCGCCCGGCAGGAAAGGCTGGCGAAGGACAAGCGAGGCCAGCAGGAAGGGGCGAGTCCCTCTGGGTCACAGGCTGGCCGGCGAGCCGCGATTCCGGGGAGAGGCAAGGGGGCGCTCACTCGCTTCAGTTCAGGCCCACAACTCTGAGCTTGCCCCCGCCGGGTTCCTCCCATGCCCCCTGCCCTGCCCGCAGGTCCCGAGTGAAGTTCACCCCTCCGTTGCGGGCCGCTCACCTCCTCCGGAGCCTGCCCACACCCCGGCGCTGGCACCGTCCCTGGGAGCAGTTGGAATGTCTCCGCATATTCCACTGCTTCCGTCCAGGTCGACTGAAAAGGTCCGAGGGGGAGCTTGCCAGTGGAATGCAAGGTGCTACTTTAAAACCCGGGGACCCCTTTGCCTCAGGCACTGCCTCCCCCCAAATCCAGGGGGTGGGCTCTTCTCCCCATCCCCTCTATGCCGAGGAAAGAGCCACCCAGGCACCTGGAGCGGCTTCCAGGGCCACTTCGGCCGACGCTCTCGCAGCTGAGAGCCCCTCCTGCTTATTCAGCGAGGCTTCCCATGGAGCTAATGGCCGGCACCACCAGCACACACGCCCCGGTTTTCTCATCCATTGTATCTGGTTCTTTTACTGTCTGGGGACTTAGGGAATATTGTTTTAATTAGTTCTCTGTGTATTTTTATCGATAGAGGCCACTCTGAATGCTCTCGTACAGAGGTACGTGGGGTCATCCATCTTCCAGGACTAACTAAGACAGACGAGTGCTTGGGAGACTGCGGGCGATGCCATTTCCGCCCGTGGGCAGGCACAGGAGGCATGCCCGGGCAGCCACGCCTGGCTGCAGCCCTTCTCCCACGGGGCCGCCCTGCAGGAGAAGCGGGACACGTGCGGTGGGCCCAAGCAGCGGGGCCCTTCCGCCGTGCCTGGGGCTGAGGTGGCCCTGGCCTGCTCCTTCCAGGGAGTCCTGCAAAGCAGCGCCACGGGCAAACCTCTCTTCCCCACGTTCCCCTGATCTTTCCGCCGTCGCTCAGCGCCGTCTCAGAATACTTCCTGGGGCGCGCTCATGCATCGGCCCCTCGCCGGATCAGAGGGCGAACGGGTGACGAGACCAGGCCCCGCACTCAAGCCTCCGAGCACAGCTGACGGGGACCAGCACGGGACGCCCGGCCGACTCCTCAGGGCACTCTGAATCCAGCCTCTGCGGCCGCGCACAGGATACACCAGTAAATGCCGGGCGTCAGCTTAAGAGTGCATAAACAGTCTGCGAAAACCAGACAGAGACGCTGGCAGCAGACGCACGGGGCGGAGGCCACGGTGCCCGAGGAGGCTCCAGGCTTATCTAGCGGAGCTGGGTGGAGGTTTCCCTACCCCGATAAGGAAAGGATGCCGGGGGAGCAGCGGGGATCCTTGCCGTGAAGCGTTCCTGGGGAGCAGAGAGGGCCGCTCGCTGCGCCGGCCTGGGGCAACACGCAAAGCAGGGGCAAATACGACGGGGGAGGAGATGCTGCCGGGTGAACACGCATGAGACTTACGTGATCCGCACAGCTTCCGGCGCAGCCCTGCCTTAGAGGGACACCGGCGCCACGGTCAACTTGAGCCAGGCAGGCCACCCGAGGGCTCCCCGTGCACCCCCTCCCCACTCCAGCCCCCTTCTGCACCGAGGCCCCCCAGGGGCTCAGCACAGGCCTGGCCGGTGGCACAAGGGGTGGATCGGGGTAGCACCGGCTGCAGCTTTGGGGGATCCCTGGGCAGAAGCCCCCGCGGCCCCTCCCTCGGGGACCTCGCCTTCTCACTGCCACCAGCTCCGGCGCCTCCGGACCACTGCATGCCGCTCGCCGGGCACCAGGGCACCAGCCGCAGCGCCCACACCTGACCACTGCCGGGCCTGGCCAGAGCGAGAGGCTCCACGGGAGGAGGGGCGACGTCTTTGGCCAGCGGGCCCTGCAGGGGCCGGGGGCCCGCCTGGTGCCAACCCCAGGGGCCGGCCCCAGGGGCTGCAGCAGGGCCAGGCTTGCTGACTGCGGCGCACGGCCGGGCCAGCAGAGCGCCACCGAGCAGCACCGACACGTCCCGCTCGCCCCGCCCCATACCGAACCGGGGGAAAGCAAGCCGGGGGGTGGGGGCAGCGTGGGCTGCCCCCAGCGTCAACCTAACCGGCCCCGTCACTTCCGTGGTCCTCCCGGGGGCCTCGTGCGGGCAGATCCACCCGCCCCCTCCTGCTCCAGCCTCAGCGGCCTCCGAATTCCCTGCGGCTGAACCACCCACGCTATTCCGGGACATCCTTTTCCGAGACGGCTATTCTTACACCGCCCCTCCACGGCTCGCCCGTCCTCCCTGCCCCACTCCGGCCCACGGCCAGCCCCGGTGCTGACCCACTGAACTCCCGCGGCCTGCTCCGGTGCTGTCGGCCGCAAAGAGCTCCCCTCGCGGGAGGCCCGCTGGGGAGGGGGACAGGGCGCCTCCCTGCGGCACCAGGACCTGGGCTGGCGCAAGCGCCTGCCGAGACCGCGGCGGAGCCCCAGCACCGCCTTCCCGACAGGCGCACGCAGCGGGGCGGGGAGGGGCACCGTGTGCCGGGGGGCTTTTGGCCCAACCACCGGGCGGCTGGAGGCCAGGGTCAAGAGGGCCTCCCGGTCCGGTACAGAAGCCGGCCGGACGGGCTCTCGCACCCGGCTGCACCGCTGGGCGGCATGCGAGGCTGGGCGCCCAGGCCGGCCAGGTGGCACACGCAGCGGCCCTCCCGCAGTCGGGGAGGCCGCCCCCCGCCGCCCGGGTTCTGCCATGCGAGGCCACGTCCTCACCCCGCCCAGCTGCCGGGCTGCCCCGTCCTGAACGGCATGGACCCCCTGCTCTTCCCCCCTGGGGGAGCTGCCAGCCTCCGCATGCACCGCACCACACAGAGACCACGCGGAAGCGCATCTCTGCACGCGGCCCCGTGGCTCCCTCGGCCAGCAAGAGTGGCCTGCCCAATTACAAGACACACTTGCCCAGGAGTGGGACGGAAACCCGGCTCCAGCTGCTCCCCCAGCCAGGCAGTGCCGGGCGCTCAGCCGAGCCCCGACTCCAGCCCGGTCCAGAAACTGGGTCCGTGCCTCCGCCACCAGCCCTGTGCCTTCAGAGCGCCCACCGCTGAAGTGCCGGCCTGAGAGCTTCGCGGAACGAAGGCTGGCCGTCGGAGAAAGCGCTCCAGCCGCCTGCCCACGTCTCCCCGGCCGAGGGAGCTGCAGTGGGCAGGGCTTGGATCCGGTGCCGCCATCCTGAGAAAACCGCGAAGCTCCACCACAGCCACGGTACGGCTAGCGAAGGCCTCGGTGGCCACTGGGCCTTCCCGGGCACTGATGCCACTCGGTGGGCCTTTCCCGGCCAGGGCCCCGCGGAGGCTCTGCTGTTCCCACCTGTGAGCACGGCCAAACGCCCCTGGGGGCCGAAGCCGCCCTTTCCTCCCAGGTCAGCAGCACTCGGACGCTTGCAAGACGCGGCAACAGTGCCAGGACGCACCTGGCACTGAAGGGGGAGTGACGGAGTCCCACGCCTAGCGAGCCCAGCGGGCAGGGGCGGCTGACAGACTGCGACCTGGTAAGCACCACGAATGAGAGGAATTTGAACCCAGCTCTCCCTGCCCCGTGCCCGGTATTTCAGGCGCACCAACTTCAGGTTTTACTGCAGGACAAACACTGAGGCAAGATTAGGACACGGCCTTATAGAATTGGAGCGAAATGGTTCTGGGGTCCTTTCCGGCCAGAGCTAACCACCAGCACAACTCAGGCAGCCGGTGGGATTCCTTGGCCACCCCTGTGGGATTCTGAAATTTCTCAGCCACCCGGAGGCTCCCATGAAATATGCGCTCAGTGCTGAGGGACCACCCCGCAATGCTGCAAGGAATCCCAGACTGCAGATTTGGGGCGGCAGCCCACCTCACGGAGCTGCAGCCAGCCGAGCCCAGCCCAGCCCGGCCCGGGGGCCGCTTGCTCTCCCCTTCCTAGAATTGTTTCCCGGCCACTCAGCAGCAGCGTAAAGGCCTTTCCAGCCCTTCTCCCGGGTCCGTGCTGTGACCTCGCAGAGCAGGGGAACACGAAGACAGCCTGGGCAAATCCCCAGCCGTGTGACCCGAACACGCCAGGGAGGGAGGCCGCCCCGGCAGCTCGGGGGAGGGCTGGAAAGCGCGGCACGGTTCATGCACCCCACGGCCAAGGCCACGTGGCCTGGCGTCCTCTGGAATTAGGGCCCTGGCCGGCGCGTGGCGGTGGCGCCTTTCGGTGTGCCACCCCTCCAGAAAGCCTGGCTGCAAACTCTTCGGTGGGTTGAAACCCTTCGCATCTTTTGCACCCGAAGCAGAACAGAATGAGAACGGTATTGTAAAAGAAGACGACGGGCAGTAAGGAAAATAACAGAGGAGGAGGGCAGCAGGAAATGGCGTCAAGGGAAATGAAAGCCGAGCCACGATGAACAAAGTGCGCCGGCTGCGGGACGAGCCAAAGCGCCCTTTGCATCTCACAGGGAGAACCGTGTGCCAACTGGTCTCAGTGCGACGGAAGCAGCACATCGCGCCAGGCTTCAAGTGCGGCTGAGCTGCTCTTCCATTTTTCCTCTGTTGCCCTTTGGGGTGCTTCTCCCTCACCCCACCTCGAGGCCAAATCGGGTCCTGTTCCGGGCAGAAGCAGCACGTGCGGCAGCTCTGCCCCCCCATCAGCACCCCTATTCCCCAGCGAGGACCCCCGTCCACGCCTGCGCCCCAAGAGCCCTATCCCCATGTTTTCTCCCTCATGTTCCCTTACTCTGGCTTGCTAACGTTGCCTTTCCAGAAGTTTTATTCCCCGGGCTGATAGAATGAAATGGGGGGGCGGTTAAAAGGGGGCACCTGTTGCAGTCATGTCCCCCTTTGGGGTGTTCCAGGGGCAGCTGCCTGGCCAAGCCCCTGCTGGGCTGGAATCCATCCGCCCCCCGCCCCCCTTCAGCTGGCCCTGCCTGCCGTGCCCGGACCTGACCCGTTGGGCAACGAGGCCGGAGGCAGCCTTGGCCTCCCGAGAGAGAGGAGCGACCCGCCTGCGCACACAGCCCATGATGCGCGAGCCGGCTGCCCACCCCAGACGCCGGGCAGAGCTCCCTACCTGTTCCTGCCCATGGTTTCATGGTCCTTGACGACAACATGGAGTTCAGCATTCTGGTCCAGGGGAACCCCTTTCAGATCCCACTCAAAGCCCTAAGAGAAGGAGGACAGGAGGTTAGGGGCAGGCTGGACCCAGGCCGGCTCGGGGTGCTCAGCGCTGCAGGATGTGCTCCGGAGAGCCTGGGGGCGACTACACCTTTTCTACATTGCGCCTCATCTTCCAGAGCAGATTCCCGCAGCCGAAAAAAGGGGCAGCACAGTGAAGGAAGTGGCAGGCGGCAGAAAGCCAACAGGTGAATTTCCCAGCACGAACAGGGCGTCACCTGTTGAATTTCTGCTCCCTGCCAGGCACCTACTAAAAGAGATTCAGGAGCCGTTCAGCACTGCGGAGGCATCGCTTGGCTTCAGTTAGCCAGAGAGGGACTTCGGGCTCACGCACCACGTGGGCCTTTAATGCAGCACTGGACTGTTTAGTGGGGCCTTTCCCCATGGCCAAGATTCTCCCACAGTGTCTACTCACTAGTAAATCTATCCCAAAGAGATTCCCGCAACGTTAGCTAAAGGTTTCCTGTGTGTGGGTTCAGCTTATTTAATTGCTTCCTGTTGATCAGGGTGCGGCAATTAGTGCTGAATGCGTCCCGATCACCATTTCTGTTCCTGTGCCTGCAGCGTTTTTGAATCATTTCCTCTCGCTTGTTGTTCTCTGATTAATTTCTTGATTTCAGTACAAAAAACCAATAGGAAAAAAAATCTTAAAGGCAGGAAGCTGCGACTGAAACATCTCCCATCTTGTAGAAATAGAAACTGGGCCAATTAAGCAAGGGGTGCTTAAGAAGGTATTAATCAGTGAGCCTCCAGCCCTGAACAGGAATAAAGGGGCAGGACCGATACAAAAAGGAACTTTTAATCAAAGGCACAGGAGTCTGGAAAAGCCTTAAAAGTGCTTGACTCCCTTGCACTGAACAAACTGGTGCTGCCAGCAAATTTTACTGCAAATACATACATCAACGTAAGTAAAGTTTAAAAATATGCAACGCAAGAGGGCAGGATTTAAATGCCCAGGTAGCAGTGTTGCCTGGTTACCCCGGATCAGCAGGTGAACCGAAGATGGAGGGCCGGGGAAAAGACTGGCAGGCAAGCAACCCTGGCCCACAATTTCAGACTTGCAACAAAACTGGAGGACTCCTGGGGGAGCCCTGGGCCCCCATTTCTGTTATGGGGTTGCCCAGCCCTGACCTTGAGAGGCCTTCGTTGCACTTCTAAGTCCCGCCCAGAAAAGGAAATGGACGGAAAACTCTCTGCCCTGCGCAGTCTTTTGAGGCTTGCCTCTAGCAAATTTGCCATCTTTTACCTCCAGGAGCCGAGAGCTCCTGAGCCCAAAACCTCTGCCCCTCTGCCCCAGCACCTGGCCCTCCCGTTTGCCCAGGGCTCCACTTCCAGGCAGGCCTGGGCGCGCTCTGGGGCTGTGCCCGGCCGAAGCCCAAGTCAGCTTGGAAGCAGCTCCTCCTGCCCGGAGAGTCAGGGCTTGGCTGTGTCTATCCGCCCATGAGGGTTGGAGGCACGGGCACCCGCACCTGCCAAGCCGGGAGCCCTGGGCTGGGGGCTCCGTGATCTCAGGAATGCGCCACTCAAGGAAGCCAAGAGAGGGAAGGCCGCTCACCTCGTTCCACACGGGGTTGGTGTTGTTCTTGATCACCTTGGTTCTCTTCTTCACTCCTGAAAAAGACCACAGAAGGGTGAGCGCTCGTGCACCTGTCGGGCGACCTCGGAGGTTACACTCACCCGTCCACAGAGGGGAGGCAGGCAGGCTGCAGGACCCTGACAGAAAAGCCCAGGTGCAGCTGCTCAGGTGGGAGGCTCCCGGCAGGCGGCTAGGCCTCTGAGAGCAGCTGCCAGCTGGAGGGACCCCGGGGGGCTAGACGGACCCCGGGGGGCCTCACGCGAGGAGCAGCGACAGCCCGTCCCCACCCAGAGGGAGCTGCGGGACTCCCTTGCCTCTCTGCCGGCGATGCAGTGCAGGACGCGAGACGGCGAGAAGCGTGCGCCACGAGCGCGGGGCGATGGCCCCAGAGTCCGGAGGCCCGCAACGGAGGGAAGCGCAGGAGGCGAGGGAAGGGCAGCCGGGCCCTGGGCTGTGCAGAAGGACAGGGGCTTGGTGTGCACCTGGGCGCTTCCAGCCAGAGCTGCCCAGGGAAAGGCCTTGCGCACCGTCCACCTGTCCTCTCTTAACATCCTATCTGCGAGAAGGAACCGGGATGGAAGAAGTGCTGGGAAAACAGAATGACAGATGGGCAGGGATGATGGGAGCTCTAGTCCAAAATACGGACAGAGGGAGGCTGGGGAAAGCCAGTCTCCGCTGCTGGTGCGTGGCGCCCCTGGGACTCCGCCAGGCACAACGGCCTCCCCCTCGCGCAACGGCTGGAAGGCCAGGCCACTTCCTTCCCTTCATTGACGTTTCGTCTGGAGCATCACGACCGCCCACTTCCCAGGACACCCAGGGCTCTCCGACAACGGGCAGGGGAGGGGGCCTTCCGCCAGCCTGCACAGTGCGGGGGCAAGCCATATTGAGGACGGAGCACGGGGGGGGCTCGGCTGCCCAACGCGGAACTCAAGCCGTGCGCTGGAAGGCTCTCCCCCACGCGGGTGTGCAGACGGAACTTTGCGTGTGCATGTCGGCTTTGGCCCAGGCACACTGGGGAGACCCAAAGAGCGCAACCAGGGCATGCATGAAGGCCGCAAGTGCAGCCAGCCATTCCCCGCCCCACAGGAACCCAACATGGACCGGTCTGAACAAAGGAGCACCTCCACCAGCAGCTGAGAGACCCCCGGGCGGACCCCTGCAGGCCTCCCGGGGGTGGCATTCTGCATGCGGGGCCACGACCAGGAGGGCCCCTCCCTGCAGTCCCACCGAGCTTCATTGGACAGGGGCATGTGGGGGGGGGGCTTTGTGAGACCAGGCCGGTACATGGGGGAGGCAGGCACGTTCTGCCCCGCCGGCGGCGACTTGAGGCCTGGTCAGGCTCCTCGGGGCATTTGGCACCTGCCCAGCAGTGCTAGGCGGGGGGGGGGGCAGCAGCTCTGGGCAGCAACCCCTGCAGCAGCTCTGGCCATGGACCAGAGGGGCATCGGAAGCTGCCTCAGATGGCGCCAGGCCTTGCTCCTTCTAGCCTGGCGCTGCAGCACCGACTGGCAGCAGCAGCAGCTCCTCGCAGCTTCGGGCGGGCGTCTTCCCAGCCTTGCCTGGGGTCGCCGTGGGGCCCCAGCCGGGGATGGCTGCGTGCCAAGCAGGGCTCCAGCACGGGGCCCGCCTGGGGGTCCCAGAAATGACTTTTTAAGTGCTGCTCTGCAAGTCTGCCAGGAGCCCTCACCTCCGGCTCTGCGGGCTGGGGCTGATGGGAGTCACAAGCCGAGACCTCTGGGCCACAGGCCCAGCTGCCAGTGTTCAGGGAACGGGCCCTCCAGGCCGTCAGGACCACCATGGGCACCGCTGCCCCCCCCCGAGCCACCCAGAAGCAAGTTGCGCTGCGCGAGGAGGGGCTTCCAGTGGTCCTTGGGCCCCGCCTGCGAGAGCAGTGCACAGTGGCGAGCTCTGCCCTGGACAACAGCCCTGCGAGGGGGGCCTGCCCCAGGCTTGTGACCACTCCGGCACCAGCGCCCAGGCCTCCCCGTTGGCCCGAGCCCGCCTTCCCCAGCCCGGGGCCCCCCAACGTGCCGGCCAGCGACCCCCCTCCCCCGATTCCCAACACACGGGCCGGCGATGAGCAGCCAACACGCCCGGAAGGTGCCAGGCGGGCAGGGGCTGCTCCAACCAAGCCCAGGGGGCGGCAGTGAGGCCCGGTTCCTGTCCCACTCCGGGCGACCGCGGGCCGGTCGCTGGCCCCAGCCCGGCCTACCCCACAGGGCTGTTGCG